GACGCCGGAGGTATTCTCGCGGCGGATGGACAGAGATTCGAGTTTGGAAAGGACGGATTTGAATCCGTCGCGGGACTGCACCGATTCACGTTGGAGAGTACGTACCGCTTGGAGCATGCTCACGAGCACCTCTTCGGGTGAAGGCCCGTTATCCTCGGCTGTCTCCTCTCCATCGGGGTTGGCTGGTGGAGGGTTGTCGCCATCAGGAGGTGGGTTGACCGGAGGGTTGTCGGTGTCCATGGCTTGCTCGTGGGTCTCTTCGAACTCTTCTTCGGAGTGTTCGGAGGGTGGCAGTCGGATTCGACGATCTGTCCTGCCGACGCGGGACATGAAACGGGACGGCTAGAGAGGCGAGAGAAGAGTGCGGGGCGCCGAAGAAGCGTAGGTCGTGGGACGTAGGGGTCGAAGGGGTGTCGTAAGAGGCGGCCGAATCAAACTGTAATGGCCAGACGACGGGGTTGACAGTCGGGACCGAGGGACGAAGCGGATCGTGGGGAGCGGAAGAAGAGGAGTTGATTCGGCGGGGAGCCAGACTGCGCGGAAGCCAGTATAAGAGACGGAGTACATGCAGTATCTAATCTACGATCAATCAGAGCGCGAGGCCATGCGTGATGCGAACGAGACAGTCCCTAAACGAGGCGTGCAGTAAACATACCGGATCGGGGAACAATGTACATCAAGCGAAACATATCTAATCTAATCGTGAGTCAGAGTCCGTGAGGCAATGTAACGCCTGCGGGCCGTTACAGCGGGGGGAAGGTGCATGGAATCGGCGTGGATGCGAAGAAAAGGCGCAGCAGGGGGACGAGGAACAGTGGGTGGGGGAAGCACTTGTCGGAGCTGGCGAGTCTGGCATATGTGGCACGACTTGACGAACCAGACAACGTCGGCTTGAAGGCGCGGCCACCAAAAGCGGACAGAGATGAGTGCGGTAGTCGCGTAAGTTCCTTTGTGCGCGGCATCTTCGTGGGCCTGTTGCAGGACACTGAAGCGGGCGTGCGGCCATACGACGACGCGGTCACCGGACGCGAGAGCGCGGCGCCAAAGGCGGCCAACGCGGACGTAGAATCGCGTGGCGTAACGGTGAAAGGACGCGAACGCGTCGTCGGACAAGTCTTCGGGACGCACCAAGGTCGTGAGGTAATGCCACACACGCGCGAGACGGTCGTCTTCGGCGCGCGCGGAGGCGGAGCGCGGAATAGTAGTGGACATGTCGAGGCTGGAGGGGGCGCCGCTCGCGAGGTCGTTGGTGAATATGTCAGCGCGAGTGGAGCGCGGTCCCATGGCAGCGCAGTTGTTGAGGTCGCGGGCGAGGATTGTGGGGTCGACGTTGATGTGGTGCAAGCACCCGTTGAGGCGGTCGATCCAGTCGTCTTCGTCGTCTTCTTCGTCTGGCTCATCTCCTTCTTGATGGCGGCGGCGAGAGAGTCCGTCTGGACCATGCATGACGCCGGGAACGTGGACGAGAGTGAAGTGGAAGGTGAGGATGGCGACGATCCACCTGTTGATGGCGGCGCTGGGAGACTCGTCGGGGTGATTGAGCATACCTTGAATGTACCGCGCGTCGACCTCCACGATGAAGCCAGGGAGGCCGATGAAAACGCGTTTGCACTGCTTGAGCGCGCGGTAGAGGCCGTAGAGCTCGAGTTTCGCCTGCGAGTAGGCCGCTTCGCGGTCGTTGAGCGAGATCGACCCGAATTTGGCGATGTATCGTCGGGATGGGTTATCGGGGTCGCATTGGGCGATTATGTAGCCGACGGCGATGTGTGAAGTGTCGACGGCGAGGATGATGGCAGCGGGCGAGTCGTAGTCGATCGGACGGAGTGCGGGCGAGCCGATGAGTGCTGCCTTGAGGTCTTCCTGTGCGGCTTGTTGGTCAGGGCCCCAGACGAAGGGAGCGCCCTTGCGCGTGAGCTGTGTGAGAGGCCATGCGCGACGCGCGAAGTTGTGGATGAAAGCCCGGGCTACACCGATCGTACCGAGGAACGCGCGGACGTCAGAGAGGTCGCAGCAGTGTCCCCAGTTAACGATTTTGGCGTAGTTTCCGGGCTCAGGGATACGACCGTTCGGCGTGCAGCGATGGCCTACAGCTGTGAAAACGCGGGCGATAAGGATGGACTTGGGACCAGAGAACGTGACGCCGACGTATTCGATGCGCTGGATCACGCGGTCGGTGTTGACCAAATGTTCCCAGACGAAGAGGCGGATGCCGGGATTGTCGGGATGCGTGCGGAAGGACCCATCGTCGAGTTTGTACTCGGTCTTGCTGCCGCGCGTGGGGACGTCATCGATGAAAGGAATGGTGATGTGAGGGATCTCCGGCTGGAGCGCGTAGCAGACGTCTTCGTGGAAGATCGGGACGGAGTTCGTCCAGCCCATGGGTAGCGTGACGAGGCGGCGCGCGCCGAAGGGCGTCTGGAACGTCGTGAGGTCGCGCGAGCTTTCGGCGATCTTGCGTTCGTCGTACCCGACGTAGAGGTCGAGCGCACCTCCGCAGGCACGGCCAGCGAAGTGCTCCGCGATTTGCTCGGTGAATGGGGGGACGCCGGAGTGCGCGATCGTGACCGCATTGAGGGGCTCGAGTGAGTGTACGAGACGGAGGGACTTGCCATCCTTCTTGACGACGCAGAACCACCGCGAGCGATACGAAGAGTTGGAGGGTTCGTACACACCTGCGTCCTCCTTCGCGCGTATAATGTCGCAGATTTGGCTGAAGAGACCAGGTGGTATCGGGATGTTGCGCTGGACCCAAGGCGTGTGTGGGATGACGGGGATCTGAACGGGCGGGAAGAAGTCTTCGCGGAACGAGCCGCGTTCCGAGTCTTGCCATGCGAATGCCTTCTCATGCTTCATGTAGAGCGAGTGGAGCAGCGCGCGTTCATCCGGCCAAAGGAAGTCTTCGTTGTGGAGTTTATTGACGATGTCGCGGCGTTCTGCGGTGTAACGACCGGTTGGCTGGAAGTCGGGTGGGTGCGGGGAGAGTGGTGCGAGGTGCTCGAGAGGATCGCCCACGATGTTGCGGACGATGCGAAATTGGTCCGGCAGTGGCGCGAGGATGGGGCGAGTTTTGAGCGCGACGGGCTTGTACTTCTTTTTCGACTTTGCCTTTGTCTTGGGTTGTGCAGCGAGAAACGTCGGGGTGGCGGTGTCAAGAGCATCGAGGGTGTCAGAGAGATTGCGAGAGAGGTGGGTGAAGGTGGGAGATAGGGTAGAGGAAGAGTGCAAGACGTGGGAGTGGATGGTAAAGGAAGGATAGGACGGGTAAGGAGAATCGTCAGATGACAGAGAGTCGAAGTGCGGGTCAGGGATAGGAAGCGTGGAGTGGGAGTATGAGGTAATAGGACGGAAATCGGGGGCCGAATCGGAGTCCAGGAAGGGGAAGGAAGGGTCCGCGAGCGAATCAGTGCCGAGCTGGGATGGGGAACATATGGATAGGTACAACAAATCGAGGTCAGAAGGTGTAAAGGAGTTTTCCAAAACCGAAAAAGCGTCTATCGCGGCAGAGTGGGGGTCACCGGGGCAAGAACTAAGTAAAAGCGCTACGTCTCCTCGGTCGAAGGCCGATTCCTCAACGCTTACTGAAAATCCGGTTCTGGGGAACTGATGCTGGAGGTCGGGCTGTGATGCTGGAACACTGGAGGCATGCGCGGGGTCGTAGGTAGGGTGGAGACGAGGTCGGAGTTTGGATCCTTGAGCGTGATTGTCTGCGTGCCATCGATGTTGGTATTGACCGTGCTTGTAGTGAGAAGGTCGAACGGGCGGCCGACATCGATGTTGGTATTGACTGTGCTTGTAGTGAGAAGGTCGAACGGGCGGCCGAGGAGGACGTCGTAGGCGGGAGAACGGATAACGTGGAATTGTAAGTAGACAACGATAGAGCCGAAACGCACCGCGACGTTGCGCGCGAGGCCAAGCGAGTAGTCGCAGGATCCGTTCGCGCTCTGCATCTGCAGGACGACGCGCGGGTCGTAGGAGGTAAGTCACTGTAGACGTCAGCGCCTGGGAGGTCGTCCTCAGAGATCGCATCCGCGGTGAGTACTGGCTCGACTGGAGCGCGGCGAACAATGCAGAGCTCACGCGTGGCAACGCATAGCTCGGGCGACATGGAAAGGAGCTCTTCGTGCGTGACCATAATCGGCTGGTTAAGGCAACGCTTGAGGACGCTGGCGACATGCTGGGGGTCGTAGATCGGAGGGCGCGCACGGTACGAAGGATCGGGCTTCCTGACTCCAGGCTGCGTGGTCTTGGTTGGCGGCGTCGCGAAGTTGCGCTGCGTCGGCGGCTGGTAAGTTGCATCGCGCGCGGACGCGAACGGGTGCTCGACGCGCGGAACCAGAGACTTGCTGGCCAGCTCGTTTTCAGGCGTGCTTGCGGGCGCGGACGCGCTGTTCGACGCAGGACTCGAGGCCTCCGTCTCTCGGGACGGGGCGTCTTCGTCTGGCACCTCCTCGATGGTTGCTCGCGGTACGGCGGGACCCGTGGTGACTTCGGGGGACTCAAAGCGAACGGCGCGGCGACGTGCGCGTTCTTCGCGGGCTTCAGAAGCGTTCGCTGCGGCGGCCTTCTGCTTGAGTGCGCGTTGACGTTCGAGCGCGTATATCTCTTGTTTGCGGCTCTGTATTTGTTGCTCCAGGTCGAACTCGTGGAAGTTGGCGTAGATGGCGGGAGGGAGCGTGTTCGTGTGCGACTGGGAGTTGTATGGTTCAAAAGCATTTGCTGAGCGGGTGGAGTGCGTGCGTCGGGGTGCGCTTGGTGGTAGGCAATGGCGCGCTCTCGGAGCGTGTTGCCGGGGTAAGAGTTTGGCACGAACGAGCCGGAAGGCAAAACCACACTCCCCTGCGCGTTACGACGCACCTTTCCATCAGCAATATCGGCTTCGACTAGGGGGCAAGCGCGGATGGGATGGTTGGAGTCGCCGCAGTAATAGCAGAGCCCCTGCATGTGTGGTGGGTTCTCGCGCGGTGCCCTTGGTGGTGCCGGTTGGTTCTGCTTGAGCGCCGCTATGATGGTGGTGAGAGCGTGGCAGCGAGTTGCTCCATGACCATCGTAGCTTCTGACTTGATCGCTGGCACCTGGACAGGGGCGACCACTTGAGTTGGTACGAGTGAGCTTCCGGAAACGGTGCCGACTAGCGCGGCCTCCAGGACGTGGTGTGCGGCTTCGGTAACGTCGTTAATGGGGTAAGGGTCGCGGGGGTAGAGGATGGTTGGTTTGATAATGCGGAGGCGATCGAGGATGGGGGTGCGCAGCGCGAGTGGCAGGCCGAGCAAGAAGAGATGGTCACGATCCTTCGGCTGAAGCTGGTTGCCGAGGACGAGGAAGGCGGACCGGTCGCGGAAGAGACGGCCGTACTTGTTGAAGGTGTTGATTGATTCGATCGGCTGGCTCGCGGTCTTGTCCACGAGCAACTCCAGGTCCCTCCGAGTGAACAGCCCTACTCCGTCTTCTCCTACGTACTCCTTCTTCACGGCTTTCTTAAAGTCTTCGTAGTCCTTCGTGGCATCTGTGAACTCCGGGATCGCGCGCCAGATAGTCTTCTCCGAGTCGGGTGCGTAGCGAACTGCGTGTGCCTTCTTGCGGTCTTCGTCATTGATTTGCCCTTGTTCAAAGCAGTAGTCGAGGTCGTCGAAGAATCCGAGGATGGTGCGGGGGTCACCTTCCGGATCAAACGACGGTGCGCCGGCTGCTCCGCGTGCGGGTAAGCGATAGGCCATGAAGAAAGGTTGTGGGACAAATAGCGGAGGTGGAGGTGGCGGCGATGGCGGAGACGGGATCTCGGAAGGGAGCTGGTGAAATATGCGAAAGAACAAATCTGAGAGGGTGCGGTCGTGTTCTTCAGCGTCAGATGCTTCCGATGGCGGTGGCGCGTTCGGGGTGATCGGGCGACGTTCCGGAGGCGAAGCTAGTGGTGGAGAAACAACGGGTGGTGGAGAGGCAAGTGGGGATACGAATGGAAAAGAGGAAGATGAGGTCGAACCGGACTCGGATGAGCCACTTGACGCGCGGTGATCGTCCCAGTTGACCGGGCGAAGGCGGAATTGTTCGCGATCCGTGATGGTAGAAGAGAGGATGCCTTTTGTGGGCCAATGCAGGAGAAGGGTTGAAGTAAGGACTCGCCGGTTCAGAGGCTTACAATGAGAGAGCTTGTAGTCTCTTCTCTGCCCTCGCGGTGGGCTCCAGATGATGTGCAGTCAACTCCGCGAAGAGTCAACAGTGATGAGGGCGAGTGAGCGAGCTCGAGCAAGCGTGAGACGCGGGAAGTCGAGGAGGAAATGAAGGGAACAGCTACGACGCGCCGCGTGAGGAGCGAACGCGAAGGGAGGACGGATCAGAGGATCGCGCGAGCGCGAGGAGGACGAGGAGGGAATAGACGCGGAGTGGATAGACGAGATCGCGCGCACGCGCGGCGCTGGCGAAGGCGAATGGAATCGAGGTCGTGGGCGAAAGCGTGGGCGTGAGCGTGGGCGTGAGCGTGGGCGTGAGCGTGGGCGAAGTCGAAGTCGAAGTCGAAGACGAAGGCGAAGACGAGGTGAGACGAGGTGAGCACACAGCACGCGCAGAAGGAGCGGGAGAGTGAACTGAGCATCAATAAGCAAAAACGTGAGCCTAAGTACATGCGACGCACGGGACGAGTATGTAGACAGATCAATGTACAGTCCGAGACCCGAAAATGTACGAAATCGAGACCGAGAATGAAGGGGAAGTGGATACGAGAATACGAAATGTACGAGATGTAGAACAGGAGGACATACTAATCGTGCAAGAAGAGGAGGGGAATGAAGATGAGGAAATGGACGAGGTCGGCGTACTGTAGAGGAGGTGGATCGGGTGCGTGCCGTGCCGGCCTCGGTCGTGCGTGAACTGCGGCGTGGTGTGTCCGTAGGCGTCGCGCCTGGCCTGGAATGCTGGAGCGTCGATATGGAATGCTCGCGGACTGATCGCGATGGGTGCGCACGGCGGAGAGGTCGAGGTACGTGAGGACGAGCGAGGTCGAGGTGTAGTGCGTAGCAGGGGTAACCCCCGGGTCTCCCGATGCTTACCCTGACCCCTACCCTCAGGGGGTCACAACCCTCATACAAGGGTCAGGGTTTTGTAGAGGGTCACAAGGGTACTCGAGGGTCAAGGGTTTGACAAGGGTAGCAAGTACAGCACACACGACATTGTCCTACTCTACTGTATCAGTACCAGCACGTGGCCGCAACACAATGAGCTCCCAACCACCCTCCAGATCGTCCGATGCATCATCTCGAAGGGCAACCGAGACGTCGGTGTCTCGAACGAGTCCGAGCTCGCTCCACTCATCAAGGCACAGAAGCGCCCGGATAGACGTGGCAGACAAACCGTTGCGGACGTGTGGAAGGAGCAGCCGCCCTTTGCTGAAAACGCGTTCAATGTCGACTGAAGTGGCTGTGGAGCATCCTTACTGTAAGCGAGCTGCGAGAGGTTGAGATACCATGATATACACATACCAGGAATTGTAAGGTAAGAGAGCGCCATGCGTGAGAGATGGGGATATTCACGGCGGCGATTCCACCACCAACTGAGTGGATCGTCAGTGTACTCTGTAGACGCCGCAAGATAGCGATCAATCTCGCTCGCCCCTGCAGCCGGACGCTTCTGTTGGAATGCAGGGAGCTGAGCGAATGGATTCTGTTGTGCACCGCATTGGCCGCGCATGCCACATATAAACTGTAAGACAGGAGTCAAGTACTGGTGATAAAGAACACTCACAGTGTCTTTCTTACGGCGTGGCTCAGTCGTTGGCTTCGGGGCCCGATCGTCGTGCTCAATATCCCTCTGCGCATAGCTGCGGAGGTACTCATCCCGAGTCATCTTCTCGGCCGTATCAATCCAGTCCTGTTCCCACTTCGCAGTCTTGAAGTACTCGAGCTTCATCTGAGGATGAAGGACTGGAGGAAGATCATCACAGCGAGCGCATATAAGTATGTAATACAGGCCAGGACATATATACGCACCCATCGCGATCCGGTAGACCTCCGTATGATCAGTGCGATCATAGTACCGATTAAGTGTCTTCTTGCCAAGAGTAACCGCAGCGCGAACAGCGGCAGTCATTCTTCCAGTATCCAGTGCGTGCTCCGTGAGTTTCTCGTCGAGGTGATCCATGGCCGGAATGACGATGGGCAGATTGACATGCCCCTTTCTAGAGAAGAACGTGGTAGCATTCTCGAAGAGCTGTGAAATCGAGAGAAGTTAGAACGTGACTGTGTGGGACGTAGGCACAAGAAGACGAGAAGAAGAGATTACACTTGTGTGTCCGCATCCGTGTCGCAGCGTCCACACGACGCGCGTCACGGTCCCCGTGTCTGCGTCCGCGTCGCAGCGTCCACACGACGCGCGTCCCTGTGTCCGCGTCCACACGACGCGCGTCCCCGTGTCCGCGTCCACACGACGCGCGTCCCCGTGTCCGCGTCCACACGACGCACGTCCCCGTGTCCGCGTCCACACGACGTGTGGCCCCACACCAGCATGATCGAAACGGATCTGCTCACGGTGGTGTGTAGCACGTACTCAAGCATGCGCATCAGTGCCAGAGCGTCGGGCACCGCAGAGCGTCGGGCACCGAAGAGCGGAGTCGGGCACCGCAGAGCATGCGCGCAGCGCAAGGGACACAGGTCGAGCGAGCCGGCGTGCGGAGAGCGCTGGCAGTTGGAGTGTGAGATACACACACCGCGCGCTGGCAGCTGGAGTGCGTCAAGAACGGGGTGCATGTGCGTGTGGGGCACACATCAGCACTCTTGAATACAAGAGTGTTGTTGAGTGCACGCCACAGAGGCGAGGGCAGTAGGACGCGGGATCTCATTATCGAGACAGCACCACAACAGCGGGAGCCCAGAACAGGTGGAATATGCGCATGAAAAACAGTACAAACAACTTACCTGTAGTCCCGACGCGTCCCAGGGCCATGCAGAGTATGGATGGCGTCGTTTCCATCCGCGATAAGATGATCACGGATGATCAGGCCGACCGTATGAGATTTTAGGCAGTCGAGTGGCGTTGTTTAACCACAGCCAGAAGAAACGTTGTTGGGTTGCAAGGGACGTCGAGAGCGAGCACAAGAGGAAGCAGTTAGTCATGGATGCCAAGCTGGAGAATGGGGGGACGAGACAGAGCACGGGAGGAGGTGGGAGACCATGAGCGTTGCGGCTGGTTTGAGTTCAAACCAGCTGTGTTGCGGGTGCAGATGCGTGAGAGTAAGATTGCGTAACTGCCACGTACCTTCAGAACGTCTCGCAGCTGCTCGACTATCTCCCACTCCTCGTCGTCCAAGTTGTGCTTCTTCAAGCCAAGATCAAGGTCCGTAGTTATCCGGTGAATGGCGGCCTTGTACTCAACCGCAAAGTCTAGCATGTAGAACGTCGAATTCCAACGAGTTCGAACATCCCGCGGTATCATGCGCTCCTTCAAACGGAGTTCGCGAAGTGTCCGCTTCCACGCAGGGAGGTTTATTGTGGGGGAATTGATGATTGCGAAGGACAGGGTGCGAATCTGTGGTGGCAGATATCAGGTGTGTTGTTGTATTGTATCTGAGTGCGCCGCACCTTCGTTAAGACGTTCTTGATTGGGGCGATACCAGCCTCAAAGTCCTCGCGCTCATCGTCTGTCATGTCTTCATTGATGTCGAAGAGACCGTCTGAGTCGTCCGCTTCAGGTGTGTCATCCGCTTGGTCACCCTCGTCGTCCTCGGTGTCCGAACCCATACCACTCCAGTCAATTTCCGCGAGCAGCCGTGCTAGTGTTTCCTCAGCAGTCTCCGCTGTGTCCTTGTCGCCCTCCTTTACCTGGAAAGGACGGAGTACTGATTGCGCACATAGGTTCACGACATGGTCGAAGCATCGGGCACGATTACACTGACCGCCAAAGTTGTCAAGCCTCTTGTACAACTCGTCGACCATGGTGTCATTAGCGGCCGCGCTGTCGCCTGTCACCGCGAGGATCTACAAATGTTTGGTAAGCAAACACAAGCACGTATCTATGGAGATGCACTACTAACCTTATCTTGGATACCGAAGTCCTTCAACATGGCGTCAAACACAGCTGCCATGACGAAACCGGAGTGCGACTCCGCAACCTCGATGACATCCAGTATCATGCTCAACGGAGCCCCGCGGTGGTGCAAGTGGACGGCAAACGCGATGAACGGCCTATGGTTAGGCGATGTCCACGCGTCAAAGGTGAAGTTTAGTTCGCCTTCATATTCCTATCATGTGTATTCATCCCGCGTCAGTACGGTACCCTGCCATGAATGCGGAACTGCTATCACATACCTGAAGCATCCGGCCGATGCGCTGCCGGCACTTCGCGAACACATGACGGATGTCGCGTGAGACAGTGGAAGGAGACGGGATCTTGTACTCCGGGCGGCCCGTCTTCATCAAGCACTGGAACGCTCGGTCGCTGACGATACGGAACGGCCGCTTGTTCTCTGCACACCAGCGCACAATCTCGATTCTATGCCACACTTCAACGCTTGAGCATGAACTGATTCATGTGAGTGCGTACCTGGTTTCCATTGATGTATGCTGTACGATTGAATACGTGACCTTGCCTTTTCCAGCCCGCTTGAACGCTGTAGTCAGTTTCCCGGTGCGACCGAACGCCTCCAGACCGGGCCGAGCCTTGTCCGCAGATCCCGCCCCCGTTCCAGCCTTCCACGCCGCATCTTTCCAACACGACTTCGCATGCCGATGGAGGTTCTTTGTGGATGTCTTGTCGTTGGTTTGGGTGTTACGTTTGATCTTCTGTGTACATCCAGGGTTCGCGCAAGAGAACTCGTGCACGATTTGGCCTTTCTCATTGGTGAGGATCTTGATGTCTGGTTTGTAGAATGCGTACACCGGGGCTGACCACTTCTTCTTCAACCGCGCTAAAGTGCGATAAGGCGTTGTTGATTCTGATGCGATGTCGGATCCGACTCACCAAGAGCTGCCTCAGGGGTCTCGTCCTTGGGCTCGTTGTCATCATCCTCTGTAGCAGGTACGTCTTCGTCATTTGATGCCTCTTGGTCTGCTTCCGACGTGCCAGAGTTGAATGACCCACGCTTCTTCAGCTTCCCGGCGGCTTTCTTACCGGTAGCCTTGACGGCAGAGGCTACTCCTTTGACCGCAGAAGCTGCAGCACGTGCTGCCTTCTTGATAGTTGAAGGTCGCCGAGTCTCCGTCCCACTCGCATTATCGGCATCGCTCCCAGAGCCGTGGATGGAGACAATGCCAGGGGACGAACCTTGGGAGCGGGTCTCTTCGTTGCCGCTACCGTCTGAGTTGGAACCTGTGATACGCTTCTTCTTCCGAACCTTCTCCGATAGTGCTGATGCCTGGCGCTTTAGAGCTTGGGCACCCTTTCTAAGGGAAGATCCTCCAGCCATGAGTGGTGGAGTGTGGTGAGGTGTAGCTCAGAATCTGTGTGTATGAGGGAACAGGGGAGGGAGAATCTGCGGGATGGCCCTCGCTCGGACAGCCCCCTGAATTTTGGTGAATGTCTTATGTAATACAAAGGCTCCTATTCACGATGACGGCTCTCCGTTCTTCAGTGCACATGCCTGCTGAGCCTGCAAGGCCAGGCTGCTACGTACAGCAGCTCTGGGACCACCGAGGGTATCAAGGGTATTGGGGGGTCAACTGGTACCTACCCCGACCCCTACCCTTGCGCACCCTTACCCCCTACCCCCAAGGGTAGTGGCTACCCCTGCTATGCACTATCGAGGTGGACGGCGACGCGCGGGCGCTAGTGTAGTCGCGGTGCACCGTACAGCGGCGGTGCGTGCGTATCAACGGTATTGCAGAAGTACACTTACCAGATTGATTCTTTCATCGCAGCCATGAGTTCCATAGGGGAGGCATGTGGAGATGCGGTGACAAAGCGAACACAGAACTGTTTCTCGAGCATCTCACGAGAGAGGCTTGCGTTCGACATATAGATTACGTGGTGCTTATTCCACTGCTTGGAGATGTTCCCAGAAACATCGTCCATGAAGACGATCAGAGGAACGGCATAAACCATCCGACCTTTCGACTTCGCGCGAAGCGGATTCGGCATCTTAGCAGCATACGTAGATGAGCCATCTACGCAATGACACGGCGCCGTGGTGAGCGACGCGCACTGTTTAAAACAAGTAAACATACCTTCAAACCCCACCAACATTTTACCCTGTTCAACGAGTTCGGCGTATGAAAGATTGAACCAGGAGATGGGCGCGATAACGCGTCTTGAACCAACCTGGTATTTGCCCTGCAATGGTATCTTTCAGTCACCATGCGGACCTCCGAATGACAGAAGAAACCTCACGCCTGGAAGTACAGTGACCTCGCACACGAGAGCGTGAAGCTTGTAGTCCACTTCAACACTCTGGTTCCGCTCCAAAGGCTCCGCAGGTGCATAGAAGAAACGTTCGGGTATATAAAATGTGCCGTGAATAGTCTGCAGTAGTTCGTTCACAAAGAAAATGCGTCCGCGCACTCGAACTGCAGGTGAGGAGAGTTCATCGGGAAGATCCTGGAGCATTTTAGAGCCGTCGTGCACCTCGGATACCGAATTCGCATTTGCGCGAGGGTAGTCCGTCATAGCATGTCTGGTGAGCGGATTAGAGAAGTCCTGGGCCGATCATCTATAAGTATCCGAGAGCGATGAGCTGCGGGGAAGGAACGTGGTATACCTTTGCAATGGCGGCATGAACTTCGTTCATGTAGAAGATATTGCCGGCCAAGGATACAACCTTGCGAGTGATGCCGTTGTCGAGTTCTCGGATAGCAGTGTCTGCTTTCTTCAAGGCATACATAGACGGCACATCAACGGCGTGCATCGCCTTTCCCCAGCTCAGAACGGCTCGTTTTTGTGCGTCCGAGAAGCGCAGCGTTGTAGAACTGAACAGAGTATGTGTAAGGAATTCCTGCACCGAAAGGCGTCAGAAGTAGGATATAAGGCTCCGAACACACTGCAGCATTTACCGCCATAGACGACCAAGGATGCGCCGGGTTCTCGGCCGGAGGTTTTCTTTGTGCTGACGTGCATGCACATCGAGATCCTGCAGCACGCACCCCGCAACATGTGTCTGACGAGGGCAGGGGTTGGTAAGTCGTGGAGATCAAGTGAGTGGACACGAACTTCGGTGACTTACCTTCTTGAATCTGCGAGGTACGAAGGGCGTCCAGGCATCCATCATCAAGTTCGCCAATCTCGTCACTGTATGACGGATGTGTTCCGATCGAAAAGCGTGTTTCTCCGCGTTCACCAGAGTTGGTAGTGTCGAGAGCATCTGCAAAGAGGTCGGAGAACTCGAACGTATCGCCCAACTCAACCACGTCTGCATTAGAGCTAACCCATGGCATTCCAGCCATGAGCCCGTCCTCATTGCTCTCAACTGCAGAAACACCTTGCCACGGTGTTTGTAAGGCATCGTCGTCATTCGTCGGAGGTTGAACGCGGTGTATATTCGTCGGTAGGATGTCGGAGGCGACGACAAACGGAGAGTGGAGGACTGTGGGAGCAAAACCTGTAGTAGAATGGTCCATCACGTTTTCTCGCGTGTCTACTTCCATGGGAGAGCCACAAATCTGACGAGTCGCAGTGAGAGATGAGGATGACCGCCGTGACCTGCCGACGTCGAATTTGGAGCTCCGGCGCTGGAGCAGTCGTGCTCGTTTGTGTTGGGTCGAGTGTGAGTGAGAAACGGAATTCTTTGCAAGCATAGTAGGCCGAGTGCCTTTGATAGGACATGCGGGACATATTGCGCATCGAACCTCTTGCCCGTGTAGTCGCACAAACTCTGGTGCAGAGCCGCGGAGACGACATGGATCAGCATCTGAAATTTCAAACGACAGGAAAGTTGTCTCACCGTGACTTCTGACAAGTTCTCCGATAGTTTTTGGTTCGCCATTCATATTGATGGTTGAACGAGGACCGGGAGACGGTCGCACTCAAGAGCGCGACCAGCTTGCACAAGTGATCATGTGCTGCGAAATCGGCCTGAAAGCGCTGGCGCGCGACGGATTCGGACGCTGCTGGCCTCTCACCCTCTCTTGCGTTCTCACCATGTCAAGCTTCGCTAGGGATCACCACGGGTAACCCTCGGGTCGCCCGAGGGCTACCCGTACCCTCACCCGCAGATACCGTGACCCGTGTAGCGCGGGTGGGGGTACACGCAGGTCCGCTGTTTCGACCCGGGGGTTCACTCGGGTACGGACCCTCCACGGGTCACCCGCGGGTACTGTACAGTAGTATCACGCAAAGATTATAAATAGTAACTACTAGTATGCAATGTCGTTTACAGGTGACGCATGGCCGAAGGACCGTTGGGCGCGAACGTACAAGGCACATCGGGTGTGGAAGAGCTGAGTGTGGGAGCGCCGGGGATTGGACGCGTTGAGGACACGGGCGTGTCGTGCAGCCACCCGTCGTTGCCGTGGGGAGGTCGTGTGTGAGGTGTGCGCGTGCCGCGCGGTTTGCCTCAAGGCACGGCCCGCATCGGCGGCGTAGTCGATGGCGCACGCGGGGACGAGGGTGGTGAGGGTGGTGAGGGAGGTGGATGCGCGGAGGTTGGGCGCGCACCTTAGAGCTGGGTCTGCATCGTGAACGCGCACAGGGCGTTTGAGCGGGAGAGGAGGGGGCGCGATGAAGGGAACGGAAGGGGTGCTTACTGGGGTACGTGGGAACGCCGTCGGGCTCGGGTGGTCGAGGGGACGGGGGAACAGGTCGAGGGCGGCACGGAGGATGACAAGGCCGAGGCGGATGAGGTCGAGGGCGGCGTGGATGAGGGCGACGCGCAGGCGCGCAGGGAGGTGGGGAGCGCGGGAGAGGACGAGGTGGAGGGCCGGGACGAGGTTGGGGAGGTGGAGGGCGACCTGAACGGAGGCGGGCGAGGTGAGCAGGCGGGGTGAGGCGGTGTGCGGGTCTCCGCTGCACATGGGAGTCTGCGGGGCGGAGCCGGGGGCGAGCATTGAGTGCGCGCTGTAGGGGGGCGTGCGGGACGTGCAGGGAGAACCGCCTGGGGCGAGCGATATGACGGGGTGCCGATGCGGCGAGGGTGTCCGAGGAGTAGGTCAAGGTGGGTGCGGAGAACTAGAGCGGAGCCCGAGCCCAAGCGCGGACGTCGACGCAGACGGCGGGAGGCCGTAGCCCGACGCACGCCGGGATGCACGAGCTCGCTCGCGCCCAACGCGGACGTGGACGTGTCGAGTGGTGCCTGGGAGAGCGGCTGGCGCATGGGCGACATACGTGGAGGTGGGCGAGGCGTAGGAGGCTGGTGCAGAGGAGGACGCGAAGGAGGAGGGTGGCGCAGGTGGAGGCGGGCGACGGAGAGGCGAATGACGCATGGTGGTGGGCACTGTGGACGTGGGCGACGCAGAGGCGGGCGACGCAGAGGCAAAGGAGGCCGGTGCAGAGGAGAACGGCGCGGAGATTCGAGACGACGTGGACACGGAGGACGCGGAGGAGGAGGAGGGCAGCGGAGGCGAAGGCGGGCTAGGTGGACATCCCGGCACGAACGAGCTGGACATGCAGGAGAGCGGAGGGGGGTGAGGCAGGTAGGCGTACATACTCACCGAACTAGAAAGAGGTCGCCGTAACTCACGGCGGCCCCTATATCCTCATCTCCTGGGGGAAGACGTCTGGGTGGACGTCCTCCGCATGCCGTAGGTGTCGACGCGGAGGAGCGCAGCGCAGGCGAGGCGGAGGGCGGTGAGGAGGTGGACGACGTGCGCGAAAGTGGACAAGGCAGAGGAGGTGGTGGGCGACGAGGAAGGCCGCGACGCGGGCAGAGGTGGACAACGCGGACACGGAGGGGGCGGAGGTCGAGGTGTGCGACATGGACGCGGAGGTTAAGGGCCAGGTGGAGGCAGGGGCGAGGACGGGCGGCGAAGGATGGGAAGGGGGCTGGGAGACGGGTTGCGCCAGGAGAGGACCCGCACACCAAGTGCCGTCTCGGGGTGGTTTGCGAGGAGGTTGCGGAGTGGCCAGTCGGGGTTGCTTGTGCCGGTGTGGACGACGCGAGGGAGTCTCAGGGCGCTTGCACGGCCGTGGCATGCACGGGTAGACACGGGTCCCGCGGGCCGGCTGCGGGTACCCGTGGTGTGCCGCGGGTGCTCTGACCACTACCCGTACCCTCACCCGCGCGACCCCCACCCGTGACCCGCGCGGGTTTTGCATACCCGTGATGATCCCTAAGCTTCGCCATCCACTCCTCCATCCTCGATCTTGATGTCAGTCCCACGGGATCTCTACGCCATCCTGTCGACCTTCATCTTTCACTCCTTGGTCGCCTTCCACCTGAATTACGTGACCGCAAAGTCGTGAGTGTCTCATCTCTAATCCTCGAGTCTCGACTGCGCTGACCCCACAACCATAGCCCCTCCACATTGCTGTCTTCCTGCCTGCTGAATACGCCTCTCACATATTTCCACTCTCCCTTATATCCGCTACGCCTTTACCCAATCCGCTGGGAGTAGAGATACGCAGTGAGGCTGAAACGACCCAGGTACGTGTCCCGATTCCCCATGTGTTTCAAGACTGTTCATTCTCGTCCAAGATTGTAGAGCTTCTTCACGGAGCCCCCCCTTCCTTCCTTCCAATACCATTTACTTTCAACCCTCGGAACGGGGAAGACTGGCAGGCAATGTCCGAGCGGATCAGTGACTGGCTCCTCTCCCAAGTCCAAGATCGCTCTTCCGCGCTCTGGACTTGGGGCCGGGAGGCGTTCTGGATCGCATTCATTGCCGCCCATCCCTTGTTCCCTGGCGGCGAATGGCCGCGATGGTCGCCTGAAATCGCGCTTGACGGTGTATTTGTTCGTCACTGGGTATATAACATGGACCGTAGACGAGTTTTCGGTGGTTCATACGATGTGTACGGCGAGCTCTGGGCTCGTTTCAGATACCATGTCTCCTTTGTTTTGTAGAAGCATCCTCCTCTATATTTAGTAGTTTCGTCCGCGCCACCTGTCATCCACCCCGACGCCGTTATAGCCATGCGATGGACACTCAACGCAGATACGATATTTCACATACAATCCTGAAGATTTCGTATTGATAGACCACCATACTTCTTGGCCGATGCATCACGATAACTTGCCCTAAACATACGACTACATTCGGATGAGATCTCATGTGCTCCAATGGGTACCTTGTCCATATGCGAAACAGGATACACCAGAAACATCCCTGCGTGCCTCCAGGGTGAGGTCTGACCTGATATGGTGCTTCATCAGTCGTACATCCTGGCAAACCCTGCACGATCTACAGGCTCACAAATCCAGTCGATCTATTCTAAGAGATAACGGTCGATTGGGCGTGTATTGCACGCATTTTGGGGGGTGTGAGGGCTCAGTACAGGCACACCCAGCCAACTCCAGCTATTGCATTGTGTACCATTAGGTGCGCATTTTAAATACAAGCGGATCCCAAAAGGAACGGAGGGAAACGGAGAGGAGGGCACATCAGGAAAAAACGATTTGCTCGAGGGCATCAGTCTGAACCGGGGGGCGCGCACGTGCTCGTACCCATGGAACAGAGTGCTCTGGAGAGCTATGGAGCAGGAGATTGAGATCAAGAGCCTGCCCGAGCTTCGATGGCGGCTCTCTCGATCTCGCGCATTGTCCGTGCTGCTCCAGGGGTCTCCTGTGTCTCGCCTACCACGCTGGCGGTCTCATGGGTCACCTGTGCTGCTTCCGCGAGCTCTCGCGCATCGCACCTAGTAAGCGCGGCCTCCAGTGTCGGCCTGGCCGCTGAACGAGGGCTCTCGAGTTCACATCCGAACCCAGTTTCGGACAAGATGGGTGCCCAGTGCGACGCCGATGCAGGCCGGGTGACGGATATGTGCGTAGGTCTGCGTGCAACGAGCGCGTGGTCAGACTTGATGACGATCTTGCCGAGCTGGTGCATGGTGGATCGGAGGCGTACATGGCATATCATTGACCGTTACGTAGGTATCGTAGCAGAATGAAATCGTGATGGCGAAGGTACGGATTAACATAAAATTTCTGACATTTATCGAGCACATTATCTGTCGTCCAAGTCGGGTCAACACTGCGGCCCCATACAGGTATTAGGTGACAACTACGAACAATCGAGGTGATGGGTATGATAGAGGATCGATGGCGGCGATGGTGGGTAGAGACTGATACACGAAACATACCAGTGATTGGGTCGGGCTCACGGAATGGGGTGAACCATTCAACGTACGCAAGCGGATGCTCAAAACGAGCTCCGAATGTCGCTGGTACACGAAAGATAGCTCGGACTCGAGCCACCCGCAAACCTGCAAGATCGGAGAAATGATCAGTGCCTATTAGATCACTAGAATCTCGCGGGTGAGAAACGGGCACATACCTTCAACGGAGACCACGGGCCCCGCATCCGTCGGATCCACTCCAGGTTCCCATGCAAGGACCGTGTCGAAATGAGCCGGGGTTGCAGGATGGAGCGGACGAGCTGGCTGCCGAGGTGAAGCCCGGACGATGTCCTTTATGGGTGTTGAGGAGACTTGGCGCAGTGCGGGGAGATAAAGGGACATTCGGCGGTATACTGGAAAGGTTTGACTGGCGATGAATATTGTAGGGGGGCGGCGACGGGAGAGGAAGACAGTTTTGAGGAAGGCTTCAAGATTCTGAACGAAATTGACGCAACCAAATCGTTGGACGAGATCGCGGATGGTGACGGCAGGGAAAGGGGGTTTCTTCGCAATGACATAGGGAGGGAGCATACCGTCGGGAGCATCCATTTCGCTCATCATAACATCTCCATCCGCATCCTCATCACCACCTGCCGCCGCGTGGCCGTGTACCATACCCGAAGCCTCGCCCGTCCTCTCGGATGCGAGTTTTGCGCGTCCTTCTTCCTTGGCCCAGTCGAGGAAAAGCTGGAACCGATGTATTGCCTCTTGCCGATTCAACCAGACTGCCATCTGCTTGATGTACGCTCGTTTGTTGGAGGCGTTGTATCCTCTTTTGGTGCAGTCGATATGCAGGCGTTCGGAAGCTTCGGTGTTGAAGCCGTCGGCGGGTCCGAGCCTGCGGATCGAGAGAGGGTAGTGGAGCGCGGCGTGGAATTTGGGGATATTGAAGTGTTTACGGATGCCGAGTGAGACGAAGACGCCTTTGTGTTCGTGGAATGCGCGCCATGAGGACTCGAGGAGAGCGAGTGAGCGACTAGTGTGAGCTTCAAAGTGGGAGTAATAGATGAAGTCGAGAACCGCGCGCGCGGCGCGCACAACATCCGGTGCAGCCGCGCCCGTGAGAGCGCCGAGGAAAACGCGCTCCATGCTCTTGTACTCCGTTCCCGTCCACTGCGACACCAGCGATATCCCCTTCTTGAAGTGCCGGAGACTGGGGTGGGATGGCATGGCTTTGAACCGCTTGTCGAGCTCATCCGCCCCGCCAGCAAGGGCGTCTGTCACCCATGAGACGGTATGGTCCTTGAACACTCCCTTGTGTAACTGATGCAGTAGGTCCGGCGTGAAGCACCCAAAGATGTCGCAATGGGGATGGTCGCGCCAGAAGGGGTCGACGGGTCGTAGGCCAAGGTCTTTGAAGTCGGAAGGTTTGTGTCCTTGGTCTTGATCGTCGATGATATCGCAGACTGACTCTTGGTCCTTCATCACGGAAGGGTCTGGGTCGCCAAGAGACCTTGCAGGGACGGCGCACTTCGGGCAGTAGTTCTCCTGGCAGCACAACACAAGGCACTGCTCTGGATGGTCCGCAACATACGCCGCAATGATCGGGTGAACTCGCCGGATAAAACCATCTGCACAGACCATCTCGACGCCGTCCTTCGCTGCCGCCTTCAATGGTTCAAGAATTTTGGCCATGCAGTGATGGAAAAGTCGCCATCCTTCGGCCGACCTGGTGGACTTCTTGAAGCATTCGAGCTTCGTCACCGGTATGTACCCGATCAGAACTGTTGCACGCATTGAGGGTTGACGACGAACACCCTTCGCGATGTTTCCTATTGTGAGATAGACGGGCCAGGCCTGTTTGTCCCCGGAGAAGCGTGAGAGCTGCGTCTTATCAGACGATAAGATGACGGGGGCAATGGTGGCTCCATCCGGAAGGTCTCCCTGCGTTGGTACGTGAGACTGTGTTTCTCAGCGATGCTTCAGGTACTCACCTGCATTTCCCACCACCAGTCGGCTGTCCACATCTCCTCAATCACGATCTCCGACCCATCTGCTCGTGCGACAAGCCTCTCTGGGCCGAACTTGAGGAACTCACGGAATGCTGGGTTTCCGATGAGTTCGCGGATGCATTCCACTGGATCTCGTCGCCATAACTCCACGTCTTCTGTCTTTGGTGCGCCTGCCTCGTCCACCTCATCGCCCACCACCTCCCACTCATGACAGATCCAATCTGCCGTGCTTGTTGGTAGCTGATCGAGCTTCTTCAAGAGCTCGTACTTGTTTTTGAAGGACAAGTCTGCTGTATGGCGAACCTGCAAAGGTTCAATTAGGTGAGTCTCGATTCGTTCATCATTGCGTAGAGTGTGCGTGCAGGTGTGAGCCGACGTCACAGGCATGCGCTTGGGCTGGGAGGGTGTGCAGCCAATGGTGTCCGCCAGACTACCCAAGCGGCACCCTTCCACGCCTGCGTGTTGTGGTTGGTTGCACGGCCTCGCGGGCTGCACGCATGCATGACGCACCAGGGCTTAGATGATCTGACACGCACCAATGGTAGTGACAGGTAGTTCTCGATGGCCTCCTGGCTTAGCCCACTCGTCAGCAGCCACTTCGCCACGTCCCACTCCTCCTCGGATGCGAATGGCGAGACAAGAGGGAGGTTGCCTTCAAGCTTTTGAGCAAGCAGATGTTCGAACTGGGTGCGTGCTCTGCGTAGCCTTTCGCCCGCACGGTTTGACTCAGGATATTCACCGCTGATGGGACGCTAACGCCGGGAGGCGCGCGAAGAAGGGGTGCGAAGGGGATCGCGTGCGAGCTCGTCGAGCTTGTACCACGGGAAGTCGGCCCGGCGCGAGAGGGGAAGGCGAGCGCGAGAAGGAGAAGGAGGAAGCGCGATGCGCGCGGAGACGATGTGGAGGACGGCGAGACGGCTGAGGCGGATGGCGGAGGACGGACGTGCGGAAGGCGGAGGACTGACGTGCGGGAGGCGGCGGCGGCGGCGGACTGAGGGCGGACTTGGGTGAGTGACACGCACGATATGGGGGCGTCGAAAACTGTCGATAGAGCACAACGACGGCTAGACTAAATACACGAGTGAGTGCGAGGCGTAGTAACGAGTCTGTGCGGGCTGAGAGCGGGCATACCGGCGAAGGAATGAGGCAGAATAATCGAAAGGAAGGTAGGGAGAGAGACGAGGGAATGTAAAGTGGAGGCCGCGCAGCCGCCGTGTGGTCACGAACTATGGCAGCGAGACATGCGGAGGTGTTTGGTAGGGCGAAGCATGTACCGAGGAGGCTGGAATATTGTATAGATGAGACAGAAGTAGCGGAAACGGGGCGGAGCGGGAGATGTGGGGCAACGAGAGGGAGCCGCGTGCGCGCGCAGCAACGCAGTGGCGGCGACGTCGGGCTGGCATGGGGCGCGGGCGTCGGTGAGGTAGTGGTTGGTGCGGCGCGCAGACCGGTGGAGGTGCGGTTGCAGCTGGGTGGTTTGGTACGAGGCGCGCCGCGCGCGCGTGGCCGCGCGGCATGCGCATCATCCCCTCCCTACTTAGATATGAACCCACCAGGGGTTATATCTCAAGCGGGAACTGAGACGAAGCGGCAGCGCGAGCGTGGTGGGACAAGACAAGAGCGGAAGCAAGTGGCACGAAGCTGCTGCGGGGATGTGGGGACCGAGACAAAGCATAGCGCGAAGCCGTGCGGGCGGAAAAAATTGGGGGGTGGAGGAGCGTCTTGTACGCTGCGGGGACGCAGGAGAGCGGTTCCAAGAGGGGGCGTACCAGGTAATGAAGCCAAGACCCTCCCTACTTGAACCTGAACTCCGCGGCATACTCCAGATGCGCGCATCGGGCGCCCTGCTCTACAGCGCGTCTTCATCGTCTTCGACGTGGTCGGGGGTGATGGATTCGGTGGGGTCGAGCTCGTCGTCGTCGCCGAGGGACGTCGCAGCTCTGCGATTGCGCAATAGCACCGCATAAGGGCCAAGATATCGCGGCCGCGTCCTTTTATTGAGAGATTTCTCGCTGGCGACGTCGCGGACGAGCACGAGTGTGCCGCGCGTGGAGTCGAAGTGGTGGATGGTGGAGGCGAGCTCGCGCTTGAGCTTCTTCGCGGCGAGAATGCGGGCGGCGTAGACATTGGCGTGGGTGCGGACGATGTCTTCGCGGCGGTGTGCGAGCGTGCGGGCGCGGGTGTTGATGAGTCCGTCGGGCGGGAGTTCGAGGAAAGTGGCTTCGGCGAGGTCAAGAGGGCGGGCCGGGTGAGACCCAGTGACAGCGGAGTGTGCGGAGCAGTCGAGGCAGCGATGGACGGTGTTGTGGTCGGCCCAGAGGATATGGTGGTGGTATTGCGGCCAGCGCGATTGGTCTCTGTCGACGGCCTTGAAGAGAGCTTGACGCATGTCGAAGGGCAGTCGCGCGATGCTGCCGTTGGCGTAGTGTGTTTTGGCCGGCTTCTTGTGCTCTTCTTTACAACGGTTTTGTACTTCTTCTTGGCGGAAACAACGGCGGGGGCCGGCACTGAGGAGCTGATGGAAGACGTGGAGGGAAGAGACGAGATGGATACCGGACACGGGGCAGATGGTGATGGAGCATGTGAATGGATGGAGAAGGCGAGGATAGAAGAGTGGGGTGAGTCGGGGTAGTAGAGCGTATACGGAACAGAAGGGTTACGGAGGGTGTCAGTTCTGGGGAAATCGGGGTCGCAGCCGGATAAATAGAGTAGTAGGTCGAGGTCGAAGAGGCTGATGTTGTCGCCGAGATTAGGATAGGCTTTGATGGCGGGGGTGGGAGAATCAGGATGGGGGCCGGCGATGAGTGCGATATCTCCCTGATCATGGACCAGATCCTCGACACCTAAAAATCCTGCTGTTCTTGTTCGTCTCGCGAGGCGTACTCACCCATCTTGAACTCCGGTGGTCGCCGAGGCGCGGTTGGGATAGTGGTGTTGGCGCCAGAGTACGGATCGGTGAGTGTTATAGTCTGAGATCCGTCGATACGGGTGCGGACGATGCTGGCTGCGCAGACGGAGAAGGGGCGGCCGAGGAGGACGTCATAGGCGGGCGAAGCAATGATGTGGAAGGGGAGGTACAGCGAGAGTGTGCCCACTTGAACGGGGACGTTGCGGGCGAGGCCGAGGGAGTAGTTGAATTCGCCGTTGGCGCTTTGCATGCGGAGGATGATTTTCGGGTCATACGCTAACCCTAGGTGATGACAGACGGCCTCGGACATGGCCAGGACGGAACAACCAGAGTCGAGGATGCAAGAGACACGTGTCTTGTTGAGGAAGACGGCATCAAGCGCGTGGATGGAGGTAGACTCGACCGCCTCGAAGACATCGCGAGGCGCACCTGGAGGGAGACTTTTGAGGTACGCTTCCACTGGGTCTTGCGCGACGAGAGCATCGACGGGCGGGGATGCTTGAGCTGCAGCTGCAAAGGCGGCAGGCATGTTGTTGGCGAGAGCGCTGCTCCGTGAAGTGCGCATGTCGTGGGGGGAGGGCTGGGTGGTGCGGTCGACATCCTGAGTGAGTGCTGTCGTATTTGGAGTGCGCTTTGGGGTGACGAGGTTGCGGACGTAGGCACAGTAGTCCGGCGACATGGACAGTAGCTCGACCTCCGAGATGAGCTTGTTTTGTGCGGACAGATTGCGTTTTGCGACGTTTTTGAGGTGCTGTGGGTCATAGACAGGCGGGCGCGTGGAGAATGCGGGGGACGGTTTCGGGGCGGCAGATACGGCAGGTCGAGGAGGAGGAGCACCGAAGTTGCGCTGGGTGGGCGGAGCGTAGGTTGCATCACGGACGTCGGAGAACGGGTGCTCGCGCACGGGCAGGTGCGTCGTTGCGGACTTGTCAGAGGTGCTTGGGGGCTGACTGTATTCGTCGTCAGTGTCAGCAGCAGGCGCGGTCACAGGAACACCTTGTGCGGGACCCGGGAGAGGCGGCAGAGGTCGGGCGATGGCACGCGTCGGCTCGTCGGGGGCGCGGCGTACAGGTGCGTCCTCGTCTGGTACCTCTTCGATGCGCGCGGAGGGCTGCGGCAGGAGTCCTTCTGGGATGCGTGGGGCGGGCGTCAGCGGGCGCGGGGCGGGCGGAGCGTCGTCATTGAAGCGGACAAGGCGGCGTCCGGCGCGCTCAGAACGGCTGCTGGTAGACGGAGCACTGTGCTGCGCGCGGCGGCGCTCGAGGGCCAGGATCTCCTGTCGATGGCTCTCAATCTGATCCTCGAGGTCGAGGTCGAGATCGTGGGTTGGCGCGGGGGTGGGCAGCTGAGGGGCGGCGGCGGCAGTACTATAGGTAGATGCGGTAGAGACAGCGGCGACGGCAGAGTGGAGGATGTCGAGAAGCATCTGTGGCGCCGTGTTCACGACGGTGGACCGAGCATCCGGGTATGCTTGATGGTAGTTCTGGAATCGTTCTCGCATGGTGTTGCCGGGGGTCGTGCGTGGAACAAAGGAGCCGTTGGGAAGGACGAGCTTGCCGTCCACAGCGCGCCGTGTCATGAATCCGGCCGCGATGTCGGCGTCAACGTGCGGACAGGTTCGGATGCCGTGCCCAGCGTCGTCACAGTAAAAGCATCCCGCAGACTGCGGTACAGCGGCGGGGAGGTGTGGAGGTCGGTCGCGAACGAGGGCTACTGGGGCTGCTGGTTGCGCGGTGCTCATGCGCTGCTGGCTGAAGAACATGTTGAGAGTCTCCACGAGCTGGGCGACTTCGGACTTGACCGGTGTTGCAGCAGGGACTGGGGCAGTGGGACTAGCGGTGGCGCCAAGGCTGATGACCGACGCTTCGAGGACGTGGTGCGCGGCAGCCGTGACCTGCGCGATAGTGTATGCGTCCCGCGGATATCGGACGGCGGTCTCGGTGATGCGAAGGCGGTCGAGGACGGAGGTGCGCATCGTGGGAGGGAGGCCATTGATGAACAGATGGTCACGGTCTTCGGTGCGGAGCTGCCGTCCTGCAACAAGGACAGTGGCAATGGCCCGGAACTGTCGACTGTAGATGTTGAAGTCCGCAGTTGAGTCGAGCGTACCGCGCGCCGTTGTTGAGACGTGGAGGTCGAGGTCGCGAAGGCTGTAGAGTCCGGTGCTGTTGTCGCCGACGTACTCCTTCTTGACGGCTGCTTGGAACTCTTCATACGTCCTAGTGTCGTCCGTGAATTCTTCGAGTGCACGCCAGGTCGTCTTCTCAGAATCTGGAGCATAGCGGACCGTGTGTGTCTTCTTCTCCTTGTCGGTAAGAGGGGCGGCTTGGTCGAAGATGTAGTCCAGGTCTTCGAAGAAGCCGATAATGGAGCGGGCGTCGGTGGTAGGGCTGAAGCTGGGAGCGCCCGAAGCACCACGGAACGGCATGCGAAACGGCTGAGCCATGGTGGGATGTTGCTGGAGGTCGGTAAGGACGGGAGGGGAGGTTGGGAGGTTGGGATTGGGGTGCGTGAGCGGAAGTTGTGACCACTGGTCTAACGAGGTGTTGAGATAGGAGAGATCTGGGGAAACGGGGCGACTCGGTGCGGGGAAGGGGAGGTTGCGAAGGAGGATGGAGCGGATCTCTGACTCAGAATCTGAGTCGGAGAGGAGGTCGTGGAGGCGGTTGTGAGTGGCTAGTGGCGAAGGTACGTCGTCAAAGAATTCGTCGTCACTGAAGAGCTCTTGCACAGCGATGCGCCAAGTAGCGCGTTCTTGTTCTTGCTCGGCTTGAAGCCGGAGGGATGCACGTGTTGTGCGCGACGTGCTGGAAGACTGCGGGAGGGATGGCGGAGGTTGAGAAAGCGGTGATGCGGGTGGAGAATGTGTGATGGACGAGAGCAGGGAAGGCGGAGAGGTCGTGACGGAGGTGAGTGGGCTACTCGCCGAGTACAGAGGCTCGAACTAAAGCAAATGCTCTAGCTGATACCCTCGCGGTGGGCTCCAAGTTGATGGGACGCTAACGCCGGGAGGCGCGCGAAGAAGGGGTGCGAAGGGGATCGCGTGCGAGCTCGTCGAGCTTGTACCACGGGAAGTCGGCCCGGCGCGAGAGGGGAAGGCGAGCGCGAGAAGGAGAAGGAGGAAGCGCGATGCGCGCGGAGACGATGTGGAGGACGGCGAGACGGCTGAGGCGGATGGCGGAGGACGGACGTGCGGAAGGCGGAGGACTGACGTGCGGGAGGCGGCGGCGGCGGCGGACTGAGGGCGGACTTGGGTGAGTGACACGCACGATATGGGGGCGTCGAAAACTGTCGATAGAGCACAACGACGGCTAGACTAAATACACGAGTGAGTGCGAGGCGTAGTAACGAGTCTGTGCGGGCTGAGAGCGGGCATACCGGCGAAGGAATGAGGCAGAATAATCGAAAGGAAGGTAGGGAGAGAGACGAGGGAATGTAAAGTGGAGGCCGCGCAGCCGCCGTGTGGTCACGAACTATGGCAGCGAGACATGCGGAGGTGTTTGGTAGGGCGAAGCATGTACCGAGGAGGCTGGAATATTGTATAGATGAGACAGAAGTAGCGGAAACGGGGCGGAGCGGGAGATGTGGGGCAACGAGAGGGAGCCGCGTGCGCGCGCAGCAACGCAGTGGCGGCGACGTCGGGCTGGCATGGGGCGCGGGCGTCGGTGAGGTAGTGGTTGGTGCGGCGCGCAGACCGGTGGAGGTGCGGTTGCAGCTGGGTGGTTTGGTACGAGGCGCGCCGCGCGGCATGCGCATCACCGCGCCATAAATGCTTGGGGATACCGCCCGCATCCTCATCTTCGACTTCTTCAACCGTCACCCTTCCTGGACCAGGTTGTCGACTGTTCGAACTGGGATCTCGTGCGCCGTCAACGGGAAGGTGCAGGTCCGGGGAAGGCGCCAGTGGGATAGTCACGTTGTCGACCTCGAAGGTTTCGAGAGAAGGGCTTGCTGGAGGTGAGTGGAGAAGTTCTCGAACACGCTGATTTTGTCGCTCATTCCGAGTTGTTCTGCATGTGGTAGACTGGGTGATATGAGAGTGCACTCCTTGAGCTGTGGGGAATAAGGCTGTTTGCGGCTCCGGCTCACTTCGCGGGTAAACCCGGGATGATCCGGAGCCGTGAGCCGGGGATCATGAGCCGGGCGGCTCCAGCTCTTCCCGGCTCCGGCTCCCAGCGGCTCCGGATCAAGGAGGCTGAAAATTGGCGGATCTGCGGCTCGATCCACGGATTATCCGCAGATTCTCAATACACATACCATGTAAGATATGTCATACGAAATCCATTTAAAGCATCTTTCTAACGATATAACATGTGTGTGATTTGGTGCAGAAGTGACTGAGATATTGATATAGTACTATTTTCTTGCATTTCGAGAGCTTTTGGCGCCTGCATCCGGCGTCTGTACGCGGGAATCCGTCCCGATCAGGCAGTGTTTGGATTCGAACGCGGGTCTCGCGCGTCGCTTGCTCGCCGTCCGCGTCATCCCTCCTCCAATCTTTCCTCATTTCTCCGCTTGCCTTCCACCCTCCGTCCGCGCGGTGTCATCGCGTTAGCGCGTGCGGCCATCCTCAAGCCCCCCAGTTGTGCTATGGGGTCGCGGTGAGCTCCCGCGGCCCCGATCTCCTCTGGTGAGTTTTCCCGCGTCCTTGCCCGTCTCGCGCTCACCCTCTCGCGATCCCCCAGCTTGCCCCCGCCTCGCCCTCATCGATCATCTCGCGTCGCCCACCGCCACCTCCGCGTCGTCTTCAGCACCACACGTCTCGCGCACCTCCCGTCTCGCCCGCGTTACGCGTCTCGCCCGCGTCGCCCTCGGCCTCGCCCGCGTAGCCCACGTCCCCCGCGTGCCCCGCGTCGCCCGATCCTCCGCCCACGCGGCGTCATCGCGCGGGGGTACGTGGCCGTTCTGTGGGGTCGCGGAGACCCCCCGCGGCCTCGATCTGCCCTGGTGAGTACTCCCCCGCCCCCTCTGCTGCCCGCGTGGCCTCCCCCTCCCCTGCGCTCGCAACCCCCGCCGACCCGCTCCCTGGACGACCCTCGCCCCCGTCCTCGTCCTCGTCCTCATCCTCCTCACCCTCGCTGACCTCGCCGTCACCCGTCTCAGCCGCAAACCAAGCGTCGCCTTTATCCCCATCCCTCTCCCCCTCGTCGCGATTGCGCCCGCGTCGTGCACTTGTCCACATCGCCCTCGTTCGGCGCGTCCACACCCACGGCCCTCACTTCGCCTGCGTCGCCCGCGTCTCGCCCGCGTCTCCCTCGTCTCGTCGCCTTCACCTCGTCCACCTCGCCCTGCGCCCACGTCGTGTCCACAACATCCTAAGCGCCCTCGGCCGTGTCGCCCTCGTCTGGTGCGCCCACGCCCGTGCACCCCACCTCGCCCACGTCTCCCACATCGCTCCTGCGTCCCCCGCGTCTTCCCCACGTCCCCCACGTCCCTCGTGTCTCCTCCGTCTTGTCGCCTTCGCCCTTGTCCACGACGTCCGTACCCGCGTCGCCCACCGCGCCCTCATCCACATCACCCTCGTCCGGCGCGCCCTCGCCCACGTCGCCCGCGTCTCGCCCACATCTCTCGCGTCTTGTGGTGGGTGCCCTCGTCCACGTCGTCCGCTTCCCCCGCGTAGCCCTCGTCCGGCGAAACCGCCCGCGCCATCCCCACATCGCCCGCGTCCCGTCCCCGTGTCGTCTCAACCCTCGCGCCCACTTCGCCCATCTAGCCTGCCCTTCCCGCGTTGCCCCCGCGTCATCTCCGCATGTCCCTTGTCGGACGCGTCGCCCCCGACACCCACATTGTTTGCAATCTGTATTGGTGTATCTCGTAGTATACAAATATAAATTTGTGTGTGCCACTTCTGCATGTACTAAGTCTGATGAACAATGAGGATGAATGTTTTCCTACGACCTGAAATGATGTGATTGAGTGAGAAGGATCCTCAGAACCCATAGACCCGCAATGAGCCACAGAGTGCGGCTCATTCGGCGGCTCGATCCGCGGATTGCGGCTCCAGATCGCGCGGCTCCGGCTCTTCCAGCGGCTCTGATCCATGCGGATCTGGATCAAGCCCCCGGAAGTCGCCTGATCCGTGGGTTCGGATCCGGATCATCCGTGGATCGATCCGCAAACAGCCTTAGTGGGGAAGCTTCGGCTGCAAAATTGACAGATGTAATGGCGGACACCGCGGGGCATGGTGTACAGCAGTGGAGGGGAAGTCCAGTGAGACGGATGGAGGTACTACACACAAGCTCCCGTTAGCCTGGACATTGACAAGCTGACGCATTTTTTTCAGCGGCAAACACTGCCCCACCGTTGCGACTCACGTCACTCCATAGCAACTTAACAGCTCCACCACCTGGAGCCCACGCAGACCTTCCCTCTTCATGGCTCCCTCCACCCGCACGAAGAGACCAGCTCCCGGTTATGACTCGTCACAAGAGAATCAGCCCCCATCGGAAGACGAGGTGAGATCTACCTTGCAGTTTGCCACACAGCATTGCCGTATACGGACAGACTACTCAAATTAGGTACCTCAGAATCACGATGAAGAGCCTCAAGTGCAGCCTAGGGAGAAGCGAAGGCGGAAATTGACCGAGAAGCAGCGGCAAGCAGGTTCGTCATCACCTTGGCTTTGAGTTGTCTTCAGGGAGTTCAGACATAGACATCATTTGCAGATATCAACGATGACGAGCAAACCGAAGCTCGACTGAAGCGTCAGCTCCAGAAACACCGGAAGAAAATGAAGACGAAGAAACAAGGCGTGGAAGTGAACGATGACAATGAGGACTCCATGGGGCCAGAGTCAGAGGACGACGAGGTCGACAGCAGTGGCGTGGTTTTGCGCAGCAACGGTATGCGTGCCAAGGTCTGTAGTACTTCGGGATTTTGCTCACTAGGCTCACCGAAACTCATTGACGGTTCTCAGGTGCGCGAACGATACGAGACCCCACAGCACCCAGTCCCTGCAATGCACATCACTCGCCGGGAGGGTCATGGTAGGTCTCCGCAAGAGGATACAATGGATGGGTCACCCTGCCAACAACCGCAGCGTCACTCCGAACTGCAGTTGCTGCCACAACCTCCTGCCTCGCAACCACCCTCACGCCCTCAGCCCTTGTCTTCCCCATCGCGTGGACGTGACCATGAGCTATTCCGTTTCTCACCATCACGCGGTCGTGCACCATCGTCCCCTGCCCAGGCGTCACACGCCAGTCCTGTGACATCGTCCCGCCGCACTCGCTCATTGTCACGACCCTGGCCCTCGCCATCCCGCACGCATTCATTGCCCCGCAATCAATCACGGTCCCGTGGCCTGGGTCTGTCCCATGTCCGGCAGTTGTCCACCTCACCAGCTCGAGCAGGCCCTATCACCAGTGCGACCAACCTGTCGCTTCTGCGCAATGGTATCAGTCTGAAGAGCCGCCCATTTGTTAGCGACTACGTTCCGGACATCAAGTCTCTGCTGGATCAAACCGTTGATGGGGTATATTGCTACCTATATACCACTAATGCATTCCCCAATCGCCATGATTTGCAACGCACTGTCGTGGGTGCGTGGCAAGCTGTATGCGCATCCCACAGAACTCTAGCCCCCGAAGCACCTGTGTATGCCCTAGATGAACGCATGGTCCGTGCAGTACGTCATCCCATAGTCGCTGTTCCATCTAGGATTGGTGTGCTCACATTGTCTGGAACTGCAACTACAGGTTTCGGCACGGCGGTCTAACGCTCGTGGTGAGCTGTATTCCAAGCTTCGCACCCTGACAGCAAAAGGGTACGGCTTTCGGGAGAGCGACAAGGCAAGAGACTGGAGCGAGAACGCTAAGCTCAGTGCTGGGCTACTCGTTGAAGGGACATTCCATCACAAGGTGTGTCTATTTATCGACTCGGGCACATAGGGACTCGAGGGTCACTGGTACGCACAACTCGTGAGATGCGCACGACGTGTGCAGCTCACTGTGCACGACGTGTGCATCTCACTGTGTGAGAGCCAAGATACATAGTATGGCTTACCACGCTTGCGACTCCGTGTGTTGTTCACCGTGTGCGCGAGGTGTGCAGTTCACCCTGCACGATGTGTGCAGCTCACAGCCCACGAGGTGTGCAGCTCACCACACCGTGTGCGAGGTGTGCAGCTCATCGCGCGACGCGCGACTTGACGCGTGGCTCACTGCGCCATGCGCGACTTGACGCACGGCTCACTGCGCCACGCGCGACTCGGTGGGCAGCTCACCGCGCCATGCACGACTTGGTGGACAGCTTACCGCGCTGCATGCGAGATGTGTATAGCTCACCGCGCGGCGCGTGAGACGCCGATAACAAGTCTGACATGTTTTCTAAAACACCTAGACATATGATCTTGGAGCACCAGGACGCCCACCGATGAGAGACCGGTTCGCGGAGAGCGCCATCGTTTTTGATGCGATCCGCGCATTCTTCTTTGACCGAGCAGAAACCAGTATCGCGTTTCGCTTCCCTACGCAGTTTAATCCGATGCCAAATGCGGTCATTGCGCTGGTGATGACAGTGGTGGGTGTCAATGACTCGTCTATTGTTCCTTCAGTACTGACAATCTCCTCTAGATCAGAGGTCACATTGCGGAATGGGCTACAGGCAAGCGTGTAAATGACAAGTTCAAGGCCGAGAGCGACACAGGGACGGTGGGGCATACCCACCACTACCGGGGCTTTCTCGAAGACCTCAAGCAGTTTGGAGACGCAAACCCTCAAGCGTGGTTGAACATCCGGACACGTATGTACTCGAAGGCCTTGTGAGTCAATGCCTCCATCTCCGCGCATCTGTGCTAACGAGACACATCCAACTTCTTTACAGCCGCGCTGGCGGAGGAGCCGAACTCGACACCTCAACAGCTCGTGTCTCGAGAGCCACCATGGAGAGTGCCACCAGTCAGCTGGAGGGGCGAATGGGGCTCACCGACAGCGAGCCGGAGGACTCTTAGATGTTCGATTACCGTTAGAATAATGCCATTCCGATATTTCTCTCCGATCTCGCACTGCGGTCAGCCCATCCGAGCCGCCCTTTCGCAGGTTGCATGGTCCAACAATAGCGACTCCATTACACCCCATAGACAGTCTCTTGTGGTGCTCCAGAGCAACGTGCTCCAGTGTACTCCAGAGCACGTGCTCCAGTGTACTCCAGAGCACGTTCTCTGCTGTGCTCAAGTGAACTCGAGAGCACTCGCCGAGCGCGGCACTGTCTCTCTATAGCGCGTGGGCGCGGCGACGCGATCTCTGGCGTCTACAGAAGTGGGACTTGTCTCCGGGAACGTCAGCATCTCTAGAGACTCTCAAGAGCACTGGAGACAAGCTTTTTTTTCCTGATGCAGGGCAGGGCGCAGGAACAGCGAGCTCGCTGTTGGGGGCGGCGAGCACGGGTGGCGGAGTGGGGAGGCGCCGGTGGAGACCCGGTGGCGCGCAGCGTCCGGAGATGTCGGGGCCATCAAGGGCGCGGGGCGCGGCATGGGGGAAGGCGCCGACGGGGCGGCCATCAGGCGCAGCGCGGGAATTCGCGGAGGAGGGCCCTCGGGAACGTCGGGGAAGGGGGCGGGGGACTTGGGCATATGCCCGCGTTCTACCGTTTCCCTGCAGGGAATATCAGCCGTTATTCGTAGAGGGTCTACTAGTGGCAGACAGTTAGGCATTTGCAGTCTCCGAATCTGGTATCACCCCAGGGGGGTGACACCAGATCAATTGATTAAAAGAACGTGAGGTACAGGTGCGAATAGGCGTCTAAATCGGCCATGTGATCGCATTGGGAGGATAATCAAGCGCCCTATAGTGATTTGCTCGTCAGGCGGCTTGAAACGTAAGTAACTTGAAACACTTGTATTTGGACGAAGGGGGGCTCCTGTAGCGGATCTGTACGCAGAATGCGGATGCAAATGACAGGCTAAGATTCATCTCTCCGACTTTACGCCTAGTCAGGACGAGGGCGTGGGAGGAAGGACATGCCGCACCCTTAGCGCTCACTACTAGCCTACCTACAAAGTGGTGAGCGCGCTCAGGGGCTGACGTCTGTTTGCCTCGCATCCGTCAGCCCCGCCATGCCGAATGAACACAAGCAGAAGCGGGAGAAAAGGCTTAGAGTCGTCCTTCGACGAACCATTGCATTGTCCTCCCGAACGATCATCGTATTGTCCTACCAAATCTCCGCGCCGCCCTCCACCTTACCTCACCTACTACTGGGAAGTTCTATCACCATGATGGAACCAGGAGAAGCGTCCCAAATCAAGGCTCGTAAGTGCATTTTATTTCTTAATGGGTTACTACACACCAACTCGTCCGTCAGCTGGGTCCCAAGAATCTCCATCGTTGAGGGATGTCCTAGTACACGAGCTGAGAGTAATGAAAACCCAAATCGAAACCCGACTCTCCAACGTCGAAACACACCTCTACAACCTAGAAACCCGCCTTGACGTCCAGCTCAATATCGTCAGAGGCAGGCTCACAGCCGTTGAGGATACAGTCTCTTATCGATATCCTGGAATCCACTCTTCCCTCTTCCTCAGCGCGGATATGGAGTCATCCGCGCCAACGATCATGCCCACTCGTCCTACCCATGAGTCTATCATGCGTGACATGCTGATCCTCTGGGTTACGAGTCGGTCTGGCAGCGCCGCTCGTGCCGCCCGTACATCCATAGCGCCCGCTCCCTTCTCGTTCGCCGCACCCCATATGCTTCGGGTCCCGGGTCCTCTCTCTCTTCCTTTCGTTTTCCCTGTCCCACGTCGCTAGTACGGCGCCCTCTCTCGCGCGACGCTCTCCATCTGTTCCGCCTCGTATGGATTCTCTATATACTGTGTATTTCCTCTGTGGCCATGAAGCCCCACCGGTATCTCCTCCCTTAAGCCGCGCCCGATTGCGTTCCGTGATAGGCTCAAATCACCCTCCCCCTCGTTTAAGACTTGCGGCTAGGGTTTCTGGTATTTCACGACCACTCCCACCCTCCTGTATCTAGTCCGAGCTTGCCCTGACTCCGCCACTCTTTATCTTCATACGAATTGACTCCGACCTCGAGTATGCGGAACGCGTGACTCAACATGTCGCGCTAACAGCTGGGGGCCTGACGCGGGGTACCACGCACCTACATTCCATGAGCGGCGCAGGGGGGACGACGTGCTGGGGAGATAACCAACGACAGAAACCACTTGGTCGCGAGCGATCCACGGTAAACACGCAAGGTGTAGATAAAATACAAAACCAGAAAGATCCAAGCACGCCGTGTCCACCGTGCACGCAGCACGCAGCACATACTCACCGAGCCTCCACGCCCTCCGTGTCCTTGTCCCCCGCGCTCCCCCGCGCTCGCGCCTCCTCCTCCTCCTCCTGCCTTTGCATCCGCTCCGCCGCCAACGGGTCCATCGGCCCAAACGTCTTCGTGAGCCACTTCCCCGCCGCCCCCGCGACGCCCCACACCGCGCCCGCCGCCTCCTTCGCGCCCTCCACGAGCGGCCGCGCGTCGACCGGGCTCGCGGGCCACGCCGACGACGGGCTGTTCACCGGGGTGGGCGACGCGAGCGCCGTCGTCACGCGCGGGGCGGGGCGCCGCGCGAGGTACCGGTCCCGCGCGGCGGCGAGGCGCGCCCCGAGCGAGGACAGCGAGCGCGCGAGGTCGTCCGCGACCGCCGCGAGCCCGTCCTTGAGGAGGCCGTGCTCGATGAGCGCGAGCTCGAACTGGTTCTGCAGCGCGGCGAGGTCGCTCGAGGGCGTGCTGTCGGGCGCGGGCGCGGTCGGGTCCGGGAGGACGATCGCGACGTACCTGTTGTACGCCGCGCACAATTAGGATGAAACACTCGCGCGGCGAGGAAGAGGTGGAGTGCTCACCCCTTGTCCGTGCCGGCCGTCTGTGGCTTGAAGACATATGTGCGCGAGTCGTCCGCGAGCGTGCCGAACGCGGTGTCGCAGTAGAGCGGGAACGCGGAGGTGCCGACGACGAGCGTGAGCACCGGTTGGCCCTCCTGGTCGCGCTCGGGCAGCGGCATGAGGAGCAGCGCGAGCGTTCCCGCCGAGAGCACCTCCGTGCGCTCCCCTAGGATCTGCGCGGCGATGGCGTCCGGGATAGTGACGAGCTCTTCGGAGTCTTCGCTGTCCGGTGTTCGTGCGCACGTGAATTTGCGCGCGAGGCAGTGCGAGAAGGGGGAGAGAGCGGGTATGATGAGCCAAGCAGGGATATACACGACGAGGACGGGAAAGGAGCCCTACACATGGATCGCGGCCTTCAGCTTCTCCTTCACGCCCTTGTGCTCGCCCCCGCCGCCCGTGCCCTCCACGTCCTCCGCGGGCTGGAGCAGTCCGTGCTCAATGAGGATCTCCTCGAAGCGCTCCTGCAGCGCCGACAGCCGCGAACCGTCCTCCGTAACCGCCTCCGGGAGCAGGATCTTCACAAACCTGTCTCGCGTCGTCAGCCCGCCTTCTTCCACCCGAAACACCCGCAAAACAGCGCACACAGGCACCCGCCCGTGCCCGAACACCACGCAAACACGGAAGGAGAGAGGGAGAGAGGGACGCACCCGCCCGGCGCACCGCCCTCGATGCGCGGCTCGAACACGTACGCGCGCGCGTCGCCCGCGACGGTCCCGAACGGCGTGCCCCGCTCCAGCGCGAACGCGGCGGGCCCCACGCGCACCGTCAGCGCCGTCTCCGCCTGCGCGGCGGGGACGAGCGTGAGGTCGCCGGCGCCCAGCGCGACCGAGCGCTCATTGAGGACGTGCAGCGCCGTCGCGCCCGGGATCGCGATCAGCACGTCTTCCATCGTGTTTCCTGTGAGTGTGGGTGTGTGTGCGGGGGTAGCGATGTGGAGGTGGTGGTGGGGCGGTGGGAGTGAGAGCGAGAGGGTGAGGGGGGAGGGAGGAAGTGCGGGAGGAGAGGGTGCTCGGCGGTGGCTAACCCGACTATGGCGTCATCGCGCCCGGCTAACCCTAGCGCGTCCCTCTTCCGGAGGGCCTCGGCTGCCCCTTGGAGGCTGTGTCTACGCAGGCTACACGGTGCATATGCTACCTCAAAACAGGTGCGCTTGAGCACTCGGTGGGAATGTGCGGTGGGAACCTCCAGGCGCAGACGAGTGCGGGCGGTCTCGAGTTCCTTAAGTATTCCGTATTTCAACAAGCTTTTCCGGACTCCACAACTGATCATGAGAGTGGGCAGCGCGGGGTACACGCCGCGGCCACAATAACGCGCACAAGAAGATCGTCTGGTACCGAGACAGGCGGGCGGGGAAACAAAGGGGACACGGGCACAACGCCGCACAAGCGCAGGAAAGGAGCGACAGCGGGACAGACGGGCGTAAGGCCCGTCTGAGTCCCAGTAGGAAATCCGTGCACGAGCAAAGTTTTAAACGCATGGAGAACCGAGAACGGCACGGAAGGAGTAAAGTATAAGCCGGAGAAGCGTTCATACGCAGAAGGGTGAAGAGTCTATGTACAGGTCCGAAGACGACTCAAGGGTATTATGCGAATGAAGATGTCAAGGGGAGAATGTTCGGTGAGGATAAAGGTCGGACGAATAAAGTCTGAGGGTAGGTTAAATAGTCATCACACCCATGGTACGAGATGTCCGGGAGTGGAAACCAGAGCGGGGAGTCTAGACAGGGTAAAAGCGTGGCACGGATGAACTTTCCGTGCTGTCCCATGTCCGTTGATGCGAAGCTCGTCAAAATCCCCGACCTTGTGATCGTCGCGGCAGCGCAGAAATGCTTCGGGCTGCGTTACCAGGAGGTCTCGATGAGCAGGAGACTTCACAAGCGAATTCGAGGACGGGTCAGGGCCAGGGGAATGAGATGCCGGCGGGCGGTGGGGGTCAGGCGCAAGGCCGTCTTCGTTATCGGTCGTCGTTGGCTGTAATTTTCCGTCGTGCTGGGGTTCCTTACTGTACACGGGCGCAGAGTTTTCGTTGTTCAGGTGGCGGCGGCAGTGGTGATGTGGGATCGCAGAGCGGCGTTGGATGTCGATGTTGAGGATATCAGCGTCGGGTGGACTGTAGTCTTCGTCGAGGATGGGGCGAGGCGTCGAGAAAAATTGGCTCGACGTGGACGATTCGAGCAGCCGTCTGGTTCTCGGCGGGCTGCGGGACGTGCGAGGCCGCCCGTCACATCCCATCAGCTCAATCGCTCATGAAGAACAGCGCCTAGACAAAGCCATGCGGTCAGTCGCCAGTTACGTTAAACGTGCGAAACATCATCGATCCCGGGATCCCTCGAGGAGGCGGATAGCATCAAGAGAACTCACCATCTCGACCGCGGGCGCGGCGGGGTGCGCAGCGGAGTACGCGTCGATGTCACCGCCGACCACGGTCGTGGCGTCGGAAGGCACCCAGCCGAGCTTCGTCGTACGCGCGTGCGAGCCGTCGGGGTTCACCCAGTTCGCTGTCCGTGTGGGACCGGAATTAGCAGGTGTAACATTGAACGAAGTGAGATTGAACGTACGCGTGAGCTGCGCGGAGGTCGTGCTGAAGCGCCAGATGGCAGACTCGCCGCCCGTCTTGGCAGGGCGTGCGTGCGCAGAAGCTGAAGAATCATCAGTATCCTGATCACGTCACGAAACAGAACCACAAGCGGATGCGGCGAACGCATAAATCGCGCGGCGGTCGGGATAGAATATGCACTACACGATGAACGACGTCGATGCATCACGCCCCCGTCGCTGCGGGAGCACATGGCCAGAGATCGCATATAGTATCCGACCGCTAGAACCGCGGCACATCACGATCGCAAGAGAAAGGCGAAGAACGGAGAGGATAGGAGGCCGCAACTCAAAATGACACTCACTGGCTTCAGTGACTTCAAGCGTATTGGCGCTGTTAACAGGAGTCAGTCATGAACTCGAAACCGCAGAAGCTTTGGGAAAACACGCACTTCGCCAGACCCGAAGCGATCTGGACGGTCCCGACGGCCCCGAGGTTCATTCCAGAGTCCTGTTGAAACGCCAACGACATCAGCAAAAGCTGCGGCATGCGGTGCGCAGCGTGGTGGTGAGACAGAACCGAGCCTCCCACCGAGCGCGGTCTGACTGTACATCAGACGCAGCGGGACTCAAGTGAACACGTACCGTGAAGACGACGTCGAAAGGTGTGTTCGACGCCGGCGCGGTGAACGTCACCGACGAGGCCTCGTCGTAGCTGCCAAGCGTGCTGTTGAGCCCGCCGCCCGACGGTTTCAGAATCGGGATTGGCAGCGGATCAGCGCGCAAAAGTCGGCGAAACCAGAATGCAGTGCGTGGCGACAAGTCGTGAGCGGAGCAGATGGAGCGTGGGGAGATCAGGAACGGGCGCCAATTGTTAGCACGGGGCGAGTGGAGGCGCAGAGGAACAGGTTGGCCACTCACACGCCGGACGAAGATAGCCGCAGGAATCCGAGCGAGGATCCATCAGCGACGGTGCGCGCCTCAACGCGGCCGGTGTACGTCGTAGGCCCGTTGGCACTGGGAGCGAGAGCGGGAGTGGTTAGCGAATCGTCGTAGGCATGAGACAGAGTGAAGATTAGGTTGTGCGTGGGGTGCTGGCGCGCAGCTCGGAAATAGAGGTCGCGAGGAAGCAGGGAATGGAGGATGAAGTTAGAATACCGGTACTCACAGACGAACGGGGGCGGACGCGAGAGGACTGGGGCTCGCGCTCGGGACATGGCGCGCGACAAGGCCAGGCTCAGTGGGTGTGGGGAAGCGCTTCATACGCGGCGCAAGTGGCGGAAGGCCGACAGCCATCCGACGCGCATTCGTCCACTGCACATATTCAGGCGCGCGGGCAACGTTGACATTGAGGTCTGCATGAGGGGCAGGGAGGGCAGAGACTGTGGAGGCGAGGATCGCGGCGAAAGCTAGGAAGAGTGCGGGGACTGAAGGGAGCATGGTTGGCGATTTGGGTGTTGCAGCAGATGGATATGCGGGGTTGCGGAGAGGATGAAAGATGTTGAGGTGGAGAGGGAGAAAGAGCGGCGGGTTGACGAAGTTGGGGGGAACGGGACGAAGACAGGAAAAACGGACGCGGACGAAAGACAGAGGGAACGGGGAACAAAGGAGCAGTTTAAGAAGACGGACGGACGGCCTGCCGCGCGCATCGGCAAGGCCAGTGCGTCGCTGGATCACTTAGACGCCCTTCCCGAGATCGCGCTCGGCGCCGCTTTCCGAGCTGCTCGGATGTCGATGAGTCCGAGCACGGCCGCAGCCACATCGCTTCGCACCGCGTGGGCGCCAGCTCTTCTCTCAATGTCGCGGCCACCCCTCCCCGCGAGCGTCTTGACGTCCGGGTCCGAGGACAACCCCGTACGCCGCCAAACCCCAAACGCACCGGTGGACGCGCGGCCGCACTCACGCGCCACGGCTATCCGGATCGTAAACGTGCCATCGCCCGCCTTCCCCGACAAACCCGTGGGCGCGGGGACAAGATGAGGGCCTGTGTGAGGGGGCGAGAATGCCTTGCGAAGTTAGGCGCGCGGGCCATGAGGCGATTAGATTGAAGATTGGTCGAATACGCCTGGTCGGAGGAGCGCGGACCGCGCGGCGCGGAGCTTGTGTCCGCGATAGACACGGCGCGGCCTCGTGTATGCGGCATAGAACTAGGTCAGAAGTCAGAGCAGGAATCTAGGGCGGCTATTCCACTCACAACGGCTTTCACGGGATTATCGACCCTGATGCGGTCGTGAAGTCTATGACGTCATGTCTCAGCAGGCATACATCAAGAGCAAGGTTTGCTGCTCACCACGCTCTAGACTGGCATCTGGGCGGCCTAGAAAATAACTGGCCCTGAAGAGAGAGGAGGGTGACAGACGTGATCTGCGGGGCCACAGCCCGTCCGAGGGAACCAATGGGCGCGATACGCCCACTCTCCTATCCCTGTAGTGGCAGCTGACCGTCAGCCGTGTACGGACGCGGCCGTGGATAACCGCGCTGACATCCACTAGCACCGGGCGGCGAGGTCGCAGCCGGTGCTGCGTAGTTGAGTTCAAGGTTCGTGGCGAGGAGGAGGAGGAGGCGGGTGATTATGTAGGTTGAGATTACAGGGAGGATAAGCAGAATTGTGCGGCATCTGAGTGGCGAAGACGTGGATTCCTTGGAGTGGTGTGACTATATGCGGGCGGTGATGAGGAAGCGACGCCAAACGTACATAGCGGCGGAGACGCCTCTGCTGATTGATTTCGGTCCGCGGGCGGCTGGTGCACTCGAGGCGCAGGCTCGAGGTCGTAAAGACACCCATGTGGCCACTCTCACTGACCACGAGTTCGACTCCATGCGTCGCGGCCAGACGGCCTCGACGAAACCCGCGCTCCGACGTGGCAAGGAGCGCACCGCATTTATAGACCATATCTAAGCGTCCGGCGCAGCGAGGTCTACAGAGAGTTCAGCCAACGCGACAAAGTCATAACTCTGCGCTCGTTACGGGAGTCAGAGCAGCAGAGGAACACAGACGCACCAAAGGAGGAAGGGCCGCGCGCAGTCAGACTGCGCCGCTGTGCGTTTAGGAGCATGGAAGTTATGTATAGCCTCAGCACGATGTGCCCCTGTGGGGTAAATGCGAGGCGTTGAGTGGGAAGGCCGGCTACAGGTGGCCGTCCCGGGGATGGGGAGGAGGTGGAGGCAGGAAGGAGAGCACTGGGCGCTCATCGCGTCCTGTCCTCACGATAACCTTAGGCTCACTACTCGCTTCGCTTCGGCGCACGTGTAGAGGTCCCTCCCGGGACGTTAGAACTTGAAGTGAGTGACGTCATTACCATTTACCTGGTTAAAAACGGTAATCGCTGCGACTGCAGCTCGTAGCAGTGGGGGTCGCGTCTCGTTAAGGAACCTAAAGAGAGGACCCACGCACCACAGGCATCGGCGGGATGGCGGAGTCAAGGAAGAGTGCTAGACACCACTGCAAGATGCTTGTCTCTGGCCAGTTCCAGGGTTTGACATTAGCTAGTGGAGGAGGAGGAGGCGGGTCATTGAATTGCAAACACCATTACACCTTCAGCCCGTCAAAAGACGAAGACGTCCACATCTAGCGGCCCAAACTCTCCTCCGTCCTGCTGCACAAACGCCCACCTCGATCAGCTCTACTCGGCACAGCGGTTCACGACGTTCGCTCTCACCTTCAGCCCCAGCAGCCTGTCCCCGTCGACCATGAACCCGGTGTACCCCTCGAACTCGCCTTCCGCGCCCACGCGCGTCGTCACCAGGTACGGAAGCCGCGTCTCGACTGGGGCCACGAACGCCGGCGCCTCGACCCACGTCGGCAGTGCCTGCAGCGCCGGCTCGCGCTCGCCCGCCCGCGCGTACTGCGCCTCGTGCGCGGCGAGGTACGCGGGCGACGGCGGCCGCTTCGGGTCCACGTTGAAGTCGAAGGCGACGAGGATGAGCGCTGGGGTCTGCTGCTCCACGCCGTTCAGCCACAGCGGCGACGGCGGGAAGACGACGCGCGAGCCGTGGATGTACCTGCGCGTGGGACACGTGCGTGTCAGCTCCTGGGTCACGACGAAGACAGGACAGGACGCACCGCAGCCACCGGAACGGCGCGAGGAGCCCCATCATCCGCGTGTTCTCCACCCCCCACTCCTCCCACTCCCGAACGACGGGGCCCGCGTCCGCGCGCCCGAGCGCCTTCCACTCACGCACGAGCGAGAGCAGGAACCGGTTGAGGACGAACAGGTTGAAGCCCTCGAGCCGGTCCCCGTACCGGAGCTCCATCAGGTGCACGTCCGTCTCCGGCGCGGGCGCGAACTGCGCGCGGGGGTCCGGACGCGCGACGCGCGGCGGCCCGTGCGTGCTGAACCGCCGGAGGACCTGGCCCGGTTGCGTCGGCGGCAGCGCGAGACGGGCGACTTGGGTCGGAGGCCGGATTGGCATGAACATGGCGAGGAGTTCGGAGCCCGTAGCCGGGGACGGAGGGAGGGCTGGGGCACCTTCGTCACCGTCGCAGGTGAAGGAGTAGATCTCGATGGAGCCGGAACCAGCTGCGAGGGTGAGCATGTAGCTGCGGTTGGACAGGAAGGCGATGTCGAACGTGTCGACGGGGATCTCAAAGCTGCAGCAATTCTGTGACAATTGCTGCTTCAGTTTATCGCTTTGATGAATTGCAGAAGAGCGCACCACAGCGAGGATTCCGGTGCGCCAGTTCCAGACGAGGAAGCACGGACTGTGGGCGAGGAAGAATAGGCCGATGACGTCGTCGGCGATCTGGATGAAATTGATCGAGTGCATGGTCACCGGCGTGAGCACCTCGAGCACCTTCCTGGTTGCGTCCGGGTGGGGTTTGTCGTCGCTGATCCGGTGAAGTGCCAGGGTGATCCTACAGAATCGAAGGTCAATACTCGAGCGTGCAAATAAGCGCCCTCGCTTCGCCACGCCACGCCACGCCACGCCACGCCACGTTCTCAGACAAAGAACCGACTCACGCTCCGCGCAGCTCGAACGACACGAACGCCACAAGGTCCTGACTCGGGTCGATCGCAAAGTCGCGCACCCGCGCCTGCGCCTCGGGCCGCTCGAGCTGGTCGCCCGCGTGCGCCGCGTCCGGGAGGCGGAGCAGGGCGAGGTGGTGCATGCTCAACGAGAGCGCGAACACGCCTCCGACAAGCTCGTACGCCTGGCACGGGCCTGGGAGGTGGAAAGACTCTCTCCGGCGCCACGCGAGCCGACGCCAGCGCGCGCGGCGGTCGAACAGCGCGGCGAGCCGTTCCGCCGTCGGGAGCAGAGCGTACGACGGCCTTGTGGCGTTGGCGTCCGGGGGTGGAGGACGAACAAAGGGGAGCTGCGGGTGGACGTCGATGAGCCGGTCTACGGCGAGTTCGATCTGATATTGGAGCTCGAGCGAACGGGCGACGGTGTCGTGGATGCGCTTGCAGGTCTGTAGGACTTCAGAGAGCTATGGTAGAGAAAAAACCACGAGGGCTCACCTGGGTGCACCTCAGCAGCTCGCGGAGGGCGAGGTGCGTGAATACAGCGATTAAGAGCTCTTCGGGAAGAGCGAGCAAGCTGGCGCTGCGGGAGATGTGGCTCATTATAACCATCTTCTTTTTTCAAGACTGAAATGATAATGCTAAGAAAGATGATGCTAGTCGCCGGTGGTGATCGTGGTGCGGAGGCAAGTCATGGCAAAAGGGGTCGGCCGGATACGGGTGCAAATCCCACGTCCGGCAATCCCCATTCCCACGCATCCTGGAACTGCCGATATCCGAGCCCTATCTGAGTTCTACGCCCGCCGTTAGCAACCTCAGCGTCCACCGGTGGACACTGGTGGAATCCAGTGGAGTCCAGTGGATATCTACGTCGGTGAGTTAATCCGGTACTACACTGGGGATATGACCTGACTTTCGTCGCAGGAAACCAGGGCACCTCCCGGTGAGCATCAGGACGGCGTGCGCACAACGCATACACGCATACAGGGTCACCAAATAAGCAAAGAACCCACCGGGATAGGTGGTCGCGCGCGCGGCGTCAGAGCAGCGATGGGCCCATGGGAATGCGCTGACGCTCCTCGTCCGGACGCTCGTGCGACGCGGATGGGTCCGGAACGTCCATGACACAGTGGACGGGCGCGGGAAACATTGCGGGTCACTAGGATACGTCTCCTCAGCCTGAAGTTAGTTTCCGGAATGCGGTGGGGTTTCTGTCTTTAAGGAGCGGAGCACGTGCGCCCGGAAGAATAAGTCGCACGTTCTGCACGCTCGAGGTGGGAGTGGAGTTGCACAATGAACGAAGGCAAAGAGCGGCGGACTTGGTAGGGCCCACGACTAGATACAGGAGGGTGCGCGTGGTCGTGAAACACTAGAAATCTTAGCTGCAAGTCTTAAACGAGGGGGAGGGTGGTTTGAACCTATCACGGAACGTGCTCGGGCGTGGCTTAAGGGATGAGATACCGGCGGGGCTTCGCGGCCGCAGGGGGGAACACGCAGTATGTAGAGAGTCCATACGAGGCAAAACTTCATCGGATGGGGAGCGTTGCGCGCGAGCGCTCCGTACTAGCGACGTGGAACGGGGGAGGCAAAGGGAAGAGAGAGAGGAAGGGGACCCAAAGCATACGGGGTGTGGCGAACGGGACAGGTGCGGGAGCTGTGGACGACGTAGAACGGGCATGATCGTTGCCAACATGCACACGCTGGAAGAGGAAAGAGAAAACTCTGAAAAATATTGATGAGAGACTGGAGGGCCCGCCCGCCGAAGCGAGTACGTGCAAGTTATCCTCGACGCCCGTGAGCCCGCCCTGGACGGGATTGGGCCGGTCTTCGAGGTGGGCTTGAATGGTGGTGATGGGGCCTTCGACGTCGGAAAGGCGGTTTTCAACGTCAGAGAGGTTATTTTCAACGTTAGATAGGTTGTTTTCGACGTCGGAAAGGTTGTTTTCGACGTCAGAGAGGTGGTCTTCAATGTTGGAGAGGCGGTCTTCGGTGTTGGGGCGGCGGTTTTCGGAGAAATGGGAATCCATTTGGGCCCTCATTTCTCTCAGTTCGCGCATGATATCTCCCAACGATAGAGACTCTTGGGGGGCTGGCCCTGCGAGGAACGGGTTGGTGTGTAGCATGTCATTAGTAATGAGTTCAATGCACTTACGGGTCCTGATTCGCGACGGGAGTCTCATGGTGATGGAAACTTCAAGTACTAGCAGGCAATCTGCGGCGGGGGGTGGAAGCGCAGCGACGGATTGGTAGGACAGGTCACAGCACGACGATCGCGGCTCGGGTGGACAACGGCACAATCCGGGTGTCGCGTCGAGGGACGACTCTAAGCCTGTCCCCTCGCGGCATGGCGAGACAGATGTAAACGCCCTCCCATGAGCGTGCCCATCACCGTTTTGTAGGCGGGCCAGTGAGCGCCACCTTCAATCTCGAGCAAGTTGATGTGCCAGACCGCAGGAGGAGGCATGGGCGCCAATGTCGGTCGGGCCTCGGAGCCCTGCCGGCGCGTCTGCACCCCCGCCGTTCTCTGTCCCCACCACCATCGCACGATCGCGCTCTCCGCTCCGACTCGCCCCTCACCCGCCCCAGAGGCCTCCATTCCGCTCGCCGTCCCTCGTCGTCCGCCGCTCGAGCCACGCGCTCTCCTCAGGAAGGATTTGGGTCCATCCGTGACGGAGAGGCCGGGCATATGCGCCCCACTGCCCTTCGCGCGCGCAACGACGACGTTGAACGGCGGCCGAGGCGTCCTCGGTTCCGGGAAGAGGAAAGCCAGCCATCCATCTGGAAGAAATGATGGACGTGGCTCGGAAACGGTGGGCGCGATCCACGCGCCGAGTCCCCTCGAGTCTCCATTCGAAGACACCTCCCGCCGAGGTCCGCCCTTCTGTCGCACACTTGCAAGTTATCGGTCCGGTTCTTTCTTGCTCCAAAGAACGTTTGCAGATCGTGACACTCTGGCACCAGAAGCGAGGATGGACGTCTAAACCGAGAGGTCGGAGACGAGGGCGTGAAGGAAAGGTGAGTGCCAGTCTGTCATTCGAATCCGCATTCCGCGTACAGATCCGTCGTAGGAGCGGGTCCCCTTCGTCCCTATATAGTACACATACCATCGCCTCGGCCATATCCTATTACGAGATCGAACCCATGCAACAGCACTGCAAGACGCCGTGTTGCTCGCGTGTGTACGCAACAATTACGGGGGTGTGGATTGCTATATGTACCTTGTCCGTATCCTAAGCAGCAGGAGATATGGATATACATTGGCTACGGGTATACGTCGATGCCATCCTCTTCGCGACCGCGCTCACGCAACGCGGACTCGTGCGCGCTCAGTACGTCGCCGCGCCACGACGGCGTCCCCACCGGCGCCGCCCCGTGGTGCCGGTCGAGCCGTACGAGCCCCCGCGCCGGCGACCGCCCGAGCGGCAGCACTGGCAGCAGAGGATGCAGATGAAGAAGTCCCAGATCGCGACGAGGATCTACGAAAGGCATCGTTAGCGCGAGAAGGGGCCGCGAGAGCGGGCGGGGGGACGTACGCTGACGATGGCGGAGATGATGGTCTCGATGACGCCCGCGATGGCGGAGATGATGGCGTTGATGCCGCCGCCGATGGCTGAGATGATGGAGCCCTGCGGGTGTGGAGGTTGGTGAGTACAGCGTCCTCGTCCGGAAGGCAGAAGAGGTTTGCACACAACGTACCATTTCGTGAAGTTCGTAAAGCGGAAGGGTGTGTGTGTGTGGTGCTTGCAAAGACAAGGGGAGGTGATCGTGATCGTGATTGTTGGACGAAAGGGGTTGTGAAGCTGTCTCCACTCCCCTCTCTGGCCTATATACCGCCCAGAGCAGGGTTTGGGGCACGATGACGTCGGCGTTGAAAGACATGGGGCGCGCAGTCGGGGCCGGGCCGGCTCTTCGCCCCTGGCCCCACTGACGGAGCGATGACGTCACTTCCTACGAGCAGGTGGCATTGGAGGCGCAGCGAGCCGCCCGAGAGTCCGGTTCATTGTGGACGGCGATGACGACAGGTCTTGTATCCGGCTTTCTTTCGCATCGAGAAGCCCGCTCGGGCCTTCGACTTCAAGCGGTATCCATGACATTTCTTTTTATTGTCGTGCCAGACCTAGAGGTGAAACATGAGAGCGTTACGGGTTTGCCACTGAGCACCTTATGTATTGTTGAAGATGGACCACAGATACGCGTACTCCTCTCCCAAAGACCATGAGATGCGTGTATCAGTATATAATTAACCGGCATTGCGTGAGCCACTCATACTCCGCTAATCCTTCAGCTTCAGAGATCTCGTTTTCGGCATGGACTCCCTGGCGATCCGCGAACTATGGCTCTCGCCTCCACCACCCCGGGACATCGGATATGTTGCGCGGATACCCTTTCTGCAAGACTTCCCCGATCGCGTCAGCGCTCTCTCGCCCGCCGCAGTGCCACGCGCCGAAGAGGAAGCGCAGCCGACCGACCCCATGGATGTAGACACGGACGAGGAGGAGGAGGAGGAGGAGGAGGAGGAGGAGGAGGAGGAGGAGGAGGAGGAGGAGGAGGAGGAGGAGGAAGATCCCGGAGAGCACATGGACGACTCACCGGACCGTGCGCCAGTCGGGGATGAGCTGCGCGCGCGACGCCCCGCCTCGGATCCGGACGTCGACGTCGACCCCAGTGGCGCGGCACGGGCAACACCCGGAAAGCGCAAGAGGGACAGCCGGCCACGCCAGCGACCCACGCACGCAGGAGAGGGTACCTTCAAGCGCGCGAGGCTGGACGAGAGAGACCGGCACTTCCTGCGGTGGTCCACTGAAGGCAGACGGTCCCTTCTGCTCGGATACTCAGGACCCTGCTGGGAGTCCCAGCGACGGCTTCGTGGGGATGCAGCAGAGGGACCTCATAGGAGGATCGAGTCAGGGGAAGAAAGCAACGCCTATGATGAGGACGAGGGGGAAGGAATGTAGAGTATAGACACGAAAGGCGACGGACGAATTTGGTATCCTGTCAGCGATGTTGTAGCACTTGCACGAATGTGTTTGAAAGCGTGCACGAGACAGAGACGCCCAAGTAGTCAGCCGGCCCTGAAGTGAACGCGGTCACGTTGCTCAGGTACACTTGATGACGCGTCGCGCGCCACATTCATCAGTGGTCACTGCTGCGTCCACGCGCCGTGCTCGTCCAACCCCTTCTCCCCGTAGACATGCCTTCACACGTCGAACTCGCGCACGTGAACGTCTATATGCAGCGCCAAGTGGGGTGAAGACTCCCCGTTCTTCACGACCCTTGTGAGTGATTGGTACTTACTTCTTGTTTCCCTCTTGCCAAAAGGGCATAACAAAAGCTTCCCCGATAGGAACTTCGGACTGTGGCCTCAAGCCTGGTGCCGCCGCATCCGGATGCATCGCGTGGCGAATCTCGGGCGTCCCTCCCATCTTCGCCGCCACCGTGACTGTCCTTCTTCACAAGCGTTTACCATCGCCTAGTAGCGCATGTAGGAAGGCTCCGCGTCCATAAATTCAGAGGTCCTGATGCCCCAGGCTCGCCACCGCTTTCCCCGCCTTCCCTGTTTGGTATCACTGCTACCTCTGAGCCTCCAGATGGATTTCAACCTGCTGCCGTTCACCTCTGGAGTCAATCTCCACGCCTCAACCATGTACATCCAATTCTACACCGAGTGAGCACTCAGCTGCGTCATGCAACCTTTCCAAACCCTCACTGCTCACATCGCACTGCAGGCCCCCTCCGCCTCCGCCGTACCCGCAACCTGAGTACGCGGCCGGTTGTCCAGACCCGCTCTTCGAGGACCCACAGCAGCAGCCGTTCTATGTAGACAACGACCTTATCCCGCCCCACGACAACCCGCAAGAACCGCCCCTTCAATCGCCGACACCTCTCCTCCCGGTTGAGGAAGCCGCTGCCCCCCCGGCAGACAACGACCCCGTTCCCGACGCCGCTCCCCCGCCGTCCGCGCCACCCGTCCGCGCCCCCGCAGCCTCGTCCTCCGCGCAGAAAGCCCCGCAGACCCCCAAGAGACCGAAGGACGGCCGCACGCCGGGGGTCCCGCCCACCCCACAGAGCCGCCGCTCGAAGGCTTTCAGGGACGCGGACGCCGCCAAGGCGGCGCAGCAGAAGAAGGCGCGTGCGTCGCGCCGGCGCCGGCGCGATTCCAGAGCGGAGTAGGCCGTACGTGGCGGGCGGGCTGGTGGGACGGAGGGTTCTGGACCGAGGTTGGCCGGGGGGTTCGGGAGGGCTCGCTTTTGCGTCCTGTTCGTCCGGGAAGGTCGTGGTCGCGCTGATGGACGCGTGGTAGTGTAACGTAGTATGCGTGTATGGACGGTGTGGTGCGGACGAACGTGTACAACCTATATGCTCATGACGCGAGGTCGCAGTGAATCGGATCAACATCGTGCGCTCTCGTATAATCCGTTCTCTTGACGACATACAACGCCACCAGAGGCTTTCTCGCGAATGCGGGACCGACCCGAGTGCACTACTACCATTGAGCAACGCAGCGGGGGGCAGAGAAAGAAACAAAAACGTAGCGACAGCGTTCCATCTCCAACTTCAGAATAACAGATCATTCTCACTTGCGCCCAACGCACCGCCGTTCTCCAGCGACGGGGACCCACTGCGAGCTCGAGCGTCTTCCCGGGACAATAGCGCCAAAGAATGCGATTGCAAACGCCACCGAGCTGTGACGTCCGCAGACGTTGTTGTCTGTTGGACGGGCCGCGTTACCGCGATGTCGAAAGAACGTGGAGAAGACTCTGACCAGACTCGCAGAGGTAGTAGAAGACGACATCCGCGATCGCCACCGAGCGCGGCGCCACAGTGTTGCAAGCTGCCGCATGCACGGAGTGGATGATACCCCCAAACTGTACCCTTGAGGCTCCGGGGTCTGTCGGAAATGCAGGAGCCAAGGAAAGAAGGGAAAGCGTGCTCGACCACTGCCCGAAGGGGCCGCCCGCACTCGTCCGGTTTCTGCCGCAAATACAGCGCCCTTGACCATCTCTCGGGATACACCGCCGCCCGATGGCTTTGTCTTCCCCAACTTCCTGATGCCGACTTTAAGCCGGATGTTCTGAAAGAGGTGTGTGTGCGTGCACGTACCCAAAAGCGTTTGTTTGCAGCTGCAGGGGCAAATGAATGGTCGCTGGTGATGAGGCCTGAAGGCCTGGCTATTGAGTGCGCACATCCCAAGAGAGTGCGACAGCAATAATTAGGAGCTCGTAACGGTATATAAGGATACAATCAGCGTACATGGGTGTGTGCACGCTGTGTGGGCGAGGCGGGGACGAGATGAGGTGGATCGAGTCTGGAGGAAGCGCGCGTCGCTGAACTTCCGAAAGTTCGGTTCCCACGCACATGTACACACATCTGAGTCACCACGCCAGCCGCAGCCGAGTTTGCCCTTGGTTCCCGCCCGTGTTGCTTCTCCCGGCCCAGACTCATATTGGGATGTTGGCGTATTGTATATTTCATTGTTTCCGCCCTGAATGTACTTACCCGATTATAACGCTCAGGACGGACCCCGCGAATGTTGTTGACAACGTGGCAGAGAAAGACCACATCGAGGTCAGGCAAGCGCAACGACACGTGTGCGGCACGGCCGGGCTCGTCGCGGCTCTGCGCGCGCCGCCTGCCATCGTGAAGCGTCTGCTGCTGTGTGTTGTATACCGTCCGACGCCACAACGAGGCGGCGGTGTTGGCGTCGAGTGCCTCGTCGCTTCTCGATTGGGTCGTGTCGCTTCCGTATCCGAAGGTACGGCGGCGCCTGGGCGACTTGGATTGTGTCAGAAAAGCCTTATAAGAAGGGGGCGGGATGTGCCGTGCAGCATACCCCCGCTCCCCCACTCCAGCATGAGCAGCACTGAACCCAGACAGTGCGATTTCTGGGCCTCGCGACATGCATTTGGGCAGGACTCCCTAGAGTCCATATGCACTATGTTGCATTACTTGGACGTACATAGAAACAGGTGGGTTAACCGTATTTACTCTAGCCCACTGATTCACTGCTAACAGTTTGTTTTCCGTAGCAGTCGTGAGCCGCAGACGACGGATTCGTCGCTGTTCATTCCACAGCCAGAGTCGGAGTCCTTTTATCCACTGGATGAGTACGTCTATTGCACTCCTATTACGCGATTTAGTCGATATCGACGTGAAATCATTTGGCTACAGCACCACGCAACATATGGACATACGGCGATGAATCAGATGAATCAGAATGCTCAGAACTTTACACCCCGGTTGATCCGTCATGGCCACCTAGATTCTTCCACACCTTTCAGCAGGGTCTCAGTGCACCATCTCCCGACACGCAGACCCAGGAATCAGACTCAGCACAGATGAGAATGGATATAGATTACAGCGATCACGTCGCCGGATCACCCCCGCCACATGGCACAGCGCCCACCGCGCTCTCTGGCGTACAACGAGGGCAGTGAATCGGGATCTCTTATGCCTCCCGTTCCTCCATCGCCAATTCATCGTCGAAGCTCATGGGAACCCTCATATTCGTTCCCTTCTACACCCTCTCGTCGCTCTCTACGCTCCCACTGTCCCTATTCTCCAACCGGCCGCCGATCTTCGACTCTCCGTCACACTGGACCGACAGCTGCCAGTCGTGGATCCCCTTTACATGCGCAAGTTCCCATGTCTCCGCCGACGACCCCAACGAAACGACGCGGCTCCATGGCTTACACAACCCTCACTAGGCATTCCAAGGCTGACGGAGGAGTGGCCACACACCATTCTCTGCCACAGGAAGGCGCGCACATAGCAGACTCGCGCCTAGCTTTCAAGATGCGCCACGGCCGCATCGTGGGTTTTAGCTTTCAAGAGGCGGATGGCCTTGGTGGCTTCGATCTGACTGCACCTGTACAGGGCAGGACGCCGAGCACAGATTCGATGTCAGACGGGGACCCGATGTCCGAGACGGACCCGATGGATGTCGTGGAATCGACGTGGGATGCCACGGAGTCGGTTGCAGGTGCGTACTGCCATGCTGCGATGTATCCTTCGTGCTTCCGCCAGCACCAGTGTGGCAGATGATGGCGATGAAGAGGAGCTCTGAACCAAGGACTGTGAACGGGTGTCATCTGTAGTCTCCCTAATCGTTTTTCGTATGCCTATATGAATGTATGGATCCGGTATGTGCAGATACAACTGTTTTTATAGTGCATAAGAGAGAAAAACGTTACGCAGAGCGAGCTTCAAATCCGGCGGAGTGTCACACCCAGCTTGGATGGCGGTCGAGACCCTCGATTGCGAAGTAAGTTACAACAGTAGCTAGGCGACGTGGTGCGCAAGATCTGCCGCCTGAGTCGCCACAACGCCTCGTGCCCGTGGAACAGTAGCCTCGAGGGGGCATAAGCGCGAGCGATACGCGAGAGCACCTTCGCGCGGAGGAGTGGCGGGTTCCGCGCTCGAGATGCAGGCAAGCAGTGGGGTCAGCATTTCGGGCGGCCCTCTGGAGGACAGGGTGAGAACGGAGTGAATATGCCGCGCTCGATACTCTAATCATGGGACAGTTCTGCGGCGGATCCAGAGGGACGGGATGCCGCCATATGTGGCCTACGATCCAACGGATTCTCCCGTGTGCACGCTGATGAAAACGAGGAGTCATTTGAAAGAGTAGTAGATGCCAGATGGGGTCCGGGGATTCGACGCGCACTTATCGGTCACATGGACTGGCCCATATCGGGGAAGGAGCGCGAATCAACACCCTGTAACATTGCGAGTCGTACGTCTACTGGGGAGCAAGATTGAACGAGCGATATTGAGAGGAGCCGCTTGGGGGCCGCTAAAAGGTGCACAGCGTGATTAGTTGACTGCCTGCGCCGCATGCACATCGTCGTGACAGAAATTCGCTGGCATTCGGCTGTCCCGTACCCGTTGTAAATAAGGAAAATGATACGTCGAAGGGGATAAGGGAGACGCAGGGAGCAAGGTGCTGATGAGGAAGTGGCATGCGCCACGATTGAGCGCCGAGGCCCGAGGAATCCAAAAGCAGTTGAAACTGCCTGCCCTGAATATTGTCACGTGCATCCTCCTCGCGACGCACACGATGGGCCTGGTGGCGAGCGTCGACGTGCTCAGGCCCGGCCTCGATGAGCCGATGTAGCACAACGGCGGACGACGGGAGTCCTCAAAACCGGTCATTTCTGTTTCTGGGTGATGAGCGATCGCCGTACCAGCGCCACAGTGACGACTCGACCCAAACCCGGCGGCCGCTCAACAAGGGACGCCGACGAGTGTCGGACGGGTCACAGAACAAATAGCCGCAGGTTCGTGAGCCATTCCTTTCTTATTAACTAACTAGATGGTCATAATCGGACGGGAGCGGAGAGTCATGACTGCTGTGCTGACTTCTGGTCGAATTCCGTGTACAGGTACGAATGGAGTCAGGCCCTCGCGAATCGAAGCAGTCTGCGGTTTCTCCCTTATGGATGCTGTGAAGCCCGTCGGATGTGTACGTAATTTTTGGCCTTTTGTGTGTATCACGACCGGATGAGTGACTGACCAATCACTAGTACACCCTGTCAGGTACATTTTTAGCCTCAAATCCCGAGCGCAGGGATAGAGTCGGTCTTCAATCGCTAACTCCGGGTCTGGGGCACACAGAATAGCTGGAGCATCACGAGTTTCTAGGACAGCGACGTTGTCAGCTATTACAACAAACGACGCCTCTATACTCTATGCGCGTGCGTGCGTTCCAGTGGCGTGCGATTGTGCTGATAACAACGCCTTCTTGAAGCATAATTGACTGGATGTCTGTCTCCTGACGACATATTCCCTCAAGTCCTGCCACATCGGGGTACTCGGATGTTCTCGGTCAGGCAGGTGGTCCTTTAGCTCCCGCACACGCGGCCCTCAGCCCAACTTGCCCCTTTCTCGTTCTCGTGCCGTTGACCTAACACTGCCGCAAGACCTACTTATATAAAATGTGCCAGTACAGACGCGTAAACCTCTGATCCACCACCAGATTGCACCGAACTCCTCGAACTCCTCCATGGTATACAAGATGTCCTCTCCGCATACCACGACTCCACCGAGAATCTACAGTCCTACTCAGTAAGTACCGCTCCACTGTTTCTCCGCATTTGTTGAAATGTACTTCCGCCAGCACAATTTCCGGCACCCCAGGCTCTCCGCACGCGGGCACGGGGGTAATGGAAATATTCGATGCAGAGTCGTTCCGCCTCTCAGGCCCCGGGTCTTTTACACCTCTGCCGGAACAGTATATACTGGACTCCTTCGAAGATTCTTGCAAGAACAGAAGAACTCCGGAAGCAGAACCGAGAAAGAGGCCCATGAGCGGCGGCGACGGCGACGAGGAAGTGGCGACGGCGGTCGTCGGTCGTCGTCCCAAGCGCGCGCGACGTGTGCCACCCGATGTTCTAGAGCCATCCAGTTCGGTGGCGGCGTCAACACCGCCCCGTCGTCAATCGGCCATTGAGGCAAGAGAGAAGATCAGGAAGACGATGGGAAAAGCGTCGCCGAAGACCCCAAAGGACGCGAAGGCGAAGGTCATCCCTTGGGCTCCCAAGAAGACGTCTTCGGGCGCGAAGGATCGTCGAACGCCCTACTCTCCGACCCCTCCCTCCTCAGGTTTGCGACGCTCTAGAAGGATACACAGCCCCAAAAGTTGAGTGGTTTGCCCCACCTCCGAGTGCCGGTGACTCGTCAGCGGCGTGAGGGTTCGTGCATTCTGTACACCATTAGAGAGCACGATGGACATGGACTCAGTGTGGCAGAATTTGGATAGCGTTGAAGCAATCAAACTGGCTCATAATCATAATTGATATTGCTAGCGAGGTGAAGGGCGTCGAGGAATGCGCGTCGCCAGAGAACCTCCCAAGGGCTGGGCCCTGAATTGTGCATTTCTGCCCGCCACTTCACTTGTGTGCGTTCTTGTTGTGCCTAGATGCCTGAACTGAATCTCATGTATCTCTCCTGCCATGGGAACGAGGTATGGCTTGCTCCCGATGCGTCGTATGCAGCGCCGAGTACAACGCTACCACGATATGTTATCTCAGGATAGTCAGGGAGATGTTTTACCAGTTGATATCATGAAATCCCCTGCTACTCTATCCCTCCGCCCTCGTGCTCAATCGGCACCGACACCCCCACCTCAGTGGGCGGCGCCGTGGACGACGTCTCCACCACTTCCGGCAACCCAGCCGCGCGCCACGCCGCGTACCCCCCAATGATGTCCGTCGCGTTCAGCAGCCCGATATCGTGCAGCGCCGCCGCCGCCAGGCTGCTCGTGAACCCCTCCTGGCACATCACGATCACCTTCAAGTCGAACCGGTCCGCGATCGTCAGCCGCGCCGCGCACCGCGGGTCGAACCGCCACTCGAGCACGTTGCGCTCGACGGCGAGCGCGCCCTCGATCCAGCCCTCCTTCGCGCGCTGCGCCTCGGGCCGGATGTCGACGAGCACGACCGGGTAGAGCGGCACGGACTGCTGCAGCTCCGCGAGCGCGTCCGCGGGCGGCAGGCGCTGCAGGCGCGCGCGCGCGTCCGCGAGCACGAGCGCGATCGAGCGCGACCCGGGCGGGGCCATGAACGGCTCGAGGGGGGCGCGCGCGGCCTTGCGCACCGCGTCGCGCACCGCGGCCTCGTCGTCGCCGCCGCCGGCGAGGGGGGAGTCGGGGGCGAGCGCGCCGAGGTCGCGGATGAGCGCGCCCCAGCGGCCGTGGCGGGCGTCGGCGCGCGCGACGCGCGAGAGCAGCTTCGCGTGGAGGAGGGTCCCGCATCGGTCGGCGAGCTCGGCGCTGGAGGAGCAGACGAGCAGCGGGCTCAGCGTGCCGGGGGGACCAGTCGAGGGCTGGGCGAGGATGAAGAGGTAGCGCCCCGTTGAGACGCCAGAGAGCGCGCTCGGGGATACGGTCGGATGGAGGTGGACGGTCCCGGGGGGTGGGGCGTGGAGAAGCATTGCACGGCGCATGTGCGAGGCGATCGCCTTGAGAAATTGTTCCCCGGCGTGGTGTGGTAGAGTGAAGATGACACCGCACTTGGTGCCGTCGACGACCTCGGCGTTACGTAGGGCGCGGATGACGATTGTCTGCGCTGCTTGATCACGCACTGCGTCGAGCGAAACGGGGCTTCCAGGAGCAGAGGTGGATAGTGGAGAGTGTGTGTGCCGGTAGGGTCCTGCGGAGAAGGAAGAGATTGAAGCGGAGGTCGGGGAGCGCGACGTGCTGGGACTGGGGCTGCGCGAGGTGGTGGCACTCCGCGAGCGGGACTGAGAGTGGTAAGAGGGAATCAAAGCATGTTCGAATGAAGATCGTCTTGGGATGACTTGGCCATAAGTGCTGGTCGAGCGAGACGTGTACGTGCCAGATAGCGGTCGCTGGTCCTGCTCATACGACATGGCTGGTGAATCTACGAAAAGCCTTGTCAGAGTCTTTACGGTCAGGAGTTACTTTTGATTAATCAGTACCTTGTTGAGGTGAGCGTTGTAGAAAGAACCTCAACATCAGTCGCCAAATGGCCCACGTGTGCCTGATAAGCGGCGTCTAAATGATTACGTTAGCGTTGCTTCCAAGTCGATTGAGTAGTACTTACTTCTGCACTTTGCAAGTTTCCAGCTGAACATGTCACTTTGTTAGCACAGGATGCGCTCCCTTGAGATTTTGCGACATAATGAGCTTACCTTCTGAGTACGAGCGTACAAAATTGACGCAACGCTGTGCTCTATCAGGCGTTCAACAAAGTCCTTACCGTTGAAGTACTTACCAGTACTCAAGTACTCAGGCCGGGCTTTGTGGGGTACACCTGGTTGAGGTCGGCAGACATTCTATCTCTTGAAAGAGGTAATTCAGCGGGCTCAAGAGCAGGATTTTGGAAGTTGGTAGTGCGAGAGAAAGCAGCAAGGACGGCGGCCGGACCGCCGCGGGGCCGTAGCCGGATCACTAGTCGGAGAGCGGCCCGGATACTGCACACGGCAAACCCAACCACGATGCGCTAGACGCGCACACGGCTCTCTCTCTTCCCGCCACACGCGGCCAAAAATCCCACTGCTCCCCAAATAAGGTACGTCGAGGACTCACTGTGACTCCTCAAGGCCTCATGGGCCTCATGGATACCACGCAGCTCTCTCGTGACTGTTCAGTTCTGCCGACTACCCTCCGTGCGCATAAAGTATCGCGACAGCGCTCCTCCCACCGTTAGTCCCCTCTGTCATGCCTCCACATACTATGGGATCACTGATCCCCAAATCGTCCCCCTCATTCCAACAACGGGTCTCTTCGCGACACTCCACTCGTCATGGCTCTCCTCCAGATTCTTCCGAACAGCTACGAGCGGAACTCGAGCGAGACGACCTGGTGGCTGACGGCATGGACACCGCCATCTGCATGCCCACTTCTCAGTTCAAGTCCTCCTACCTCACTCCCCCGAGTGGCGTGGGCGGCAAGTTCTCCAGCGTATTCCCCGACGCGCAGGTGACACTAATCCACCAGGAGTTCAAGAAACCCTTCGAGAACGGCAAGAAGCCCCTCGAGAAGGATTTATACGAAGCTTGGGTGAGTCTCGTAGCATGTTCCTGCTTCTGCCCTCTCACACCCGATGAAGAGCGCAGCCGATAAAATCAAGCCTTTGCTGCCGAACCACTTCTTTCACGTCTCCCCGGACAAACCCGACCTCCACAGTAGTCGTCAAGACAAGCCCGATGCCAGCTTCATTCCCACCGACGAAGCTCTCCCCGCTCACGACCCCGGCCGCGCTAATTTCAGGCTGCTCAACATCTCCGTCGAATTCAAGCGAGGATCCCCGGGGGCGGATCCCTTTGACGACAGCGACGATCCGGACCACGAGAAGCTTAGCTCGGACCGCCTCGCTGTACGCGGTCAGCTCATGGCCTATACTCTCAGAGTGTTCAGGCTTCAGTTTCGCGAGGCGCACTTCCAGCTCTTCGTCAACGGCCGCCAATTCCGCTTCCTCCGCTGGGACAAGTCTGGTGTCGTCGTCACCGATCCCGAGGATTACGTGACCTTGGAAGGCACGCGGAAACTTCTACGCATGCTCTACGACTTCTCTTGCCTCGATCGCAAGGGCCAAGGATACGACACCACCGTCAAGCTCCTGCCGTCGACTAGCTCCGGGTGGCAACAACTGGAACTCATCAAGAGGAGCCACCCCTTCGACGTCGAGGCGTATCCCGACGCTCCCGTGCCCCAGACGCCCCTTCCTCCCTGTCTCTCCCTTCCTTGGTCCGCAGTCCCGCAGTCTCTCCTGTTCAAAAAGAATTTCTTGAGGGCGGACCCTCTGAAAGCCGCGTCACCCAAAGCGGTCCAGATATTGGCTCTGGCCCGCGACGGCGACCGGGTCAGCACCGACTCGGAGTACTACGAGCCGACGTACGAGTACATCCGCTCGAAGTTCGCCGAGACGCTAGGCGACGGCGCTCTGCGGTACGTCATGCGCATCGGCAAGAGGCTGTTCCTCGTCGGCGATCCAGTCTTCCACGCGTTTGGCGTCGTTGGGCGCGGGACGAAGGGCTTCTTCGCGCTCGACTGGCTCACGCAGCGGATCGTCTTCGTCAAGGACACCTGGCAGCCGTTCTACTCGGGGCTCGAGAGCGAAGGGGCCGTGCTCAAGCGGCTGAACGAGAAGAACGTGCGGTTCGTGCCGACGCACATCTGCCACGAGGACTACGTCGACCAGGAGACGGAGACGTCGAACTACGGCCCCACGGGATCGAAGAGGGTGGACTTTTCGCTCCGCCTCGCGAAGACCCAGAACGCTGTCGCATCGTCGTCGACCCCTGCCGCAGCCGCTGCGACGCCCGGTGCGACTCGCGCCACACGCAGCGGGGCTAAGCGGACCCGTGGCGATGTAGCCCAAGGCAAGCAGGGTGCGAAGCTGCGTCATTTCCGACACCATCGGCTTGCCGTCTTCGAGGTCTGTCTGCCGTCGACCGCGTTCAAGGACGGACGGATGTGGACGCTGATAGTCTTCGCTGCGCTTTGTGGTGAGTTCTTGGCCCATACCGTGTTCGACAAACCGTGTCTCATCCGCCGCTGCCGCCACATAGCGCATAGGGATGCAGTCAAACTGTGCGAGATCGTGCATCGGGACGTCAGCGTCGGGAACATTCTCGTGTGCCCCCAAGTCTCAGGGAACCGCCTCGAGTGGGAGGGGAAGCTGAGCGATTGGGAGCTGTGCAGGACGAACGTCCCCACAGTCCCTGCTCGTCAGCCTATACGCACAGTACGCATCTGTTGACCGTTGTTTTTATGAACGCACGCTGATATGACGTCCTCAGGGCACGTATCAATTCCAGCCAATAATATGTCTCAAGGATCCCGAGACGGTCGTTGGCGTAGCCGAAGAATTGGAGTCCTTCTTCTACGTTTTCCTTTACAACGCGGTCTGCCTTCTCGACCACAACCTCCCTGATGTGCACGGGTTTGTCAGCAAGTTCTTTGACGACAACTCCGCCCGTGTGCCTCAGCTGAAGAAGTTGGCCATGACCCTGAACGGCACGATCGTCGATGCGGAGGACATCAAGCTGCGGTTCGAAGCAAGTGGCAACCTCGCCACGCACCCTATCAACGACATCATCGACGAGCTCCTGGAGTTGTTTCAAGCACGGTATCAAGTGCTGCAGTACGACGACGACCTGCGCGCCTATCGGAAGAAGCTCTCCGCCCTTCAATCGCAGCAAGAGCCCCTCACGAGCGATGCCAAAACAAACTCAGATGACGTCGAGCTCGTCGAGTTGGATGCTGCTGATGAGCCGGATGCCGCTGCGAAGCTCGCTCCAAGCCAGGTCAGAATCTTGGCCGACGAACTCGTCGTCGCCCCTCGTCTGAGGAGGGCGCCCGGAGCCAAGGAGCCGAAGCACCCTGGTCAGGACGTCTTCGATCTCGCGGCGCGGCTCGACAACCACGCGTATGTCATCGGGCTCTTCAAGGGGTACCTCTTGCAGAACAACTGGCCCGCGAAAGATCGGCTCCCGGAGAGCGCGCTCACGGGGTACGTGCCGCCGCGGTACGTACCGCCGACGGCGAAGAAGATGAGGTCGGAGGCTCTTCCTCCCTTGCGCTCGTGGTCGATGCAGTACTCTGGGAGTGGTCGGAGCGGGTCTGCAGGCGGAGATACCCAGGAGACCCGGGCTGCGAAGAGGCAGAGGCTTATGGATGGTGTTCCCGGCGACAGTTGACACGCACGCGCTCTACTCTTGTGTACATTCGCAACCCCTGCACTTAACAGTTTGTTCCAACCACCGCGGCCCGCCGCACTCTCCCTTCGACGACTCGTTACCCGCTGCGCACCCTCTCATCACTGTTCCACGCGAATCTACTTCCGCGCCCCGAGCATCCTGACGACCGCCACGTTCCCGGCGACCACGGTGCGCTCGTCTTCCACTCCGCCCCGGCGGCGACGACGAGACCGCGCTGCGCGATGTGGTGCGCAAGGCCGTACGCGCCTCCCTCGCGCCGTTTATGGCCCCGTCTAAGTAGTTATCGCCGCTCGGTCGCGCGCGCGCTCGCGGACGCGCTCACCGAGCTCCAGCAGCCCGTCCCAAGGCTCTGCGGCGCAGCACGCAGAGAAGAGGGCACGCTCAATTTTGATCTCAAGGTGCTCGAGCGGTTCGTCCCAGGCGCGCGGGCGCGACTCGACCACACCTTTTGTCATGCGCACTTCCCTCCATCTCCACCTCGATCTTCGCCCACCTCAGACCTGCCCGGCCGTGCTCACCACATCCGCACCGCTCGAGGACGTCTATCCGGACGTTCTCAGCATGAATATTAGAAGACGGGGGCCACGGCGATGTACCGCGATCTTGTTTTGGTGAGTCCGCTCCAACCTCCTCCTCTCCCTTTCTGCCTCACCCATTAGACCTACCGCCCTGCCTCCGCGACGTCGCCTCCCTCCTCACCCGCCTCCGCGCCTGCATCGCTGCGTCGCCCGCCTTCACCTCGCCTCCCTGCCCGCCTCCTCCGCGCCCGCGCCGCCTACCCACACCCGCGTCGCTCTCATCCGCCCGCGTCGCCCTCCGCGTCGCCCACCTCTGCCTCCACCTCCGCCTCCGCCGCCTTCGCCTCCTCCCGCGAGCCCTCCGCGTCACCCGCCTCCACGCACGTCGCCCTGCGCTTCCTCCGCCGTGTCCGGCCCTCCACGTCGCCCTCCACCACCTCTGCCTCCGCGATGTCGCGGGACTGTGGTATTTCTTGCTGGCCCCACTATGTGGTAGCTTCCTGGCAAATGTATTTGAATCACTACTCATTGACAAAAGGTGTGGTCGAGTCGCGCCCGCGCGCCCGGGACGAACCGCTCGAGCACGTTGACATCAAAATTGAGCGTGCCTCTTCTCTGCACGCTGCGCCGCAGAGCCTTGGAACGGGCTGCTGGAGCTCGGTGAGCGCGTCCGCGAGCGCGCGCGCGACCGAGCGGCGATAACTACTTAGGCGGGGCCATAAACGGCGCGAGGGAGGCGCACCACATCGCGCAGCGCGGTCTCGTCGTCGCTGCCGGGGCGGATTCGAAGGTGAACGCGCCGTGGTTGCCAGCGGCGTGACGGGGAGGGGAAGTAGAGTGGTGCACAGCGGGTAACGTAACGAATCGTCCAAGGGGGACCGTGGCGTTGGTTGGAGTAAACCGTTAAATACAGGGGTTGTGAATGTAGACAAAAGCGGAGGGCGTAGGAATCAACGTTTGTCGTCGGGAACATCACCCATAAGCCTCTGCCTCTTCGCAGTCCTTTCCTGGGTATCTCCGCCTGCCGAGCCGCTCCGACCACTCCCAGAGTACTGCATCGACCACGAGCGCAAGGGAGGGAGGGCCTCCGACCTCATCTTCTTCGCCGTCGGCGGTACGTACCGCGGCGACACGTACCCCCTGAGCGCGCTCTCCGGGAGCCGATCTTTCGCGGGCCAGTTGTTCTGCAAGAGGTACCCCTTGAAGAGGCCGATGACGTACGCGTGGTCGTCGAGCCGCGCGGCTAGATCGGACACGTCCTGACCGGGGGGCTTCGGCTCCTTGGCTCTGGGCACCCTCGTCGGGCGAGGGACGACAGCGAGTTCGTCGGCCAGGATTCTGACCTGGCTTGGAGGGGGCTTCGCAGCGGCATCCGGCTCATCAGTAGTATCCGAGTTGACGAGCTCGACATCATCAGAGTTCGTTTTGGCATCGTTCGCGAGGGGCTCTTGCTGCGACTGAAGGGCGGAGAGCTTCTTCCGATAGGCGCGCAGGTCGTCGTCGTATTTGAGCACTTGATAGCGCGCTTGAAATAACTGCAGGAGCTCGTCGATGAGGCTGTTGATGGGGTGCGCGGTGGCACCACCGCTCGCTTCGAACTCTAGCTCGACGCGGTTTGAATCGCGGATTACGCCTTGTGGGTCCATCGCCGACATCTTCAACATCGGTACGCGGGCTGAGTTGTCGTCAAAGAACTTGCTGACGAACTCGTGCACGTCAGGGAGGTTGTGGTCGAGAAGGCAGACCGCGTTGTAAAGGAAAACGTAGAAGAAGGACTCCAATTCTTCGGCTACGCCAACGACCGTCTCGGGATCCTTGAGACATATTATTGGCTGGAATTGATACGTGCCCTGAGGACGTCATATCAGCGTGCGTTCATAAAAACAACGGTCAACAGATGCGTACCGTGCGTATAGGCTGACGAGCAGGGACTGTGGGGACGTTCGTCTTGCACAGCTCCCAATCGCTCAGCTTCCCCTCCCACTCGAGGCGGTTCCCTGAGACTTGGGGGCACACGAGAATGTTCCCGACGCTGACGTCCCGATGCACGATCTCGCACAGTTTGACTGCATCCCTATGCGCTATGTGGCGGCAGCGGCGGATGAGACACGGTTTGTCGAACACGGTATGGGCCAAGAACTCACCACAAAGCGCAGCGAAGACTATCAGCGTCCACATCCGTCCGTCCTTGAACGCGGTCGACGGCAGACAGACCTCAAAGACGGCGAGCCGGTGGTGCCGGAAATGACGCAGCTTCGCACCCTGCTTGCCTTGGGCTACGTCGCCGCGGGTCCGCTTAGCCCCGCTGCGCGTGGCGCGAGCCGCACCGGGCGTCGCAGCGGCTGCGGCAGGGGTCGAAGACGACGCGACGGCGTTCTGGGTCTTCGCGAGGCGGAGCGAAAAGTCCACCCTCTTCGATCCCGTGGGGCCGTAGTTCGACGTCTCCGTCTCCTGGTCGACGTAGTCCTCGTGGCAGATGTGCGTCGGCACGAACCGCACGTTCTTCTCGTTCAGCCGCTTGAGCACGGCCCCTTCGCTCTCGAGCCCCGAGTAGAACGGCTGCCAGGTGTCCTTGACGAAGACGATCCGCTGCGTGAGCCAGTCGAGCGCGAAGAAGCCCTTCGTCCCGCGCCCAACGACGCCAAACGCGTGGAAGACTGGATCGCCGACGAGGAACAGCCTCTTGCCGATGTGCATGACGTACCGCAGAGCGCCGTCGCCTAGCGTCTCGGCGAACTTCGAGCGGATGTACTCGTACGTCGGCTCGTAGTACTCCGAGTCGGTGCTGACCCGGTCGCCGTCGCGGGCCAGAGCCAATATCTGGACCGCTTTGGGTGACGCGGCTTTCAGAGGGTCCGCCCTCAAGAAATTCCTTTTGAACAGGAGAGACTGCGGGACTGCGGACCAAGGAAGGGAGAGACAGGGAGGAAGGGGCGTCTGGGGCACGGGAGCGTCGGGATACGCCTCGACGTCGAAGGGGTGGCTCCTCTTGATGAGTTCCAGTTGTTGCCACCCGGAGCTAGTCGACGGCAGTAGCTTGACAGTGGTGTCGTATCCTTGGCCCTTGCGATCGAGGCAAGAGAAGTCGTAGAGCATGCGTAGAAGTTTCCGCGTGCCTTCCAAGGTCACGTAATCCTCGGGATCGGTGACGACGACACCAGACTTGTCCCAGCGGAGGAAGCGGAATTGGCGGCCGTTGACGAAGAGCTGGAAGTGCGCCTCGCGAAACTGAAGCCTGAACACTCTGAGAGTATAGGCCATGAGCTGACCGCGTACAGCGAGGCGGTCCGAGCTAAGCTTCTCGTGGTCCGGATCGTCGCTGTCGTCAAAGGGATCCGCCCCCGGGGATCCTCGCTTGAATTCGACGGAGATGTTGAGCAGCCTGAAATTAGCGCGGCCGGGGTCGTGAGCGGGGAGAGCTTCGTCGGTGGGAATGAAGCTGGCATCGGGCTTGTCTTGACGACTACTGTGGAGGTCGGGTTTGTCCGGGGAGACGTGAAAGAAGTGGTTCGGCAGCAAAGGCTTGATTTTATCGGCTGCGCTCTTCATCGGGTGTGAGAGGGCAGAAGCAGGAACATGCTACGAGACTCACCCAAGCTTCGTATAAATCCTTCTCGAGGGGCTTCTTGCCGTTCTCGAAGGGTTTCTTGAACTCCTGGTGGATTAGTGTCACCTGCGCGTCGGGGAATACGCTGGAGAACTTGCCGCCCACGCCACTCGGGGGAGTGAGGTAGGAGGACTTGAACTGAGAAGTGGGCATGCAGATGGCGGTGTCCATGCCGTCAGCCACCAGGTCGTCTCGCTCGAGTTCCGCTCGTAGCTGTTCGGAAGAATCTGGAGGAGAGCCATGACGAGTGGAGTGTCGTGAAGAGACCCGTTGTTGGAATGAGGGGGACGATTTGGGGATCAGTGATCCCATAGTATGTGGAGGCATGATAGAGGGGACTAACGGTGGGAGGAGCGCTGTCGGGATACTTTATGCGCACGGAGGGTAGTCGGCAGAACTGAACAGTCACGAGAGGGCTGCGTTGTATACATGAGGCTCATGAGGAGTCACAGTGAGTCCTCGACGTACCTTATTTGGGGAGCAGTGGGACTTTTGGCCGCGTGTGGCGGGAAGAGAGAGAGCCGTGTGCGCGTCTAGCGCATCGTGGTTGGGTTTGCCGCGTGCAGTATCCGGGCCGCTCTCCGACCAGTGATCCGACTACGGCCCCGCGGCGGTCCGGCCGCTGTCCTTGCTGCTTTCTCTCGCACTACCAACTTCCAAAATCCTGCTCTTGAGCCCGCCGACTCATCTCTTTCAAGAGATAGCATGTCTGCCCAGGTTTACCCCATAAAGCCCGGCTTGAGTACTTGAGTACTGGTACTTGAACGGTAAGGGCTTTGTTGAACGCACAGCGTTGCGTCAATTTTGTACGCTCGTACTCAGAAGCTAAGCTCGTTATGTCGCAAAACCTCAAGGTAGCGATCCTGCGCTAACAAAGTGACATGTTCAGCTAGAAACTTGCAAGTAAGTAGTACTCAATCGACTTGGAAGCAACGCTAACGTAATCATTTAGACGCCTCTTATCAGGCACACGTAAGCCATTTGGCGACTGATGTTGAGGTTCTTTCTACAACGCTCACCTCAACAAGGTACTGATTAATCAAAAGTAAATCCTGGCCGTAAAGACTCTGACAAGGCTTTTCGTAGATTCACCAGCCATGTCGTATGAGCAGGACCAGCGACCGCTATCTGGCACGTACACGTCTCGCTCGACCAGCACTTACGGCCAAGTCATCCCAAGACGATCTTCATTCGAACATGCTTTGATTCCCTCTTACCACTCTCAGTCCCGCTCGCGGAGTGCCACCACCTCGCGCAGCCCCAGTCCCAGCACGTCGCGCTCCCCGACCTCCGCTTCAATCTCTTCCTTCTCCGCAGGACCCTACCGGCACACACACTCTCCACTATCCACCTCTGCTCCTGGAAGCCCCGTTTCGCTCGACGCAGTGCGTGATCAAGCAGCGCAGACAATCGTCATCCGCGCCCTACGTAACGCCGAGGTCGTCGACGGCACCAAGTGCGGCGTCATCTTCACTCTACCACACCACGCCGGCGAGCAATTTCTCAAGACGATCGCCTCGCACATGCGCCGTGCGATGCTTTTCCACGCCCCACCCCCGGGGACCGTCCGAGCGTATCCCCGAGCGCACTCTCTGGCGTCTCAACGGGGCGCTACCTCTTCATCCTCGCCCAGCCCTCGACTGGCCCCCCCGGCACGCTGAGCCCGCTGCTCGTCTGCTCCTCCAGCGCCGAGCTCGCCGACCGCTGCGGGACCCTCCTCCACGCGAAGCTGCTCTCGCGCGTTGCGCGCGCCGACGCGCGCCACGGCCGCTGGGGCGCGCTCATCCGCGACCTCGGCGCGCTCGCCCCCGACTCCCCCATCGCCGGCGGCGGCGACGACGAGGCCGCGCTGCGCGACGCGGTGCGCAAGGCGGCGCGCGCCCCCCTCGAGCCGTTCATGGCCCCGCCCGGGTCGCGCTCGATCGCGCGCGTGCTCGCGGACGCGCGCGCGCGCCTGCAGCGCCTGCCGCCCGCGGACGCGCTCGCGGAGCTGCAGCAGTCCGTGCCGCTCTACCCGGTCGTGCTCGTCGACATCCGGCCCGAGGCGCAGCGTGCGAAGGAGGGCTGGATCGAGGGCGCGCTCGCCATCGAGCGCAACGTGCTCGAGTGGCGGTTCGACCCGCGGTGCGCGGCGCGGCTGACGATCGCGGACCGGTTCGACTTGAAGGTGATCGTGATGTGCCAGGAGGGGTTCACGAGCAGCCTGGCGGCGGCGGCGCTGCACGACATCGGGCTATTGAACGCGACGGACATCATTGGAGGGTACGCGGCGTGGCGCGCGGCTGGGCTGCCGGAAGTGGTGGAGACGTCGTCCACGGCGCCGCCCACTGAGGTGGGGGTGTCGGTGCCGATTGAGCACGAGGGCGGAGGGATAGAGTAGCAGGGTTTTTCATGATATCGACTGGTAAAATATCTCCCTGACTATCCTGAGATAGCATATCGTGGTAGCGTTGTACTCGGCGCAGCAGAAGACGCATCAGGAGCAAGCCATACCTCGTTCCCATGGCAGAAGAGATACATGAGATTCAGTTCAGGCATCTGGGCACAGCAAGAACCCGCACAAGTGAAGTGGCGGGCAGAAGTGCACAGTTCAGGGCCCAGCCCTTGGAGGTACTCTGGCTCTGGACGACGCGCATTCCTCGATGCCCTTCACCTCGCTAGCAATATCAATCATAATCATGAGCCAGTTTGATTGCTTCAACGCTACCCAAATTCTGCCACACTGAGTCCATGTCCATCGTGCTCTCTAATGGCGTACAGAATGCACGAACCCTTACGCTGCTGACGAGCCACCAGGCCTCGGAGGTGGGGCAAACACGCTCCCTCATCACTCAACTTTTGGGGCTGTGTATCCTTCTAGAGCGTCGCAAACCTGAGGAGTGAGGGGTCGGAGAGTAGGGCGTTCGACGATCCTTCGCGCCCGAAGACGTCTTCTTGGGAGCCCAAGGGATGACCTTGGCCTTCGCGTCCTTTGGGGTCTTCGGCGACGCTTTCCCCATCGTCTTCCTGATCTTCTCTCTTGCCTCAATGGCCGATTGACGACGGGGCGGTGTTGATGCCGCCACCGAACTGGATGGCTCTAGAACATTGGGTGGCACACGTCGCGCGCGCTTGGGACGACGACCGACGACTGCCGTCGCCACTTCCTCGTCGCCGTCGCCGCCGCTCATGGGCCTCTTTCTCGGTTCTGCTTCCGGAGTTCTTCTGTTCTTGCAAGAATCTTCGAAGGAGTCCAGCATATACTGTTCCGGCGGAGGTGTAAGAGGAGACCCGAGGCCTGAGAGGCGGAACGACTCTGCATCAAATATTTCCATTACCCCCGCGCCCGCGTGCGGAGAGCCTGGGGTGCCGGAAATTGTGCTGGCGGAAGTACATTTCAACAAATGCGAAGAAACAGTGGAGCGGTACTTACCGAGTAGGACTGTAGATTCTCGGTGGAGTCGTGGTATGCGGAGAGGACATCTTGTATACCATGGAGGAGTTCGAGGAGTTCGGTGCAATCTGGTGGTGGATCCGAGGTTTACGCGTCTGTACTGGCACATTTTATATAAGTAGGTCTTGGGGCAGTGTTAGGCCAACGACACGAGAACGAGAAAGGGGCAAGCTGGGTTGAGGGCCGCGTGTGCGGGAGCTAAAGGACCACCTGCCTGACCGAGAACATCCGATTACCCTGATGCGGCAGGACTTGAGAGAGCATGTCGTCAGGGGAAGGACATCCAGTCAATTATGCCTCAAGAAGGCGTTGTTATCAGCACAATCGCACGCCACTGGAACGTATGCACCCACATAGAGTACGGAGGCATCGTTTGTTGTAATAGCTGACAACGTCACTGTCCTAGGAACTCGTGATGCCCCAGCTATTCTTTGTGCCACAGACCCTGATCTAGGGAGTGGAGACCGAATCTAGGGAGTGGAGATCGAATCTATCCTTGCGTGCGCACTGTAAGTACTAGTGATTGGTCAGTCATTCGTCCGGTCATGATACACACAAAAGGCCCAGATTTACGTAAGGGGAAAACCGCAGACTGCTTCGATTCACGAGGGATCCATTCGTACTGTACACGGAATTCGAATGGAGCAGTCATGACTCTCCGCTCCCGTCACGAATTGGACGTGCCTCGTGGTGCAAGAACGTCGACAGAGAACGTCGTGTGTAGCTATCTTAAACAGCACTATGATCAGCTAGTTACTGAATAAACGAGAAAGACATGACTCACGAACCTGTGGCCGTTTGTTCTGTGACCCGTCCCGACACTCGTCATTGTCCTAAGTTGTTGAGCGGCCGGGTTTGGGGCAAGTCGTCACGGCGCTAGTACGGTGCATCTAGAAACGGAAATGGCCGCTTTGTGAGGACTGTCGTCGTCCGCCGTTGTGGTACATCGACTCATCGAGGCCGGGCCTGAGCACGTCGACGCTCACCACTGGCCACAGGCAGGCCCATCGCATGAATGATGAAGGATACGCGTTGCGTAGCGATCGTGAGCCGTTGCAAAAACAAGGCCGCGGAGGCTGCTGGTAGCGAACCCAGAATACAGGGCGAATGCGGCGAGGAGTCCAGGCTGTGGGGGCAGAGCAGGGAGGTGGTGGAGGAGGAGGAAGGACGGAGGGATGCGCGCCACGCGTCCTTGCCGCCCAGGCGCGTCTCCACAGGCGCGCATCACGATGCATTCAATCGCACTTGCCGATTTGGCGATTACGAGTTGCTCCCCAAGCCGCCCTTTGTCCACGCCCCTCATCTCCAACACCATGCAGACTCATCCCGCCAAGCAGGACTTGTATCCACACCCGTTCCTTGCAGCCGTCGTTGGGCGGAACTGGGAGATCTTGGCGATGGATGAAGTCGCTCCTCGTCGTCGGTGCAACCACTGCGGCTCTTGCCGCGATCTGAAGCAATGCAGTGCATGCGGTGTGCCAAAATACTGCGGCATTAGCTGCCAGAAGACTGACTGGCCCTTGCACAAGTAAGTTCATTCACACATCTCGCCACTTTCTGCACACTCAACCCAGACAGGGACATGTGTCTTCGCAGGAAAAACGACAAAAGACCACTCTTTGTCCAACTGCCATTGAGCTACAACAGCCACGCAGCGGTGGCAGCGTCCATGCGTGACTGGGTAGACATGCACGACCACGCGATTGCGCTTCTCGTCAACACCACCGTCCATCTCGTAGCATGTGACGTGGAAGTGCTGGAGGACCCCTCCTACGACCGAGACTCGGTCGACGCCCGCATGGTCATCCAATCCGCCAGCTACCTCGTATACGACCTCGACCACATCGGCGCATCACATACCTCCAGTCCATCCTCCACATTCCAGCTCGCCACCCGCCGGGTGCTCGTCCACGGCGTCCCAGTCCCCGAAAACGACACCCCCGTCTGGACCACAGACCAGCAGCAGCGCTTCCAGAGCGTCCGCTTCACGCAGGAGGCGACCCTGGTCGCGCGCACCCCGCATCGTGCCCCTTCCGTACTCGGCTTCTTCCCCGTGCAGTTCTTTGCCCCCCGCCTCGGCGTCGCCATCGTCCGCGCGTACCCGATATACCGCCTGCGCGCGCGCCAGCGGCACCGGCCGACGGCGGACGAGCTCGCGGTGCTGAGCGACGTGAACGACGTGTTCATGTGGGGCATGAAGTGTACCGGCGAGGCCCCGCTCGTCGTCAGGCCGCCGGAGGACCCGGCACGGGGGCTGCTGGTGGGCGGAATGATGATCCCTGGGCAGGGGAAGCAGTGGGTGTTCAAGGAGATCCCGGGCTTCACATGGGACGGGATGATGAATGCCCGGCCGGCGAACGACCCAACGCACAGGAGCGGGCTCGACGCTGGAGAGTTGATAGAGCGTACGTGGGAGATACTGGAGCTGCCGCGGGCTTGATGTGAAGTCACAAGTGTCGCTGAGCTACCCGGCTCGCATAACCTGGTTCAGCCTTTCGCTCCACGTCGCGGCCAACACATGTGCCCGGCGCACGCCACAGCCCCACTCGTCTCCGCACTATCCCAGCGGCGTGCTCAGTCGACGAGGTTGGACGGTGGTGTTGGAGACCGGCGCTCTCATGCTTTCGTCCCAAACCATCACCACATCTTAGGCCGAAGGAAGCTCTCCCGTCTATCCTCCCTATCACCCCCTCAATCATCACGCACACCATCTCTCTGGACAATCTGTCATATGGAAACGTGCAGGAGAGAGACGAAGCTTATACCGACTGTCATTACTCCTATAGTATACCTGACTAGGAAAGGAATCGACACTTTCGATAACATGTTCCCTACCCATAAAGCATCCGAGGTTGTCGAAGAGGTGAAAAAGGTCTTTGCGAGACGAGTTTCAGTGCCTGAGGATCATTGGAGTATGGGTGCGTGGTTTCGGTTTACCATCCAGTGAGTGTCACAAGTGACACACCTTAATTAGCAAGCCGGCGGCCTAGAATGGCTTTTCAGCACGGCATATGAGGACGACCGCGTCTTGGCCTCTCAGCTTGACGATCACAGGGGAGTTGTGGACGTATTCCGTCGCTACGTCACTGTATTTCGAGAGGCGTGGCCGGTGAGTGACCGTAGGGAGGAGGATGTATTGAAGGGTGTCGTCGTTGCTCAGCCATGACATTATGAGTCGAACGACTGTGTCGTGTATGCCGTAGGCGGTAGCATGTCTTATGTGCGCACCACTGTACAGTGCATTCAATCCATGTAGTTTTCATTCCGTACCATCATCGAGTCGTTAAAGTCCGATCTCATGAGTTGGCAAAAATAGAGGATTGAGTATTAATACTCGTGCACAGAAATTCATCACCAAGAGATGTCTCGCCGCCCACGACCTTCGCATCCACTGACTTGGTGCACGTGTTATAAGACCGCAACAGTTACAACACCATTGTCCGATTTATTCACAAACACATCCCACATGAACTGTCTACACCTGACGCTACGCGGTCTTCTCCTTCGGTAACCCCGCAAACATCCTCGACACCCGCTCCACCACCCGCCCCGCACCCACCCCGACGCCAAACAGCACAGCGACGTCGACCGCAAGCAGCATGATCACCGCGAGCATGCACCGCGGCGCGAAGATCTTCCACACCATCAGGTGCCGCCGCAGCCACGTCGCGCACGCCGCCGCGCCGAGCAGCAGCCCCGCGTGGTAGAGCATCATCGCGAGCCCCGCGCGCACGACGCCCGCCCGCGCCCGCGCGCCCGCGAGCGGCAGCGGCCGCGGCTCGACGTACCACAGCGCGAGCGCCGGGGCCGCGAGCGCGACGAGCGCGGTCGGCCCGAGCGTGTTCAGGGCGACGAGCGCGGGCGAGAACGGGTAGACGAGCGTCGGCGTGAGCACGAACGCGGCCTTCCACTGGATCGAGGGCACCGCGGCCTGGTGGCCGGTCGCGAAGAACGCGTGCACGGCGAGCAGCGCGAGCGGCTGCACCTCCGCGAAGCGCAGCGGCTGCGCGGGCGCGCTGAGCTCGTCGGCCTGCAGGATCGCGGAGGGGTTGCCGGAGGCGAAGAGCGCGTCGATCCCGCGGACGTCGCGGACGCTGTCAACGACCTCGAGGTAGGCGAGCACCGCGACGGCGGCGAGCGCGAGGGTGATCTGGCCCGTGAGCTGTGCCGAGGGGTAGAGGAGGGCGAGGAAGAGGAGCCAGAAGACGATGTACGGCGCTCCGTAGGCGTTCCCGAACCCGACGACGGTGACTTCTTTCTTCGGAGTGGGACCCGGCTTCGGTTGAGAAGATATCTGGACACACATCGGTACGAGATACCAAAGCGCGTAGCCGAAGAAAAGTACCCCGCCCATCGCGACGCGCGCGCAAAGCGTTCGCGTGAGACGGAGAGTCCCTTCCCACTCCGGCCCCAGGAGGTTGGCCGAATCGATGTACTCGATGATCCAGAAAGAGCTCCCGAGAAGGAGGGCCGACGGCATCGCCCAAGGGAGGAGGATCGCGGCAATACCACGGTCGGACTTGGATATCTGGAGGAACCGGCGGGTGATCCAAGGCAGGCCGATGGCTACCGGAATGGCGAGGACGAGGACCATGAGGGGCGGTGATGGGAGGGAAGAGGACGCGAAGAACGTAACATGGCAGAAAGGTTGCTGCTCCTCCCGGCAGACCGTACTTGCTGCCATGGCGCGAACGCAAAGAGCGAACAGTGCTGAGAACCCAAGGATGCGGTACCGCAGGCGGGATGTTGGCGCAGTGAAGCCGGTGAGAATGGCGGGGACGATGGAGGAGATGAGCAGGTATGTGACGATACGGTCTTCCCAAACGATGAAGGAGTTTGAGGCGAATGCTGCGGCGTGTAGGACGAGAGGGAGAGGGAGGGCCGACAGCGAGGCGAATGATATGCCGGACAGCGAGGGTGGCGCGGAAAAGATAACCACGAGGGAAGAGGCGAATGCCGCTCCAAACAGTGGGCCCTCGACGACGCCGACCCCTTTGACGTATCGGGAGATCGTAACCCAAGCCACAAAGCCGAGGAGGCCTCCTCCAACCATGCTCGAGACAAAAGACCGTGTAACATTGGAGGCCCACGTCTCCCAGTCGTCACCCAACGCCCCAAGCTTAAGATACAAGAACGCTGATGCAACCGTCCCTGTGACCATGAGACAGAGGCCCAGGTCGATGAGCGCAATGTCGAACTGCGCCCACAGCATCCGGCAGGCGGCGAGGACGGATCGAGTGTAGACCTTCGCGGCGAGCCACAGGTTCTCCCGGTCCACTGTTGAGGACTCCAAATGCGTGGGGTCGACGGGGCCCCACATCCGCTCGAGATCATCCCATGCACTGTCGAGCTCGGATCCCGAGGGGCTCTTGCGGTAGGTGTCCAGGTAGCGTCGGATCTGGGCGGTGTTGATTGACAATGCGCGCGTGAATCGATCGCCGTTCTTGTCCGACCAGAACATCTCCGGGATCACGGTCCCGAGGTTGTTGAAGGGCACGGGGAGCCCTAGCGCCAACGACAGAGACGCAGCGAGGTCGATCTGCTGTATATGCCGGGCCTCCACGGGGGCGTTCGGGAAGAAACGCGTCGTGAGCAGGAAATCCGGGATGTTGGCCTTCGGGTGTATCAGCTGAGGTCTCTTGCTGTACACCCACAGCGCGGCCGAGGTTTCGTGGTCTCCGTCGCCTCCGTGGTCGCCCTTGCGGTCCATGCCGTGGTCACCCATGAGAATGAGCAGGGTGTCGTCGTCGAGAAGGTCGACCACGCGGCGCATGACGTCGTCCATCTGCTTCAGCTTCGTCTTCATCGTCGGATGGTCCGGTCCCAGACGATGCCCGACGTGGTCGACGCCGAGGAAATGACCGATGATGACGTCCCATGGCTTGCTCTTGTCCTGGAGGAGGGGAAAGAGGTGCTGGATGACGCCTTCGTCTACGGTATGCAAGTCTTCGACGTTGAAGGAGTCGTAAGGGAAGGTCATGTTGGGCTCGAAGGAGTCCGGGAAGACGGTGGTCCAAGTGTCGTCGCCCATGAACGCAATCTAGAAGGCTTGAATGAGTGAGACCGGTCAAATCCACAATAACCCCGCAGAGTGATGAGAGAAGGCGAGACTTCGACTGTGGACGAATGAAGGGGTAGACCGAGAAACACTCACTTTCTTCCCTGCAGCCCGAAGCTGCCCAATAAACGAGTCCTCCGTTATTGACGACCCTCCAAAGTTGGACCCCATCTCCATGATTGTGGGCAGAGACCCGGTCGTGATCCCTTTGAGGCGTTGCAGCGTCGTGGTGGGAGGGTCCGAGAACATCTCGAAGAGGAAAGACTGCAGCGGGGCCTTCGCAGTAAGTTCTTGCGGGATGGTGAGGACATGATGGTGGAAGGGCGAAGGGGGTTCGGGTGGGTGTGGGCTCAGGAAGTCGAAGCGGAGGGCGTCGATGATGAGCACCACTGCGCGCTGGTGCGAAGGCGCGAGTATGCAGGAGCCATCGTCGCAGGAGGTGGCGTCGGAGAGAGACAGTCGGGTGAGAAGGAAGCCGCGCGTGTATAGGTAGATCCCGGCGAGGTGGACGAAGAAGACCCAGGCGAGAAGGGAGAGTCCTTTAGAGGAGACCATGAAGGAGGAGTAGTGAACGGAGTTTATGCAAGCATCTGCGCTGCGCGTCAGTGAACCCTCGCAATGCAGAGACGTGCGAGACCGCGCGCACCTGGGGGCGTGTTTTAGGCACCGCGCTCGACAACGGCGGAGATAGAGAGAGGGAGGAAAGTGAGAGACGTGTCCACAGGCGCGCTCGCGCGGTGCGCTGTGGCCGCGCGCGGCCGGTCGCGCCCCCGCGAACGTACTCCTCGACCACCATCACCTTCTCACCGGCATCGAAGTTTACGATCCCTTCTGCAACATGCCCAAAGCCAAAGAACCAGTAACCGGCGCGGCTATTGCACAAGCCCAGCAAGACGCAAGTTCGGAAGGCATCGACAGCTTCGAGCTCCCCCGCAGCCTCATCGTGAAGCTCGCTCGTGCGTCGCAGGTGCGCGCACGGGCTTTGACGCGTTTTTCGCGTCTCATCCTCTGTATCGTCAACTAATCATCTCGTCAGGTCCCGGACAACACCAAGTTCTCAAAGGAGGTCATCCTCGCCATCCTGAAAGCTTCCACCGTCTTCATTAACTATCTAGGTACGTTCTGTCCACACAATTCGCGTTGAAACCGTCTCATGTCCCCCACAGCCGCAAAGTAAGCCCGAAATGCTCCTCCGGCTGCCATGCAGCTTCTAACCGACCGCCTCTCCAGTGCCCACGAGGTCGCAAGCCAAAAGCAACACAAGAGCATCTCAGCGTCGGACGTGCTAAGGGCGTTGGAGCAGGCGGAGTTCGCAGACATCGCGAAGACCATCTCAGGGGAGCTCCAAGGTACGTCCGTCATTCTCTTCAGCGTGCTGCATTCCCCAACACGGCGTCGGCAGTCTACCGCGAGGTCCAGAAGTCGGACAAACGGAAAGGCGGGAAGGGCAAAGCCAAGGACACGTCCGAGACCGCTTCCACCTCATCCAAAGGGAAGGGCAAAGCCAAAGCCGCCTCGTCGGAACAAGACACGCCTGGTGGTACACCGACTATCGTCATCCCTGGCGGCGCTGCCTCCGCTTCCGCATCTCGTGGTCCACCAGCGGGTGGCGACGGAGCCGTTGACGAGGACCAAGAGATGGCCGACCAAGACCAGGAGGACGAGGACGAGGAAGACGAGGATATGGAGGAAGATGAGGACGAAGGAGAGCCGGAAGAGCCGGAAGATACGATGGCGTTGGAGGAGGAGGATTTGCAGAGGGACGCGCGAGGAGTGGATCAACCGGGTGAGCGTGTCGACGACGAGTGATGGACTCCTACCATGTGCTTTGACTGTTTTGTGTACGATATGCAACAGGCGGCCGTTCATTGGTTTTAGAAACCACGCGTGTGTGTATGAGACTCTCTTTTGCTTGGTGAAGACAGGCGCCGTATGATACTGGGACGGTACGCGGAACAAAATGTTTTCCCGATACTTGACTGACAGTGTGCATATTACTCTAGCTCAGTCTCCGCAGACGTCCCCAGGATCGCACGCAGCGTCTTCTCTGGAAAGTCCCAATGCGCCTGGACCGCATACTGGTCAGCTTACAGCGAGCCAAAGTCCCCTAAGACTCACAAGGTGGTTCGCCCCCCGGACCCGGGCAAATGTCACGCTGCGCATGCGGATGCCCCGTTTCTTCGCGTCCTCCAGCTCCTTCTTGAAATACATCACCGCGCCCGGAGACTCCCAGATCGACATATCGCCCCAAACCACCCGCACCTCGACGTGCTCCCACATCTTCCCATCCTCCCTCTTCTCCGCCGGAAGCCGTAGCATCCGCTCCCTCAGCTTGGGATACACGTTCGCCATGAGCCCAGCCTGCAGGATCGTGTGGTCCGCGCCCCCCGGGCTCCCAGCCGGGGCGTGCGTCACATCACCCACCGTCTCCACGCTCATCGTCGTCAACGTCGGTCGCGGCACGGGTAGGTGCTGGCGGCGCTCCAGGGTGTCGATATCCGAGAAGTCGGGGCCGTGGAGAAAGTACCCGCTAATCCAGTTCATCAGCAGCTCCTGCTGCTCTTCGATCACCACCGCCGGGTCCGCGAACGGGTTGTACGCGTCCCGCGGAGGCGGGTAGCCCGCGAGCGCGACGAGCGGTTCTGCCGCGCCCGTCGGCCGTCAGCACCACGCTCTCGAAGCACGCAAGAACGTCGACGCTCACCGTACAGCACCACCCGGCGCACGTAGTCGCCCAAGTCGATCTCCGACCCAGCCTCCGCGTCGAACGCCGCGACGTCCGCGAGCATCGCGTGCATCCACGTCGTCCCGAACGACCACCCGAGCACGACGATCCCGCCGCGGTTCCGCCCGCGGTCCGCCTTCGGCAGGCCCCCCTGCGCGAGCTCGAGCAGGAGCGCATGCAGCTCCCGCCCGCGCTCGCGGTAGAACGCCGCGACGCGCGCGCGGAACGCCGCGACCTCCGCCAAGGGTGCGCCAGGCCCGGGCGGGTGTTCGAGCGGTGCGCGCTCCGCGGGGGTGTAGGGGCGCGCGCCGGGGTAGCCGCGACGGTTGACGCAGAGGATGCGGGCATTGTGCGTTCGGGCGAGGGGAAGGAGGGGCCTGAAGATCTCTGTGGGTAGCGTGGACGGACAGGTGAGTGAAGTTGGCGCAGAGGTAACGAGGACGAAGACTGACCGCTGTGCCAGATGTATCCGTGAAGGAGGACAAGCGTGGTGTAGTCGTTGCTCCCTGCGGGCGCACCGGTGTCGTGCAGGATGTGGAGGCCGGTCGCGCTGCTCATGGTGTCCATCGCCGTGAGGAGGAAGAGGTGGAGAAGAGGTGGGCACGCGTGTCCCCTTAAAGGTCTACGCTGACGCCACAAACCCGTTGTGCTTACGCCTTCTCCCGTTTCGGAGAAGTTCTAGCTCAGTCTGGCGTGAAAAAATCACAGAAGACATCAAATACAGGACCTTCGTTCGAAACCTGGGACCTCGGCTACTTGGCGCTTTTACCTTATGAGAGTGATGGCCGCCGTGAGTGTGGATCCACTTCTTCTCCGCCTCGTAAGCAACGGCGACAGGTGCTCAATTTTCGTTCCATTGGGACTGATAGCTCACTTGCCATGAGGATGGGCGGTGATATTTCGCACGGCTCGAGCAGGTCTATGCACACCCAATTTGCTTCGGAGTCGGATATGAGCACGTAATTGTTGATACACCGTGGGATGTAGATGGTAAGCAAGAGATGAGATACAACGAGGGTAGGCATTTCCTCCAGAAGCATGATGGCACAAAAGAGACATAGTGGCTTCATGGCCGACTCGCCCGAAAGCGAGAAGCACGATGTAAGTCCTGTGTGGAAATTACGGTCCAAGTACTTGACCTGACCAATGCGCGCGGCATCTTCACATGGTCGCAGTCATCTCGCGGCGGGCCAAGAAGCTGCGCGCCCCACCGGTGATTATCTGGCGCGTCTGCTCCGCTGCCGCGCGTTACAGTGCGCGCTCCGACGCGGCGGTGAGTGCGGAACGGCCCTGTCTGTTCTTCGGGGCCGCGGAGGCCTCGGTTTGAACCAGTCTTTGTGTCTGGGGCTGGCCTTGGGACGCGACAGGGGTGGGTGGTGGTGCCAGGTTTGGAGCGCCGAAGGTTGACTGGGGCTTAGTGTTACTAGCGGTATTGGTGCGGTAGGATGGACCCGATGGTTGGGCTTCAGGGTGGTGGTAGGGAGACGAGACGCAAGGCACGTCGGACCTGTTGAGAGCAAAGATGGAGGAGGTAGGTTGCAGTGGGTCGTGTCCCTCCGCAGTTTCGGACGGCCTCCTAGAGCCTGTGGGCGTCACCTTCGTCTCAGAGTGGCGTGAGGAGGAGGCCGCTGCGCCAGGACGCCCGTCATTGCTCGCTGTCTTCTTGATTGCCTTGGGTGGCGTAGGGTCGTCTAGGGCACAGAACATGTCGTACGCTGCTCGAAGCTCGGCGTCGCTGTACATCCGGATGAGTGGCGATCGCGAGCGAGGCGCACGGTACTCACAAATCATAGACCTCCTGCTCCCCAGCGTTCCTGGCACGAACCTGCTCCATATGAACGTCGATCGCTGCAATACTCAAAGCGGCACACGTGAGCCTATCCACTCCATCATCAGCCACCTTCACAAACAACGAGTGTCAGAGACGTGTGCTCACAAGTGATTGCTTCCAGGCGCGATAGGCTTCACTCCGTACTGGCAGGAGTGGTAGAAGTTCATGGACAGGACGGTCGACACAGTTTCGCACACTGGCTGCGGGCTTTATATGCGCGGGACGCTGTCAAGGAAGCGTCACCGTTGTGGCATAGCGTCACCAGGCGGATGCGTCGTGTTGCGGTGCCACTGCCGCAGAGTGGCTCATTGTCGTTGCAGGCCACCATGCATACAAGGTCCGAGTGGCTCATCGTCGAGGGAATAAGAACCGGGATGCCGGTGCGAAGAAGCCGCACTGGCCAGTATCCAGAGAAACGCGATTCAGAGCTACTATGTCATGGTGATCATCTCTGAGTGACTTGAGCGAAAAGGTCATCTGGATGCACTTGCCTAAACTGGTGCAGGACAACTCAGCGATTTCCCTGCTTCAGGATAAATGTATGGATAAACATCGGGCTATCCGGATAGCAAAGACGGAGTCGGATACTTATCCAGAAATTAGACCTTTGCCCACTGCGACCACTCAGAGTGGGGACGTACCTGATTTCGCAAAGAGGGAGCGCCGGCAAGCGCCCATGGTGGGCAGTGTCAGACGACCCGGTTAACCCGCTGACTTGAGCCCCAATCATGTTCTTTGGCTGGGGTTCACAAGTAAGAAAAGGGTTTGCATAGATGGTCGCTATTTGACACAGGAGACACGAAGATAATACAAACTTGGATACATACCGGACTAGTCGAACATATGTTTACACACGAGCCTTCATCCCCGCAGAACACGCGGGTCGTCCTTCATGTCGTTGAGGCACCGCACCACCGCCTTCGCCGCCTCCTTCAGCATCCCCCGGTCGCCCTCGTTCACCCGCGGCACCACCTCCGTCGCGAACTTGTCCGGGTGCCACCGCTTGATCTCCGCCATGACCCGCGCCCGCTTCGACCGAGCCTTGCCCTGCTCCCGGTCGACCGCGTCCCGCGCAGCGCCGACCACGAACGCGAACACGCGCTCGTACGTGATGTGCATCGGCGCCGGGGGCAGATGGGCCGGGAAGAAGACCGGGAACGGGAAGTGCGCGTACGCGATCCCGCCCTCCACCGCGCGCAGCGCGCCCCAGCACTCCTCGTACCGCCGCACGAGGCACACCGCGGCGTCGCCCACCGCGCACGCGTCGATGAGCGCGCCGTTTGTGCGCACGACTTGGTCGTGCTCGAGCTGGAGGCGTTCCATCTCCGAGTCGGCCTGGGCGTGGGCACGCGCGGCTGCCGCCTCGTCACGAGCGCGACGCGCTCGGGCCTCCTCTTCCGCGCGACGACGAGCCGCGGCTTCTTGAGCACGGCGACGTGCAGCAGCCTCTTCTGCGCGACGGCACGCCTCGGCCTGTGCGCGGGCAGCGGCCGCGACCGCTTCGCGCTGGCGCCTTGCCTCCTCCGCAGCCTCGCGAAGCCTTCGCTCTTCCTTCAAACGCGCACGCTCGCGCTCTTCCTCGCGCACCCTCTCCTCCTCCTCGCGCCTCTTCTGCTCTGCCGCCTCCTCCGCTAGCCGCGTTTCGCGCTCCTCCTCCTCCTCCCTCCGCCTCTCGCGCTCCTCCTCCTCATTTCGCTTCACGCGTTCCTCCCGCGCCGCCCGGCGCGCAGGCGCAAGCCGCCCCGCGGCCTCGACGCGCGCGGCCTGCCAGTGGTACAGCTCGAGCACGTAGCGCTCCGCGTCGAGCGCGCGCACCGCGCGCAGGAGCTGCCGCATGTCCCGCCGCCGCTGCACGTCCTCGCGGCCGCGCGGGGGCCGGCGCGAGCGCCAGTCGATCGCCTCGAGGGCGGCGGCGAGACGGCGCCGGTGGGCGACCTGCGTCGCGGAGAGGTGCGGGGGGTCTTGGTCGATCGAGGGCGAGGGCGGGGACTCGGGTGGTTGGGTGTCGGAAGGCGAACCGGATGGCGATGGCGCGGCGGGGCCGCGGCGGGTGGTGCGAGCGGGGTAGTGGCCGGGCATCCGGGCGCGGCGCCTGGAGAAGGGGAAGGGGAGGCGCCATTCTATGCTGGAGATGGTGCGGGTGAGTGAGTGCAGAGTTTCCATGGTGGTCTGCGCGCGGTGTCAGGTTAGCTCAGGGCGGACGGGGAAGCGGCGAGAGGTGGGCGAGAACTCACGAGAGGTGCGATGAAAAGATTACCTGGTTTCGTGTTGATGATGTTGGGTCTTGAGGGCGAGCAGCGCAGACCTGTCCGGCGCGGGGAGCGCGGGCGCAGATGTGGGGGTCTGCAAAGTCTGGCGGATGGAGGGCACCCGTTCGGCAAGGGTTCATATAGCGGCCTAACCGGGCAAGCGACGGTTTGCCACTGAACGCGCCATTGTGCGGTTGTGGCATTTGGCGTGGTTGCTTCCAACCAGGGCGTTCCAGCTCTTTGTAAAATGCCTTTGTTGCGGGCCAAGACATCGGATATCTTCTGGTATTCCGCGGCTTTCTGCAAGTCTGAGAACGTGATCTGGCAGGTTCACGCTGAAAATCGGAACACGGCGACAGTTTCGAACATGAGGTCGACATCTTGGGGAGTGGGAAGTCTGGCGGTGCGCTAGTAAGTGAGGCATTAAGTCCTGAGGCCTGATCCAGATATGAATCCATGCTCACCCCGTCGAATTGTGTTTCTGCGTTGCTCCTCGTCATATCTGGTTGAAGTGAAGTTACGCGTCCGTCTCATGGGAGTTCGCGTGAGACCTTTCCCACAGTCACGTGCCGCCACCCATGGGCATGAGCCACGCTCAACTTCTATCGGAACATGAGCAAGAGCAAGTCTCGTGAGGAACAAACACTTATGGAGCTCATATCGATTGCCAAAGGTTCGCTGCTCCTTATTCCACCGCTCTGGCACTTATTCCTCACATTATGATCTCGTGCTCCCTCAGGCTCGCGGCTAGCTCAGGGCGGCGTCTTGCCAGCGTTCATGGTCTCGGATCCCTACCTTTGAGGAGTCTCCCTGCAAGCTTTAGTCCCGGCGGTAAGTAACTGCACGCCCGTGACGGTGGCGGCGGCGGTGGCGGACATTCCGCAGTCAGGTGCGTGCCGACCACTCACACTGAGCGCCTCCGATTTAGCTCGAACATTAGTCACCCTGTCGTCCAGTACATCGACCTTTGCGCATCCTCTGTACACACAGTGAGACTTACACTCAGCTGCTGTGCCGCCCCCCGTCGGGTGGTCGTTCCCCATGTACGGCTGCCGTGGCACAGCAGGTGTGCTGTGCCGCAAAGGTTGAAACCGCGCGCGCGAGCCTTCGCGCTCGCAGATCCCGTCCTGAGCCCATATTCTGACCACCCCCATAGCAAACACGATTCCGCGCGCGATTTTAGTCCCGGGTTCGATTCTGTCTGTGAATGTATCATCCTCAGATATGCAGCTGAATAATCAGATAACAAGTTATGTGTGCCCAGGGCTTCGATCCATTCCGGGAGTACGTCCAGCTTCCGCTCAGTATATACACCTTCCCATATGCCTCGCCTTACCGACCGCACTCGCCGTGCACGCACTCTCATCAAGGACGCCGTGAAGTTCTACAAAGCCCGCCAACGACGTCGGCAAGATCGGCCCCCCATCACAATCCCTCGCTCTCTCAGCCTCTCCTCACTCTCCTCCCTATCGTCCCTGTCGTCCTTGTCAAGCTCCGACACCGGTTCTTCAGATGGGCCTGCTGCAGAAGATCACGGTGACGGATTTGAAGTCCCCGCCCCAGTCCTCGACCTCCACAACGATCTAGATCTCCAACTTGATCTCCTCGACTTTGATCTCAACAACGACTACATTTCCGACATCGTCAGTCATACAAGCTCCCGATCCGGCTCGGAGACTGGGTCGAATGAAGGAGAGGGGTTAGAAGACGTTGTGTTAGACGGTGAAGTACTGTCCAATCCTCGTCGACATTGGAATTTCGGCCGGCTTGTGCGTCAGGCTCTCCGGAGCATGTACTCTACACGCTACGAAGCCCCCAGAGAACTTATTCCTCGTGGGCCGAGTTATATGCTTCATCTGCTTCATGTCCTCAAACACGAGCGCCCCGATAAGTTTCGCGAGTCCTTGCGAATCAACCCCTCTACTTTCGACCGTCTGGTCACTCGTATTCAAGATGATCCCATCTTCCAAAACGAATCTCACCATTCCCAAATGCCTGTCGACAAGCAGATCGCCATCGCTCTCTATCGCTTCGGTCATTACGGAAATGCAGCTGGTCTTCAGGCGATTGCGAACTGGGCCGGATGTGGGAAGGGTACAGTCGATATCATCACACGGCGAGTCATGTCTGCCATCCTTCGGCCAAGCTTTCGCCTTCAAGCCATCCGCTATCCGACTGAAGAGGAGAGAGAAGAGGCGAAGACCTGGGTCGAGAAGCGTTCCTGCAAGGCTTGGCGGGATGGGTGGTGTCTTGTCGACGGCACTCTGATCCCCCTTGACGAGCGCCCGTATTGGTTCGGCGAGTCGTACTTCGACCGCAAACAGAACTACTCCCTGAACGTTCAGGTAAGCAGGCTCTTAATCTACACGATCATTGATTCTCATATATACTTTTCTAGGTTATATCTCTTCCCAACCTGCGTATCATCGACGTCGGCTATGGCTATACCGGGAGCACCCACGACGCATCTGCTTGGCGCAAGACTCACCTCTATCAAAACCATGACACAGTGCTCAACAAGGGAGAGTGGGTCTGGGCTGATTCGGCATACCCAGTACGTCTTCCCGCTCTCCAGGCTAGTACTGAATATGTGGCTGATATTACATCGACATTGCACTGACGCTAGATCGACAACTGGGTTGTCGCTCCTTACAAGATGCCAGAACGGGAGTTCCGGGAGAACGAAGTATTCAACAATCACCTCTCTATGGTTCGAATTCGGTCGGAGCATGCAATTGGCTTTCTCAAGGGTCGGTTCTCATCGCTCCGGGGCCTTCGAGTACGCATCACAGATGCGAGCAGCCACAAGTTTGCCACGTACTGGATACTTGCGTGCGTGGTACTTCACTCGTTTGCTATGCTGCATGAGGCGGAAGAGCGGTGCATGAACGGAGTGGATGCAGATGCAGTGGGGGATGACCCATTTATCGGGGAAGGGCTGGAGGGTGATGACTTGACGGACATTATTGGGGCTCCTCTGGGGGCAGGTGTCGGTCAATCTCAGAACCGGACAACTGGCCCGGCGAGAAGGCTGCAGATTGGGAAGGCATGGCGGGAGCACTTAAAGCGTGGACTGCAGCGCAGTCTCGAGCAACGAGCTCAGCGCCGTGGAGGGTGAGAACTGCAAGTAGGTCCAAATAATCATGATATTATTATATGGCTGTCATCTACCGTAGCGAAGCATGATGTCCGTCGGGCTGAGCAGCACCGTAAGTTTTTGTATGTGCACATCTGCAGAAGGGGAGGGGACGGGCCGACGGCAAGGGAAGCCAGGGTACTACATGTTGTATAACACCAGAAGGCACACGAACGGGTTTGCACGAGGGAAGAACAAGGATACGAGATGCTAAGGTATGGCTCGTTCAGAGCGGGATGATGGAGTGGACACACCTGCACTGCACGCCAATCGGCGGACAACTACTTCAACTCCACGCTGAGCCACTCCGGGCGGGTCTACGTCGCGAGCACATGCCGCGCGCAGTGCGCACTGCAGCGTGTTGTGAAGGACTCAACGTCACGCAGCTCGTGGGTGCGCACGTTGAACGCCGTGAGGTTGTGCTTGGCGCACTGTCAACAGTTCTATCAGCTCTCCTGCATGCAACCATAGTGAACGGGCAAACACACCCATGGCATAGCGACGGTGTGGTCGAGCCCCATCTCCACTCGCCTGTCTGACAGGCTGCGCGCGCTCCCTGTGTGCTGGACGACGTACGCGTCCGGGAAGGAGTGGGGCCAGTACGCGTTCGGCGCGCTCTCGTCTATCACGTTGCTCAGCTCCCAGAGCAGGAGAGCGTGGGTCGCGACTGAGAACGGCGGGTCTCAAGCCGTGCATCGACCACTTACGAGTGCATGGTGAGGGCGCGCCCGCCAATGTTCAGGCCCTACACCGTCCGGGCATGCGCGTGAGCGCCGAAAGGGGACGCAGAAGGCGAGAAAACTCACGAGATGCCCAGGGCCCAGACAGACCGCCAGGTGAGAACTTGGGGCCACCGAGGGGCACGCCGCGAGCCCAGGAATCAAAGCATGCCATCCACTAGTCCTCCTCCTCCTCCTGCCATACGCTCAGGCTCATCCGCCAGTCGCTCCACACCCGCTGGTCCTCCTCCCGGTCCTGCGCGCGATCCGGGAGCGCTGTGCGCCAGTTCAAGTCGCCGTGCGCGGGTGGGCGCGTGGCGCGCACGGCGCAGTACTCTTCAAAGTCGGCCATCGTCGCGCGCGTAACTTGGATCTTCTTTGCCTCAGTGCAGTTGACGGGGAGGGTGCCGGGGGACAGGAGCTCCTGGAGGAGCTTGGTGGCGAGGGCTCAGATAGCGGGGGGGCAGAGGCGGAAACGGGGAGGAAGGGAGGAGACGCGAGTCCGAGTCGCGACGCTGTGTGCACGAGTGCCGACTCTGGCTGTCACACGTGACTGACCCGCGGTTTCAAGCGCCGTACCCGAGCTTACCCGGACCCGTGAGCTCACGGGTCCGGGTTTCGCAGGTCCGGGTCCGGGTCGACTCAAAATTAATCACTAGCCGTGGAACGGGAGGCAGAGGGAGAGCGGTTGGTGACAACAACACAGAGAAGAGGTGTTGGGCGTGAGGGTGCCGCCAAGCTCCCAGGCGTGTTGTCGTGACAAGGTTGTGACAGACGTAACAGAGCTCGCGCGCGCACTCTGAGCGCACACACACATTTCATTCACGACTATCTAGCTCCCAATGTGCTCTACTCTGTTCACCCCTGAATCTCCAAGTCGCCCATATCACCACCAACCGTCCCGCTGGGCCCAGGCTCTACATAGCCTGACTGCAACATGCTCCCAGCTCCCACCTGAAGAGGATCTGCCGAAAAGTTGTTGGACATGAAAGGATTGTTCGTCGGGAACATTCCTGCAGCTGTAAAGTCGTTCACCATGGGTGTGTTGTTGCTGACATGAGAAGAGTTGGCTTGGATCTGGGCAATGGTGATCTGGGTGCGTGCTTGAAGATGCATCGCCCAGAGTTGAAAGTTGTTCTTCTTCTCAAGAATCTTGAGCTCGCCTTTGATGCGTGCCTTCTCAGTCTCAAAACGAAGCTTCTCGACTGCGAGGTTGAGTTCTCCCTGGTGAGTCTTCTCCTCTGCGGTGGCCAGATTGTCGAATTCGATAGCTCCCTTGAAATTCTTCCCCTTGCTCGCGGTGGGAGTCTTCGGAGCGGGAGACGATACGGGACGATGCACCGGAGTTTTATTCGTGATCTTGGCCTTCTTCGTCTCAGTCTGAGACTCTTCGGAAGCCTTGCGCTTTGTTGTCTGGACATTTGTGCCCGCTTTGGCCACCGGGTCTGGTGTGTTGCCGTCGTCTTCACCGTCAGAGTTCTCCCAGCCGGAGATTGGTTCGCCGTCATCTTCGTTGTCATCGTCTGGGTCACTCGCACTGTCTTGATCACCATTGTGAGCTCTGGCCTGCGCGAGGATGGCACCTGTGTCGATGGCTGAAGAGCTGTTGTTGCAGTGCAGTGCCATAATATATTCGCACGATACGCTTATTTGCGGCACAGGAATATGCGAATATTCCGCTTATTTGCACTCAATTGAGCCTAGCATCTGTTCTCGATATACCTGCTCATATGAGCTTATGGTGGTAGACAGTGCTCTCGCTCATATGAGGCCCCCCCAAAAACTGTTCCAGCTCCTTCATAATATCAGTTCAATTGAGGTAGGTGGTTTCAGGAGTGTTTGGCTCATGTGACAGCCATCATTTCACAAGAGTCATGCTCACATGAGGTCATCCATGTGCATGAAAGACAGGCTTGTATGAGCAACAGTCTGTTCACAAGGCACTCGCTCATGTGAGGGCAGTCAGTTTAGGAAAGTCCTGCTCATATTAGGGAAATCTTGCTTAGTTAACAGGACCGCTCAACTGAAAGGGGACCGTTCATGAGAGAATCACTCATTTGAGGTGGATGAGTACTAGAGAAAATCGCTCCCATGAACTGTGACTGGTTTGGGAAATATTCGCTCATATGAGTGGCCCTTGTTCATAAGAGATGGGCTCATGCGAGCGTTTTTGTGAGCGAAACATACGTTTAAATGAGTGGCGAAAATTTTGGCAGTCATCGAGAATTGCGCTTGTTGGAGTTTCTGTCAGTTTGCGAGAAATGCGCTCACACGAACCCACCAGTGTGTGAGAGATGCGCTCATATGAGCAGTGCTCCGTTTTCCAGAACTCCGCTCATATGAATGGGCTACCAGTTCGCCAGACATGCGCTCACATGAGCCTGCCGGTATCCAAGTGATACGCTCATGTGAGCAGCACTTGGTTTTCAAAAGATTCGCTCATGCGAGGATCATTCAGTTTGGAAGAAATGCGCTCATACGAGAGACACTCGGTTTTCAAGAGATTCGCTCACACGAGGGAGATTCAGTTTTCAGGAAATTCGCTTACATGAACCCACCAAGCGTTTTTCAAGAGGTTCTTTCTTGAAAGCAGTTTTCAAGAAATGTGCCCCATGAGCTGATTAGTCAGCTGATCAGCCAAACAGGCAGTCAGTAGTGCCAATTCACTCCTGCTCTGATCACTAAAGATTTAGCTCTTTACAAAACCAGCTCTGCTCAGGAGAGTCCAGACAATGTGCCCATAAAAAACTGGAAAATAAAAATCGGTTTTGGGGCTGCTAGAAACAGAAACCTCATTTTCTGAAGAACTCGGAAAGAAAATCTATTTTTGGGGTCTCAAAATATTTTCAGAGAACTAGAAAAGAAATCTTCTTCTGGGTCCCTTAAAAACGTCTCACAAAAACAATTTAAAGCTGATCGGTCATCTTTGGCACAAATCAAATTGGGCGGTTTGAATGCCACAGAACAGTGACTCTGGGCTAGTGACATCAAATTTTTCAGGCTTCACTAGGCAGAGGGTGGCAAGCAAGCTGAGGCAAGAAAAACAAATACCGGCAGGGGCAAGGGGAGGCTCATGTGCTACATAGGTGCACTAGTAAGTAATACCACGTCCCGCGACAACGCGGAGGCAGACGTAGAGGCGGGTGATGTGGAGCAGGGTAGAGGACGAGGCGGAGGGTCGGGACAACGGGGAGGAGGAGGGCGACGTGGGCGATGTGAACGCGGGAGACGCGGAGGCGGGCGACGCAAAGGCAAGCGAGGCGGAGGTGAGGGGCGCGAACGCGGAGGAGGGCGACGCGGAGGTAGGCGGCTCGAAGGAGACGGCAGGCGCGGGCGAGGAGGAAGGCGGTATGGGCGGGCGGCGCAAGGCAGCGCGGGCGGAGGGCAGTACGAAGGAGGGCCGCATGAAGGGCCACGCGAAGTCAGCCGAGGCTGAGGCAGGCGACATGAGCGGGCGGTGCGACGGAGGCGGCGGGCGTGGGCAGAGCAGGGCGAGAGGGAAGAGCGGGCGACACAGGCGGAGAGCAGCGCGGGGGCGGAGGAGGGTGACGCGGAGGAGCGCGGGACTGAGGAGCGCGGTGCTAACGAGGACGGTGACGCGGGCGGAGGAGCGCGGCGCAGAGGAGGGTGCCGCGGAGGGTGCAGGAGAGGAGGGCGGCACGAAGGAGGCAGCGGGCGTGGGCGGAGGAAGGCGAGGAGGGAAGAGGAGGACGACGCAGAGGCGGGCGACGTAGAAGTGGGTGGTGCAGGTGGACAACATGGGCGGAGGAGGGCAGCGCGGAGGAAGGGGGCGACGTGAAGGACCGGGAGGAGGAGGGCGTCCGGGCGGACGTCGTTGGCCTGTTGTGGTTGTCGACGGGGCGACAGGAAGTATGTGTAGGTGGGCGTCGGGAACGCAGGAACGCGGAGGAGAGGACTCACCAAAGCAAAGGCCGCGGCACGTCGCCGCGACCCCCATATCCTCATCTCCATACTGAGGACGTCCGTGTCGCGAGTAGGTTGTGATACGAGCAGGGCCTCCGGCAGGGTCGTGGGAAGGATCTTGGATTAGTCAGCGCGGTCGCCTTCCAGCGCACCGCGCATTTCTCATCCCTCAGTCGTTCGCATCACGAGAAGACTGAGGGGTGAGTGTTCCCCTATTCATCGTCTCTTTACACCTTGACTTACATGTACATTAGTCTTACGCGCTACCGCGCTCTCAGGTATTAATTCAGTCGTTCGCATCACGAGAAGACTGAGGGTCTTACGCGCTACCGCGCTCTCAGTTCGCGATAGGTTATGAGCCCTGCGCGCTAGAAGAACACCCTCAAGCTTCTTTTCGCTTTCGGACAACTCACACACCAAGCCGACCTAGTCCGCCGTGACATCATCGTCAACCGCCGAGGACGCCGTCGCAACGATGCCGCCAAACTCATCCCCCTCCGATATCACTCTCATCAGCTCTCGCGACTGGATCCAATGGCGCTCACAGACACGGTCAAAGCTGATGGAGCAAGCCCTCATCGGGACAATTAAGAATGCGGAAGCCCCAACTATCGTTGTTACTCCCTCAACCGGGGGAAGCGCAAGCACAGGTGGCTCCGGGGGATCCGCTTCCACCACCGGAGGATCTACCTCAACGGCGCTGTCACACAAGGACACCGAGGCAGGAAGGGATGAGCGAGCACGAGGGATCATCTTGCGGTACCTCAGTGAGTCTCTCAAGTCCGAGTACGAGTCCGAACCCAAGGCCGAAGATCTGTGGAGGAAACTCTGGCTCCGCTTCTCCGGGGCAAACAACGTCGATGCTGCCTTCCTCGCCTACATGGCCGCCAACCACCGCTTCATTCGGGCCGACGACAAGGGCGACATCTCACTCGAGAAGATGGAGAAACATGTGGAAGCCATCTCGACTTCGCTCCGCACCCTCACCACGCTTGGATACCCCATGCCGGCCGACTTCCATCCCCTCATCTTGCTCGGGTCCATCCCCACCACTGGCAAGTGGTCAATCGCAAGCACCACACTCCGTTCCACTGCCACGACAACCTCACCACTCACCTTCGAGCGTGTCCGGGACCGGCTTCTGGCTGAAGCTACAACACCTACCGCAACGACCGATAACTCGGACACCGAAGTCGCCAACAATGCGCAGACGTCACAACAGTACAAGTGCATCGTCCATGGTGAGAACAAGTCCCACAACACCGAGCAGTGCAAGTCCGTCCTCGGGCTACGGAGGGATGGAGGCGGAGGGCGGTCGAAGGGCAAGAGGAGTGGAAAGGGAAAGGAATCGAAGAACCGGGCGAACAAAGCAGAGGAGGAGGACATGACAGATGAGTCGTCAGATCCAGACACACCTGTACGAGCAAACATCGCCACTATCTCGAAGAAATCCTACCGCTCCGTTCGCGCGTATCTCTCGTCCGAGCATGCCCATCACGCACACGTCCATGGCAATGTTCCGCGAATCCTAGATTCTGGAGCGTCGAAGACTATGACCCCCGAGAGAAATCGCTTCGTCACATCGACTTACCGGCTCCTCGAACCCCCGAAACGAATTCGTCTGGGCGATGATTCGTTCGTGGACGCCATCGGCATCGGTACCATGCGCATTCCCTGCAAAACACGCGACGGATTAATGGATACTACCATCCGGAACACTCTGCATGTCCCCGACTTCAAAGTCACACTCGTTTCAGTGAGCCAACTCGCCAAACGTGGGTTCAAGACGACGTTTGAAGGATCAAACTCAGTGGTTCGAGACGAACACGGTCTCGTCATCCTTGAGGCCAGCTTGTACAGTGGCCTGTACCACTTACACTCCAAATCACTCCCGACTTCCCTCTCGGCTCTACACGCCATCGACATCAACCACCTCCACGAAATCACCGGACACACCAACATCCAGTACCTACAAGACATGGTACGTCGAGGGCAGATTGCCGGCGTGACCAGCCTCGTCGGTGTGCCAAACTTCTGCGAGGCATGCACACTCGGGAAGATGCGCAAGCTACCCTTCAAGCGGAGCAAGACCATACCACGTGGCCCGCTCGACATCCTCTCCTGCGACGTTGGGGGCCCCGTCTCCCCTGAAGGTCCTGGTGGTCTTCGCTACTGGATAGTGGTTGTAGACCATTGGTCACACCATGTCTGGGTTCTCTTCGCACGAAAGAAGTCGGAAACCATGAGCAAGCTGCGCGAGTGGAGACGAGAGACCGAGGCACACTTCCGAAACCGCGTCACCCACTGGGAGTTCTGTGAAGGGTGGACCAGGTTCTTCAGAACCGACAACGGTGGCGAGTTTACATCCGAAGAAATCGAGCGAGAATTTAGGACATCGGGCGTCATCCATGAAACCACGGCTCCTCACACACCTGAGCAAAACGGCGTTGCCGAGCGGATGAACCAAACACTTGTAACGAGAGCCACCACCATGTTGATCGCGTCTCACCTCCCACGCAAGTACTGGCCTCAAGCTATGGCGACCGCAGCTTACACACTAAATCGTGCGGCCACAATCAGTCAACGAGGACAATCACCATATGAACGCTTGTACGAACGCCCGGTCAATGTGCAAGACATGCACCCATTCGGGTGCCCGGCCTACCCACTTATCGAGAAAGGGGCTCGAAAGGGCAAGTTCTCCGACAAAGCTCGACGCTGCGTGTTCGTTGGTTACACGAAGAATAGTCGTGCCTACAACTTAATGGATGTCGACACCGGCCACATGTTTGTCTCGCGTCACGTTCGTTTCAACGATACATCCAAGGCAGACACTATGCGAGGGGCAGCAAACCCTGAAAATCCGAATTCCAACGATCACGAGCCACTGGCTCAGAGCCTACGCCAGCGCAACATCTCCTACTTTGAGACACAAAATGGAGATACCTACGCTCCTTCCGTGGAGGGCGCGGGAAGCGGGCTGACGGTCGAGACGAGAGAACCCATTCCGAGTTCAGTGGGGGAGTCCGAATCAGGGTCCGAACCGGGAGACGCACATGGGTCAGTGGGGGTTGCTACCAATCCCGAAACAACGGCGCATTCTCCCTCTGCATCACGAATTCCACGTCCAACCGCTGTGGCCACTCCTCCGAGAGTCGTCTTCATCTCAAACATCAATCCTGCTCGAATCGCAGGCGGGAAGCGCACCCCAGCGCCACGGTCTCCGTCCAGAACTGCTCCGGTTCAACCGACTCGACGCAGCTCCCGAGAGAGCAAACCGGTTGAGCCAAAGGGTGCAGCATACGGGCGCGCAGCTAGCGCCCCACAACAACAGTCAAGGACTGAACGCGAGGCCGAACGCGCCCAACGAGCGGATCGCAGACGCCAACTGGAGGACAACACACGGCGGCGTCGTGAGGAGCGTACCACGAGACTCGAGGAAGTCTACGAGCGCACTCTCGAGTCCGAGATTGCGGAGCTTGAGAAGGCCGAACTTGACAACTCCCTAGCTGAGGCAAGCGAGGATAGCCGACCACTGGAAAAAGACTCCACCGAAGCAGACTACCACGCGTTCTCAGCCGCAGCCTTAGAACTCCTGACTGAAGGGGAGCTAGACGAGCTCTTCGCATTCATGGCAACCTCTGGCAGTACCACAGGAAACGCAAACACCGACCCGACCACTTGGAGTGAGTGCTTGAACTCTCCGGACCATGACAAGTGGATTGCTGCGCTACATGAGGAACTCGCCAGCCTGGAGAGCAATGACACATACGAGGTCGTCAAAATCCCGGCTGGTGTGCGACCAATCACCTCGAAAATTGTGCCCCGAGTCAAGCGCGATGCTCTGGGCGTAATAGAGCGCCTCAAGGTTCGCGTCGTAGCTCGCGGATTCACGCAACGAGAAGGTGTCGATTACAAAGAAGTCTTTGCCCCGGTCGCAAATCTCGAATCAGTCAGAATCATCGCATCTCTCGCAGCCAAGTATAACCTCGAACTCGATCAAATGGACGTCTCAACTGCCTACCTCAATGGAGAACTCGACGAAGAGCTCTATCTGTCCCCTCCGGACTACGTCCAGCTGCCACCCGGCCATTGTTGGCGCCTCCGTAAGTCCATCTACGGACTCAAACAAGCTGGTCGGACATGGAACCGCACGCTCGACAAGAAGCTGCGCGAACTCGGGTTCGAGCGGCTCAATTCCGAAACGTGCCTCTACGTTCTTAAAGAAGGGAAGCATCTGTGCTTCCTAGTGGTGTACGTGGACGACCTCCTCCTTGCCGGCTCTTCGCGCGAGTTCCTGGATCGGGTCAAGAGCAAACTCCATTCCGCTTACAAGATGCGTGACCTCGGACCCGCAAGATTCCTTCTCGGGATTGAGATCGTTCGCGACCGGCGCAAGAGGACCATTGCACTTTCGCAGCGTGCCTATATTGACACAGTCCTCAAACGCTACGGCATGGAAGACTGCAAGCCGGTTTTCACCCCGATGGCAAGCAACCTCCACATTTCCGCAGACGATCCCTCCGGTGAAAATGAAGTCGTGACTCACATGGCATTGGCAACCGGTGGGCCAATCGCATCGTACCAGAGCGTTGTCGGCTCTTTAATGTACGCAATGCTCGGCACTCGCCCGGACCTCGCCTACTTCGTGGGCGTTGTTGGCCGATACAGTGCAAACCCAAAGAAATGTCATTGGGAACTCCTCAAGCGCGCTCTCCGGTACCTCAAGGGGACACGTGACTGGAGTATACACTATGACGGCTCCGATGTTAGCATGGATATGACTTTCCATGGTTACTCGGATGCAGACTGGAGTGGCGACCACGACACCTCGAAATCCACCTCTGGCTACGTCTTCATCTCCAACCATGGAGCTATCGGGTGGTCAAGTCGTCGTCAGTCAATGGTAGCTCTGTCATCAACGGAGAGCGAATACATTGGCCTCGCAAACGCCGGTCAGCACCTCGCGTGGCTTCGTTCTTTCTTCGAGGAAATCGGACATCGACAGCAAGGCGCCACAGAGCTACGATGTGACAATCGAGCAGCGATAATCCTGAGTCAAGACTCGCAATTTCGCGCTCGCACCAAGCACATCCAACGAAAGTATCACTACGTTCGTGATGGTCTCGTGGCCAACGGCGAGTGCGTCGTTCTGTGGTACCCGACGGACGACATGGTGGCGGACATCTTTACAAAGGCATTGCCCCACGACAAGCACACCAAGTTCTGCCGTGCTATGGGCCTTCGTCCCGGCTCGAGTGGGGGTGTCGCGAGTAGGTTGTGATACGAGCAGGGCCTCCGGCAGGGTCGTGGGAAGGATCTTGGATTAGTCAGCGCGGTCGCCTTCCAGCGCACCGCGCATTTCTCATCCCTCAGTCGTTCGCATCACGAGAAGACTGAGGGGTGAGTGTTCCCCTATTCATCGTCTCTTTACACCTTGACTTACATGTACATTAGTCTTACGCGCTACCGCGCTCTCAGGTATTAATTCAGTCGTTCGCATCACGAGAAGACTGAGGGTCTTACGCGCTACCGCGCTCTCAGTTCGCGATAGTCCGGATGGACGTCCTCGTGCAGTGTTTGTTGTGGGAGTGGCCGGGAGGGTGAGTGAAGGGCGGGATAGAGGTCGAGGTTGAGGGAGGGAGGGGGACGGAAGATCGGGGTCACCTGGTGACGCCGGGGTCCAATAGCGGGCGACAGTCGACCGTATGGTCGCTATCGTCTGCCTGGGCAGAGCGGGGAAGAGGACGAGGACGAGGACGAGGAGAGGAAGGACGGCGCTTGCCGCCCACCGAGGCGCGTCTCCACGGGCGCGCATCACGGATCGCCAGATCCATCCAGATCACTGCTGCTCGGGTGGGAGGAGATATGGCGGGAGCCGCTCCACTGGGTGGAGCAGGGGGAGCTATAGGTCCAGCGGGCGTGGCGGCAGGAGGTACAGCAGACGGGACGGCAGGCGGTACAGCGGGCGCGACGGCAGGGATCTCCAGGACTTGTTCAGGGGGGCTGCGTGCTCGTCCAGGTGCCTGTCAAGGCAGAGCCTGCCTCAAGAGCCCGCAGCGGAGGCAGAGGAGGAGGAAGCAATATTTATCCTCGCCGGATTGATGCTTTGGCGCGTATCCCACCGCTGAATGCTGTTTTCATATGGTCCGGAGGGGTTGTAAATCCCCTCGCCTTGCGATTCTTGATACTTCGATGCGCCGAAACAGTGCTACCAGCTTCGCTCGAGTTGAGGAGCAGTCCCGAGTCTCTCAAGGAATCCCCAAACGCAGAGGTGCAGATGTTGAGGCACTACGGTGGTTTTGAAGCGACTGATAAAATAATCGCCGTATCGTCACTGGAGGCCTTTCAACAGCCCAGAGGACGCGCATGGGGCACATGTGCAACATATATATAAGCGTTCCGGGGCACAGCGAGGCAGCAAAATGATGGCATATCATACAAAAAAACATATCTAGCAGCCGGATATACTTAGGTTCGTCGTTTTCGACGAGCGGCGTGAGCCCTACTGAAGTCCGATCAGTCTTCGAGCCAGTCCTCATCGTCATCCTCCTGCTGCTCGGCTGGAGTCGCATGCTTCTTGCCAGGCGGTTTTCTCGCATGCTCCTTCGCCGGCGTCATCTGTTTCTCCGCCGCTGGAGTCCCACGTTCCCCCTGGGTGCGGTGCGGCGTCGGCGCGGGCAGCGCAGCGGCAGGTGTCATGGGCAGCGCAGCGGAAGGCGGCGCGGCCGGCGCAGCGGAAGGCGGCGCGGCCAGCGCAGCGGAAGGCGGCGCGGCCAGCGCAGCGGACGGCGGCGCGGCCAGCGCAGCGGACGGCGGCGCGGCCAGCGCAGCGGAAGGCGGCGCAGGCAGCGCAGCAGGTATCGCGGCAGGGATCTCCGAGACCTCTTCGGGGGGCTGCATGCTCGGCGCGGCGCGAGGCAAGGCGGGGACCACGTCCTGCATCTTCACGTCGGGGTCCAAGATCGAGTTTGCTGGCAGGTTGGTGCGCAACGCCTGCGCGATGACGATGCCCGCAGTCTGCGACCAGGTGAGGAATTCCTCCGAATTTGCGAATCCGCTTGGGCGAAAGCGATTGCGCAATACGTGGTGGCGGCCTTCGGCGTGTGCAGCGACCGATTCGAGACGCGATATGGCGGCCTGCATATCACTACGACGCTCGTTGAAGTTCGTCGCGGCGCTGAGATAGGCCATGTACAAGTCTCCGTCGTTCGAAAGGTCAACTTGCGCGGGCGTTCCGGCCGCCGAACGAGTGGCGGAGGACGCAAATGAGGATATGGGGGGGCCGAACAGCGACGTCGACGCTTCGAACGGCGGCTGGAAAAGCGCATAGGACGTCGACGAGGCCTGCGAGGAGGCCGGCGGCCCGAAAGCAATCGACGTCGACCGAGTGCTTGCAGACTTCTTCACGCGCGCCGGAACGTCCACGAAGGGCACTACTCCAGTCTTGAACCGCTTCGAGGGCTTCGACGTCGAGGGTGGGGAAATGGGGGCGGTGCGCTTGGACGCTGCCTGCGTGGTGGCCCGCGTGGTACGACGAGTCGAAGTCGACGGCTCGGGCTGTTCGTTGTCCGACAATTCAATCACTTGCTGCCCGCGTTTCGGCCCAGCAGCTGCCTTCGACTTCCCTGCGGGCTTCGGCTTTTGCTTCCGGGGGGACGTCTTCGGCTTGGGTTGTGGACGAGACGGGCGGAGCGCACGGCTCTCTTCGTTCTCCGGACGAAGATTGCGCACGTATTCGCGGCGTTCGCCGCAGATCGTCTTGAATTCGGCGGCCGTAACGCCAATCCGCGCTTTCGGGGGCTCAAGAAACAGGTGCCGCCAAGCGATTCGGCGACTGTCGGCGCGGTGGTAATACCATCTGAGTTGTGTGACCTTTTCGGGGACCTCGACGGGGTCGGACGTCGTCAGCGCGTAGTCTTCTTTGGTGATTGTGTGGAGGAGGAAGTCGAGATACCCTTCGGTGACCGCGCGTTGTGCGCCGACCAGAATTTTGAGTGGATAAAAGCACCGGCCGTCGAAAAACGCTACGACACCGAGACGTTTCACTGGCCGCTGAACGTTAGGATGCGGCTGTCGCAGGATCGGCGAATGCGACGTACCAAGCACCCATCCATCCCCACGGATTCCGAGCAACGAGCAGCGGATCTTCTCATGCTTGCACGGTCCGCACGGCTGTACTCCAGTGTAGCACGAGTAAGGTCCATCCGGCGTCTTCATGAGACAGTTGTCACACTACCAAACAGATCATACTGAATACATCTTGGAGGTGCGCCGGAGATAAGGAAAGGACTTACTACGCGGCGGAAATGAATAATTGTCGTATCCGGAGGCCCAGTGGCGTTCTCCAATGAGGCGACCGTTGATGTGGACTCGATCCGGCGGCCGGTATCGTCGGGATCGTCGTACTCGATCTCCTCGCCACTTCTCGCGCCGTCGTCGTCCTGTTCTCCTTCACCGTGTTCTTGTTCGTCGTCGTCCGACTCGTCCTCCCAGTCCTGTGCGTCTTCGGCCTTTGCAGACCCATGCGTGTCGCCGAGATTGAAGTCTGGCTCCGGCTCGTAGGAGAACACCACTCCGAACTTCATGGCGATGCTGGCGGCGGTGTGCGCGCGCATTGCCTCGAAGTCCGCCTCGGATGTGTCGATTTTGAAGAAGAGGGCCCAGAGCGTGCGTTCTTGAACCGTCATAACCTGCCGACTGCCCCGGAGGACGATGACGCGGCGTGGATATGCCGTGGTGACATCGACCAGGTCGAAGACGGAGGGGGATTTCGCGGCGCGCGTCTGGATGGAGTCGAGGTCCGCTTTCATGACGTCGGACAGGGTGGGGGACGAAAACTACGCAAATTCAGAGCAATATCGGCGTGCCAATCGCGCCGAGACGTACCTTATACAAAATTATTCCAGCCGCCTTGCCGAGTTGAACGGCATCCACCCGCTTCCACTGCCCCATCGGCCCGGACGGGATTTTCTGTTTGAACTTGTCATGAATCCGGCGGGCCTTTTCGTCATCGATCGGCTCGGGAGCATCGTCCCAGTCCCGCAAAGGGGTCGTATCGGCGAGACGAGTGGGGAACGTCGGCGGCATAGGCATAGGCATAGTAGGGGAAGGGAGGGCGAGTTCAGTGAGAGAGTGAGGAGCGGCAGGGGCTGGGGGGCGCGTCAGTGAGCCCAGGGCTTATCTGACGCGTCCGCGAGAAAGACGCAACGACAACACCAAACAGCGAGAAGTTCAGAAGCCCGAGGTGTGGCCGCGCGAAACCTTGTGGCGCAAGCATGCGCAAACACCAGCGGATTCTTCGCATTAATCTGCCCACAGCTCCTCTGGGGCTTTGTATTCTGCTCCGCCGGCACAACATTTTATTTTCGGCTGGGGTAAGTGGTTTACCTGCCGAATTCGGCGCCATGCCTGCGCCCATGCGTGCCCTTCATTCCTCGACCTTCACGCCGTCCTCTGCCGATCCTGCCGGCCATATGCGCACCCAACAATGGTTTCCATCTGGACATTCAGAGCTTGGATATTCAAGGGATTAGGGGGCTGTGGCGATGAACCACTGTCTTTGTTTCAGTGAGTCTTTTGCTCCGCCTCTTCCGCTGACATGTGCGGGGAGTCTAGCCCGACATCTTCCGCGTCGTTAGATGGCCGGTTTCGGCAGTTCAGAGAGTCCTCTGCTCTCGGTTCCAGCGCCGATATCAAGCCAGCAACGAAGACAAACAGTGTTGAGAACGCGATCGCACGCCGTCGTAATATACGTAAGGGGTTTTTTGACATATGAAGGAAAATTGGAATCAGGGACTGAGTGAACATGGAAGCAGTTACGTGAAACCGAAATCACTAATCTGCTGAACTAGGGAAGCGAAATGCGGAAGCGGCGGAATAGAGAGACCTAGCGTCGCGGACCACATCTCCACAACCTCCCGACGGTTGTACCATGAAATACAAAACCGCTCTCCGGTGCTGGTTGGCGGCGCACCGTGTTCTAGGAGCTTGGTAAGCATAAAAACGACAGTTCCAGGTTCATATGGAAGTGCCAGCCCAAGGCTCCTAAGCGATAGAAACGTCCCATCATAATCCCCCAACGTAAGTAACAGATCATAGAACCAGTCAAAACTGTTGAGGTCCCGATGATAAGGGGTCTCCCGGTTCGCTATAATTTGGAGAGCGACGGCGGTAACCGGCCAGTCCTTGAATGCAGGGCTGAACGCGTTGAACATTTGAACCAGGGCGTTGTATTGCTCGGGGGCCAGAACGGCTATGACTGCATCCAGCACCGCAGCGCAGCACTCAAAGGATTTAAGCCAAACTTCCGTGCGCCGTTCTTGATGGGGTCTCTGGCGTATGAGATTTAAAGACGGTCGTATATTTTCAACCTTGGTTATTTGGTAAGCGATATTCCTGGGAGTGGACGATGTACCCTCACCAAGTTGGATAGACCTTGCTGTACCATGGCTCGGGCAATTAAAATAGTGCCCTTGATTACACCCTTTTCACCAGAGTAGAGGACAGTGTTATCCCGCCACACCTTGCTGTTCTCGGAAGGCTTTTTAACCTCCCGAGCCAAAAGCCACTGAGTTGCAGTGAGAAGCTCATGCTTGCGGCCACTGGGTTTCAGTAAGTGCTGTGTCGTGGAGTGATACACACACCTGCAGCTCTCCGGTGAGTAGATCCGGCAGATACCATGCGAGGACCTTGTCATGGAGATCCACTGCCACAAACCCAGACTCAGGTCGCTTCAGTTCTCCGTCGATTGACGAGAACAATGGCGGAAATTTGCAGGAGAGCTTGTCCCATTCTTCCGTGTCGGAAGCCCATGCCCCTTATTCATAGACCTATGATAATCCTCTGCAGCCCATGCTGTCTGGTCTAAGGAGAGTAAAAATGAGAATGAACATTGAAATATGTTTATGAGGACTCACATTTGTGTTGCATTGCTGCAAAGATTGTATCCGCTGCATCAACGCACCCATGCCAAACCTTTAGGTTGAACCCAGGCGGACAAGGGCAAAGATTCTCGGCCCGAAAACCACCAGTCCGACCTGGGGTGACCCACCATTGCAGGCGGGCAGCTAGGACATCTTGAAGAAGAAGAGCAGCTTTTTCATGGAGAGGGCTGTCAGACGGGACGGACATCTCCCCAGAGATGAGAAGGGTGGAAGAAGAGCTATTTCCCAGTCAATGTTCCCACATACTATTTTAGAGGGCCGCAAAGCCACGTGATATCACTAACGAAAGGTCTGAGGCTAGGATTGTAATTTTTGATGCAATGGAGCACAGCAGAGCACCACAAAGACGTCTGGTGATATCTAGCGCGCACCCGCAATTCGGCATGTCTCAAAATCGCACTAGCGCTCACCGGGCGATTTCGCGCATGTGAGAACCACCCTAGCGCTCGCCGGGCACATTTCCGTGTCCAAGCCACCCTAGCGCTCGCCGGGTGGTTTCGCGCGTGACAAAACCGCCCTGGCGCTCACCGGCCAGTTTAAACGGCCCCGAAATTTCGGCCCAGGCCAATATGCCTATGGCGAGTACAATTCGGCTTGGCACTCGGTCACAGGAAACCGGCGGGGTACGCACATTGTGGTGCCCTTTTCCTTACCAACTTGCCTGAATTTTAAGAAACGTAGCACTGAGCGTTCTGGAGTGGCTGGGAGGCTATCCATGTCAGAGTATTCAGCTGTTCAAGAAAACATTTCATCCGGTCCAAAACATAGGATACATCTGGATTATGGAGACGAAAATACAACAGACTAAGTGAGGCGGTTCTAAAACCTACTTGGCGACATATAGGTATGGGGCAGGTCAGGGGATGAGATAAACTCCCCAATTACTGGCCTAAGAATGGAATGCTGACGTCCATGGCACGCGCAGGATCAATGGGTGATTCTGACCCAGATGCTACAGGGGGGGGCTGGGGCTTCGAAATGTCTTCTCCTTGGGGCATTATATCAGCAAGCTAAAAATGAGTATCAGGCAGAGACATGCCAGATTGATATGAAAACCCACTGCTTTTTCATCAGTGCCTGGGGGAGCGCGGCTGGGATCCGTCGAAGGGGCCTCCATTTCTCCGTCTTCCAATGAAAGAAGAATAGCAGTTAAAGGGGAAAGTGAGGCCGTCGGTGGGAAGATGGCCCGGCGGCCGGATCGGCGGTGGTATTCTGCGGTGAATGTTGGGGATGGTGGAGAGAGACAGCCGGATCAGTGGATGAGGGGCCGGCGATTGGAGTTTTAGGGGTATCGGCCGATGCATTCTCAAGCGCATCCGGCTGGAAGAACCTTGCCAAAATTTCGGAAGGGGATGGATCCAGCAAAGGGGGATTGAAGGGAGGCTCATTGCTCTGGTGAGTGAAACTATGGCCACCGGGGACATATCGGCGCTGTGTTTCATGAGCGACGTCAGTTCGACCTCTGGAAGTGACGAATAGTCGGGCGGATTTTCCCTGGTCGTCTGCACAAGCGAGCACCAGGCCGAGACATGGAATGCGATGTGCTTGGTGAACTCGTTGTGAGACACCATGGAACGAGCGGCGTCCTCAAGTCGGCTCAGTCGGGAGGTCGACGATGCTTGCTGGGAACGAAGTTCTTGCAAGGAGCGGTTCAGACTGGAGCGATGTAGCTGAAGTCGGACCAGGAGCTTTTCATAGCGAGTCAGCATGGCCTTGTCGGTGCGTAATTGACTGGCTTGCGATTTCAGCTTCTCCAAGACGACAATCGAACCCTGTTCGAGTTGAGAGACGGACACAGTCAGTGCCGATAACCTTTGATCCTGACTTTGGTCGGTTTCTTGCGAGGCTTCAAGAACCCGCCGAAGAGACGCCATCTCCTCAGTCAATGCATTGAATGAGTCATTTGTCAACTCAGCCTCCGTTTTCATCGCCTCAACAAAGGCGTCGTACTTGGCCTGAGACGCTTGGTCGTTAGCGACGACGGCTTTTGCTACTGTTGCCACCTCTCTCGTCAGGACGGCAGTTGACGCTTCCATGGCTTCGGACTTAGTGGCTTGTTCAGCGACTTGCTGTTGCAGCGTCTCCAATTTTGACCGCGTTGCGAGAAGCTGACTGCGGAGTTCAGCAATCTGCTCGGTGCCGGTGTGAGATTCAGCAGCGGCTTGTTTGGAAAGCCGGATCGCCTCTTCAACCTTCTCAGAGAGCATCCGACGGCCCCTGGCAAGATGAGGGGCAATCGCATCAAGAACAGGCTCTGGTTTGGGTGCAAGCGAAAAATGCTCCACTGATCCACCTGCGGGCGCGGATTGGCGTGGCGTTTTTAATGCGAATGCATCGGAGAGTACTCACCAGGTGGAGGGGAAACTATGTTTTCCTGGATATTTCCGCCGACGTTCCGATTCTTCCCTCGTTCGGTTGACTCGGAAGGGACAGCATTATCACCCGGCCGGGCGCGAGATACCCCTGTTGATGATGACCTGCGACCAGCGCCGAAGAGATATTCGGCCGCTTCTTGCCTGCCATCTTCGAAGGGCCGGCGACTGATATAAATGAGGGAGGATAAGCGACAATGCAAACGGCCGGCTTCAAATGCAACGCACCGTCCGGACGGCGGAAATCCTCCAAAGGGAGAGAATATTGCCTGGCGTCGCCTTCGCTTTGCCCTTCGCTTTTCGGGCTGTCGTCTTTGCGTCCTCGGAATATTCGTCAGACAAGGATGAGGAAATTAACATTTCCTCATCTGAATCGACGACTGCTAATGCCACGGAAGATCAGACGAAGTACACATTTCGGCCCGATGGAGAAGCGGCACCTGGACTAGTCTTGACACCGGCGTTGGCCCTCAAACGGGGATTGACCCCCCTTCTTTGATACGGCTCGGCCGCATCCTCTGCTTCGACTGGGGCCCGCGATGCAGTTTTTCGGTTCTTAAACAGCATAGTCCGCGGCAAAGGCGGCAACCAGAATCAGCTACAAATGATGAACCGCCCGGTTATCCTCGGTCGCCCGCGCTGAGGCTCTACAACGCACCTGTCTTGTGAACACGTTCCGTGTCTTTGCTAAGCATAAACTCGGACGAAAATCCTTGCGTGTCGGTAGATGCATCCATTGCTTCCTTTGCTGCGTCCTCTTGAAACACGGCGAGGGGCTCTTCGTATGCGGGACTAACAACAGTCTGTTCGCATTAAAACATAAAGTGAGTCCGAATATATTCTATGTCACGAAATCGGCTGACCTTCATATCGAAATTCTTGAGTTGCCCCATGGGATCCTCTCCTTCCAATGGGCCTTGCACAAACTGCCCGCCGACACCCGCAGCGATATACTCTTGCCGTATCTCTTCCTGCATTATCTCGTCAGATGTTTGATGGCATCTAAAAATCACGAAATCGGCTTACCCATGGGACTTCTTCATCGTCGGCCGATGCCAAAACATCTGGGGAAGAAGCGGCCGGATACGGGCGAAGTAACGCAGGATTATCGAGGCCGAGACAGTATTCCTGGTCTCATGAAAAACGTCACACCATGTCCCGTAGAACGTCGGCACACCGTCACGGCCCTTGATTTGTCGAAGCGCTTTGGGAACGCGGACGAACTTCCCGGAACGGCTGTGATTGGTAATTGCGACTCCGAACTCAAAGGCGCGATATGCTTGCACCAGAGGCGAGCCCCTCCATCCTGAGATGTACGCATTGGAACACCTTAGATGCGCCTTCTTGCAGCAGATACAGGTAGAGCCGACGAGGATAGCCATGAGGCACCTATGCCCCCCTTCTCGGCAACGAGTGCATCGGTGGTCCAGTCCGTCAGGCCCCTAGAGGATATCGGATGAGAACCGATGAGACGTGTGCATGCACAAGTGGAATGGCCCACCTTCTCCGGCATTTCTACCACTGCCCACTCGCCGTCGACAGATTCAGCAGGGGGAGGACAAGACGGCCGTGGAGGAACAAATTTGTTTTCCCTCGATTTCCTCACGGCTTTCTTCCGTGAGCCGGACACCTTGCGCGCCTGCCCAAGCACCCGTTGTTTCGCTTGCTGATTCGGCCGTTCTGACGAGGAAAATGAGCGTTGACCAGCCGACTCAACTGATTCATCGGCTAGCATGGTATCAGAAACGTCGGAGCCTGTGGTGAGTTTTCCCGATGTTGAAGGGGCACAGCCGGCCGGAACGGAGGATCGAAGACGTTTTCGCGGGGTAAATCGGCTGGCCTCTACACTGGCCGCATCGGCCCGGTCTCCATCAACTGCACTGGGGCCTTTGTGGGAAATAAAAATATTAGTCGGGGACGCGAAGCCTCTGCCCGAACTGGTACTCACCAGGATTGGCCGATTCGCGACGCCGCCGCATCCGGCCAGATGATGTGGAGTACACCTGCTCCTCAACGCCGGCCATTGCATCAACTGGAAAGCCGTCAGAACCGTCGCCATAAAATAGTCTAGGTTGAGCTCACCTGGAAGAAACCACTGATCCACAACCTCTTCCAACAAGAGAAGTTTGATGTTCCCTTGGTCGTTGCCAGCTAACTGCATCCCGTCCGCATAGGTTACGTACTTCTCAGGGAGCGGTTCCTTATCCTGCACCGGAATGATATTTTGAATGGATGGGTGGGTGTTCTCAAAATGCGCCTTCTCCCATTCGTAGAATGCTCCGAGGGCCGAACAAGGTAGAGTCGAGAGGGAGCTTCGATGGACCTGCACGTATCGCCTGAGCAGAAAGAGACGACGAACAAATTTCTTTTCCCAGGCATCAGACTCCTCCTGCGATATGTCTTGAGACGGACGGTTTTGCAGGGCGTAATGGATCTCAGAGGCAAGTTGATGCATTTGTGGTGTGGCGGATTCAAGCGATTCGGATGCAGAAGGTAGGCCGATGCACCCGTGCGGCGGCAGTGTTGAATGAGCAGGCATGGCGATGTAGAGAAGACGAATTGAGCAGGAGTGAAGTCGGCGCGAAGGGGAAGCAAGCGGGAGCGACTGCGAGGAAAGGGGGAGGGCAGGCTGCAATTCGGCGAGACGGGTAAGATTAAAGCGGCCGGCGTGCGGACCGCCTTAGCGCTGATGGTTCTGATTGTGGGTGCCGGATTGGCGTCGCTTCGGGAGGATCTACATCGCTTCGCAACGTTGCTGATCCTGGGCGCTCGGCATTCTCCAAATGCGGCTGCCGTCGGCCCGGATGCATCATAAACCCCGCCCAGGGACCTCCGCATGCCTCAAAGTGACTTTCTCGGTGTTGCAGCCTGGTCCCTCAACCGATACCCTCTATGACTAAGAAGACCATGACGGGTGAGTGTTCGGATGCCATATGACAGGGGACCCAAACAATTATATTAGCTTGGCGCCAGCTCGTGTCAATGATTAATTAACAATCATTGGGTCAGTGACTACACCTTATGATCGCACACGGTCGTTGATACAATGTACCACTTATTATTGTTCATTATGAGCTCGTCCCAGGCACTGTGTCGATATTCATAATCTAGTAATAATCAAGGTCCATTATGCCGGGGATACCGCTCCCTCCGTTGCTTACTTGTTTATGGAGCGACAATGACTTAGTACGTACTGGATGACGATGCTTCTACAAGACACTTGACCAGGGAACCTGTCGAGGTAGTACTAGCTGCTACACTCGCCTCCTCTAGCTTGATCCCGGCCTCGGGTCGGGGCGCTGCCGGCCCCGCGTCGCATCTCCGTCATCAGTGCGCCGCGTCGCGTTCCCGTCGTCTGGACATACCTTCGCGTCTCCGTGGTCGGGGCGCACGTCCGGCTTTTCCACTATCGGGAGCGTACCCACGCGCACCCGACAAGGCCCCGCAAGAGAGCGGCGGCGACACGATCCGAAAGTCACTCGCGATGAGCGTGTGTGCTTTGCGCGTGTGTGGAGGACAGGCCGTTGTCGCGAAGTGCGCGGCGGGTACGGGTGCGAACCAGCAGCGCCAGCGGTCCTTCGTCCTCTCCCGGCGGCGACCGGGCTAGTAGTAAGATGATAGTCTCGCGGGGTTTCGGAGCGAGTGCGTTTGCGCTGGTGAGCGCGGCAGATAGCGGGAAGACATTTAGAAATTAGGAGAGACGATTTACAAAAGAGAGGAAGTGGATACGGAGGGCTAAGGATCTTGCAGTGCGACGTCAAACATTGGTGGGAGAATGCCGGTGTGCTCGTCGACCGGCTGAAGATCGGTGGAGGTTGCGACGAGTGTCGCAGAGCAGTGTCACGATGGTTCGGAGTCGCGGGATGTCTCGTCGTGCAGGCACGCGTCATGCATGTTTATGCTCGGTCAATGATGGCCAAGAGTTCTTCATATTCGTCGATGTTGATACCGGGCATGACTTCTTCGAGCGCTTCGCGGAGGGACTGTCGTCGACCACCGTATGAGCATGACAGTGGCAACGGCAAGATTGGCTGAGCCACTTACGCTACTGTGGTCAAGCTCCTCGGTATTCCAGCCCATAGGGAGTGCGTCTTGATACGCCTTTTGACAAGTATCTTGAAGTTTCTTGTACATGTCAGCTTGTTGATAAGCGTATGCGCGAGATCCCAAGGATGTGTTCGGGGCCATGACCGCTGCCTCCCAGCATCTAGACATGCAGGCGCAACCATCCCGATAGTGGCGTAGATCTGCGCACGTGGTGTTCACCCACACGTCTGCCCGTACCTTCTCATTACGGACGCGCTGCCAGTGTGTTTGATCGACTGGTTGTGACAAGGTCAGTGAGATCATCGGCGGCAATCCAAATGGCATTAACTTACAGTTCTCCTCCCATGGAGATGCAGCGTTCGCTGCGTCGGGCTTGGGGACTGCGACTGTTTTCTTCTTTCGGTCAGGCTGCTTGCGAGGAGGAGGGGACACGTCGATTACGCTCCATATCCATGAGACATGAGCATCGGCGGTGTGATTGACAGGCGCCACCAAGTTGCGAACGTGAAGATCGTCGGGGACCATTGGGCGCAGACGACCTTCCATCGATTGGGGGTCGACTGTGAGTCCGAGAACGCTGCGCAGATGGATGACACGGGAGATGTTGTGGTTGAAGCGTGCTGAAAGCAGCATTGCCATGTTGCGCTCCTGCGTGACGAGCTTCTGGGCGCGTGTATTGTGCTGCTGGGTGTTGTCCGTGTGCCTGATTTTGTCGCTGAGGTAAGCTGCCGTGTGCTTCACGGATCTACGGGTCTCCTGGAGGAGCGCATAAGCGTGGACTAGACGTATCTTGTACTCGGCAGTGGCAAGGTCTTCCAGTGCGTACGCTTTGACGTCATCACTGCTGAAATCAGAGGGAAGTCCAAGACCGTGACTGAGTCCGTCGCGTGGACCGTCCTCCATCGGCTCGTCAAGGCTCTCCAGTACAGCAAAAGCTGCTCCAAGTGGTTCTCTGTCATCGTCGGGGTCGGTTTCCATCGCAAGGGGGTCATGGTCTGGCCAGTCGATCTTAGACATGTGTTTACGCTGATCGAGACGCCACTGCTGGAGCTTGCGACGGAAGGAAAGAAGCGCAGGCGTGAGGGTTCCCGTATCAGTGATTGAACTGAAGTTGACTCCTGCCGTCTGGTGGCGCTGGCCCCGTAGTTCAACACTAAGCAGTGTCTGTGTCAAAAGCGGGTCAGGTCAGAGTTTTTGAAGTGACTCACTACTTCAGATCGAGTTCAACACCACGTTGCACGAAGAGAATACTTCCATGGCGCAATCGGCTCCCAGCGCTAACACCTGCGACGTCTGCGCTTTCTGCCTTCTCAAATCGGGCAACGAGATCTTGATACGTGTCCTCGCGTGTGGGTACTAGTAATGCGTTTAGTGTGTGAGGAAGGATACTTGAATGTGTCTGGAACTTACAATCGGACTGATTGAGAACGTAGATACTGTCACGGTATGCACGTTCCTTCTCTTCGAAGTTCAACGGGGTGGGAGCAGAGTATGGCTTTGCGAGCTTGCCCCAACGAATGGCTCGCTCAGCGCCGGCCAAGATAGTCAGCTCAGCAAGGTGTCGGGTAGCCTCTGTTTGTGCTGGGATCACTTTGGTTCTCAATTGTCTGATCGTCGTATCAACTGAAGCCAAGATGAGCACGCGCCGTGGAGGGAGAAACAGTGGTACTACTCACCGAAGTCTTCCAATTTACGACGATTCCAGTAGTTCAAAAGATCGTTGAGCGCGTCTTCACGAGGTCCTGCAGCCATCTCACGTAGTACTCGTCCAGCGAGATTCAGCTCGCTCCAGGGTGGTTCAACGTGTTCTCCGTGTTGATGACCGGACCCTTCGCTGTAGGGAAAACCGTAAACCACCTGACACATGTCTCGATGAGCGTGTGCATGGAAGGTAGGGATGTGGCAAAATAGCTCGTCGATGATCTTACGGATCTCCGGAGTATCGTTCTTGAAGCGTTGAGTTAGGTTGCGGATGTATATGCAGAAAACGTCGAACGACAGCAATCGCTGTTTGAGGTCACGTGTTCGCTCTGCCATCTTGCGAACAATGACATCGAGAACGCCGAACCTGAGCTACCAGTGAGTAAGAGCTCTCGGGGGTGTGATTATACTTACTTCTCGCCGGAAATCAGGTTGATGACCATGTTACGCCAGAAGAATGAGTGTCGACAGCTAATAGCTGACACTCCAGAATATTGAAGCCCTCGAAACTTGCCAGCGCGTTGCGCGCGAGCGACTTTGAAGCCGCTACAGGTG